GAGTATGATTTACGCCTTTCAGCTACACGCTTATGATTTGTCATGTCTGGCATAGTGTATTGAGCACAAATACCATACATTTCAAGGAGTTTAGCAAATGGTTAAAGTATTAACGCGTTTCATCGTACTTTCATAATATTCATTACCTCTATATGACCTTATGATTTTCATTTTTCTATTTAGTTGTTTTTCAACCTCATTTATGTATACTTCAAGAGTACCCACTGCTTAAGATTTTTCATACAACAAATAGATATATCTATAACGTGAAAAAATCTACTATAAAGGCGATAAAATACTTTTCTCCACCAAAAGATGGAACATCAGAAGATCTACAAATGTCTGTATGAATAATTTCTTGAAACTCTGTACTTCTTGTGACTCATTTCTTTGTGTGTTTGGTTTGTTTACCCTTAATACAATCTACACACACACCAAAATCAGTAAAGTTTAGATATAGAAGAATCATATAATTTACTAATTTTCCTAACCTTTCATTGAATATTATATAATCTTTTATGCCATAAGATAAATGAATTTTCATTAATTGAGCTAAGCTTATTTTTAACATTATGATGCGAGGTCAAAAGGATTTTAATAAATAAACTATCAAGTTTGAATTTACAGAAATCACCAACAATAATACCATAACTCACAAATTAGAATTTCTTGAATAAACATCATTATCAAACTTAAAGGAAAAACCATTAACTTAAAGTTTTGAAATAAATTCAAATTGAGAGAAATTGAAGAAATATAAAGAGTTTAAAACAATTTAAATAAAATCCATTATCTAAGATTAAACAAAATGTTTCAATGGTTTTAATAAAAAAAATTTCCCAATTCTCATAAATAAGAAATTCTTATTTGAATTTGTGGTTTAGGCCATGAGAAATCATTGCATCTATTAGAAACATAAACATTAGTACTTAAGTCAACCAATCATGTATTAGAAGGAATATCAATAACTGATTCAAAATATACAAAAGTTAAAAGGCTTATCTTTCTTTTCGAATCATTCTTTATGTTTCATGTAATCTTTTTAAAAGTGTTCAATATATAAATGACACTTTTACATTATTACATTATTTTCTTTTAGTAGATTGACCTAAATTTTCTAATTTTGGGGTTGCTCACTTAATGCCCTTTCAGGCTTATTCCCAAATTTCTTTCTAACTTTTTGAGTCATGAGATGAACATAATGATGACATACTGCTTAAGCTTTGTCTCCTCCTAAATTAACATAATGGTTAATTCATTCACTTCCACTTGTTTTAATTTGAAATGACCCATACTGAGTGAACAAGAAATTGAGAATAAATTTAATGAGAAATTTCTCATCCACAATCATCCCTCAGGTTCTCAATTTTGTAACAACATTAGTTATCTTAAGAACATACCCATACGTAGTAAGAGTACCAACAAAATTGCATAGTAGTGATATAAATTAATAATTTTCATTTTAGATATTTATCTACAATACGAAAACATTCTTCTAGTCAAATATTTCTTAGCACTATCAATATGGGAAATAATTATTCGCATAACTATAATAATTAATCTGTTCGATCTCTTCCAAGCTTTATGGAGAATCTTTTCTCCCTCACTGTCTTTATCAGTAATAACAGTAGGTTTCTTAATTTAAAATGCTAAATCAAGATTTAACACATCTAAATTTTGAACTTAACTTACTCATTCCATTATGAGAAGTTAGTCCTATTGAGAATCAGAATAGATGTAGCATGCGCAATAAGAGATATAATAAAACAAACATAATAAGATAAAATGCTCACAACAATAATGTTTTGAGTTAACAACACGTACATGTAATTTAGAATATAAATACAATGTATAACTATAGTACCCCTTTGGGTGGCAACTATAAAATACTAATAATGATGTTTACGTGTATTTATATGTATACTTTCATTGGTGATGCATTATTTAATTAAACAGATAAGTTATCTTTGGATATCCTATATCTACCTAATTAAAAAATACATACAACCCCTTAATTTTTATTTAATCACTTGAAAATCAATTCCCTTTGGAAAATTATTTCTCATGATCAAATAAATTCAATATTCATGAATATCACAAGAAATCATAAGCATCAATAATTCATGAAATATTACAATTATGTCTACTACTAAAATTAATATTCATCAACCATTATGGTTGGGCCACTTTGATAGCTACCAACCTTTACAAAATATGAATATTAAATTAGTTAGTGGCTAATTCATCATTAATTATGTTTATTACTAAAATTAATATTCATCAATTATCATGGTTAGGCCACTTTGGTAGTTACTAACCCTCACATAATACGAATATTAAATTAGTTAGTAAGTAATTAATAATTAATTTACTCATTTAATATTATACAAATACTCATATCGATCTAAGTTTAGGTAAGTTCGATCCCAAAAACTTAATAGTTCGAAAAAATAATAAAAATATCATTTTATTTTATATACATAATAAAATATTATTTTTATTCTCGAGCTCAGATATCATAATTGAGTCAATCTAAAATTGATTATTCATCATGTATGTATGTATGGGTATAAAATAATAAATTATTTGAATGTCCAATAAGATTAAATTTTTATGCTGTTATTGTAAAAATTCAAATTTCTAATAAAATAAATCAATTCATAAAATTATTTAATCACACACACAACAAACTTAACTTATATGACCATTGTCCATTATATGCAAATAATGACCTATGATAACAAGTACTACGCATATAAGTCTGTATAAAAACAACATGTATTATTAAAGCCCACGATTTGTGCGAAAAGCAAAACTAACTTTTTAAATTCTAATTGTCAATCTAGTCATACACCAGAATGAACACATGCTCGTCTTATTATACATGTGCAATTCATGTTTCAGTAATTAACTTTCAAGCACTACAATCATATTCGAAAATCGAGGTGTGTAAATCAAATAAATAACCAAATTGATCAAAATCACACCAATCAAAACATATATATATATATATGGCAATTCTAAAAGAATGTATTATATAATTATTTAATTTACTTTTATTTATGTAACTTTAAAGAAAAATAATGAGTTACTAAACCAAATGCTCTAATACCACATGTAAACTTTAATTATTCGTACAAATAATTAATCACAAATAAACATGAACCTCATATCTTAGAATTTCATGATTTTCACATATCTATAATGGATAAATAAATAGTTAGATATAAATACCTCGATCTGTAATTGTAAAACTCGAAGAGATCAACACAAATGTCGAGATCCTTTATGCGAAACGAATAACATGCTAAACTACAATAGTCAAAGCGTGGAAACCGATTTCTCTATCTTGGCCTTTTGCACACATAAATATTATACGTGTTGTTTTCATTAGCGTACATAACTGATGGCAATATGCACTTTTATAAAGACAGAGAGAAAACCAGTTTTCCTTTTAGTAACTTTAATTCCACTTTCCATCAAAGTAAGGAATAAATAGGAAAATATTCTCTAATAATTAATTACCAAAAAGATAATTTATAAGTTGACCAATAATTAATTACTAAAAAGATAATTTATAAGTTGACCAAATAATATAATACTAATCTGATATATATTTTATTTGACCACCAAATAATAGAAGTAAACCACATGTTCAAATCATGTGGGCCACAAATATAAGAAAATATCTTACAGCGTCATTTCAGGTGATGTGTCATCGCCATCTATAAAGAGAAAATCATACGGTAGAAATTTCGTTTGTGATTTGATTAAACAAAATAAATAAATAAATTAGTTCATCGAAGAACAATTAGAGAAAAAAAATGAAGAAAACAAACCTGAATTGGAAATTTTGCAATCTGAATTTAAAATTTTAAAAATGAATTGGACTTGGATTAAGTATTAGAAATAAATATTTCATATACGGCTCTGAATTGCACCTTAAACGTGCACCAACCAATCAAAGCTCGATAAGATTCTACAATCGGACCTTGTGTTTGGTTTATTATTACAATATTCAAGTAAATTCAAAATCATAAAATTAAATAATATTAAAAATAAAGTTGGTATGTAATCAATTTCTCCCTAGCAGTTAGTGATGAACCTTTTAGAAATGAAAGGGGAAAAAAAACCGAATTGTTCAATTTTCTTTTTTTGCCTGAATTTAATTTTTGTGATGGATAAACGTCATCCATTCAGAATTTTAAAGCAAACCCTTACTATCATATTGCTGTTTTAAAAAATAAAAACTATCAACTAATTATGATCCAACAATATATTAGACCAGTTGTCCAATTTTTGACCCAATAAAATTAAAAAAATCAATTAATTGAGCGATTAATATTTAATCATGTGGTGTGACCGTGTGGCACTTTGGCCCTCAAATTTGTCATCCTTTGCCACCCTATCCAACCAAGTTCAAACATCCAATATAGAATAAAGCCATTCCATACATATAATTAATTCATTATCTAATGGTATGAACGAACTAAACTCTCTTCTTTTCAAACAAATTATACGATACTCTGTAGCCTAGAAAACAAACAAGTCGTTGTAGTATAGTGGTGAGTATTCCCGCCTGTCACGCGGGTGACCCGGGTTCGATCCCCGGCAACGGCGTTTTTTTGGTCTACCATATGTCTTTTTCTACTGACTTTGCTCACCAAAATAACGCTGCACCTTCCTTTTTCTTTTTTAAACAGAACCAAACAAGAAGGTTAAACCTCCTATTTGTTTGTATAAATATATATAAACATTTTTTTTTTTAATAGGAATTTGGCGTGAAAAATTGCCAGGGTCTTCAGCAATGATCTTTGTCTGGATAGATTATATACGTGTATATGTACTGTATGGCTATGAAATGATTTATTAAGATGTGAAACAACAAGGACTCTCCCTTGACTATCAGACTAGATAATGAAAATTTGAAGGCAATGGAGAAAAGTGTGTGTAAGAAGAGACTCAACTGAATCTAAAACATAAAATAAGGAGGAAAATAAAAGAACTATTCAGACACATTATGTCCTGTGAAAATTAAATCTGTCAAGACTAGTCCAGATAGATTAAACAGTACCAAGTTACAAAGCATTGAAACAAATGCCTCCCACAAAGCATATACAAGTATACAACATTTATTTCCTTTCATTTTCGCAGGGTTTTTCGCATTTCATTGTTCAAAACAAGCATATAAAAGCAAAAGAACCTTCTCTCCCATGCTTCTTAGGCTCGGTAGTGCATCGATCCAAGTTATATCCCCTAGTATTAGAACTTGTATGCAAACAATGATCAACATCTCCTCTCCTTTTCCACACGAATTAGTACCATTTGCTATGGCAACCACTCTTTGCTAGTGAGAAGAAGCTCAGTAAATGAAGACGGGTGTCTTCTTATTCAAGTGATCTACTTTCATTTCCAATACCATTTGATTTGGAAGAAATTTGAATTTATAATGGTAGGTAGCCAGCAAAAGGCTGCACTAGCTAAAACAAAGCAAATAAAGGAATTTCGGATTTAAGAGTCTAACATCCCATGTTCCTCTTGTGCGTGTGTTTCAAATTTCCCCACCATTTCTTCTGATTCTTTTCCGCTTCTGAGTGGCCAAGCTTATGAAGTGCCACCTTTGTCTCCTGTAACCTGATTTTGTAATCTTTCTTCCATGATCCAAACCTCAGCTTCAGTTTTTGAAGCTCAATGTCAGGATTCATGCTGGAAGCTAACTGCCCTGATTTTAGTTCGAGAAGGAAGTTGGCGTCATCATTAATCACCATTTTTTGCTGCTCATTCAGGTGACCGATTGCATCTGACCCACACTTCATTCTTTGTGGTCCAGCATCATGGGAAGCATTAGAAAACTTGACCATTGCATTACGATCATCAAAATGAAGATACTCTGGGGAAGCAACAACCTTTCCAGGTTGAGCTGTGGTGTTTTCAACAGCAAGACTCTTCTTTGCTGCAGCTAGACTAATCTGCATGATTATTGAAACCGAAACCCTTAAGTCACTTAAAAAACAACTTTCTTTGTCTGTGGAACTTAGATGCGTGTGCACTTAAAATTATTGTAACGAGAGGCGGGGAGTAAATTACTTTCTTAGTTTCTGTGACTATCAGTATTTACAAAAATATTGATTAAACCGTAAAGAAAATTGGGATCATTATTGACATTAATAAATAGAAAAATAAATTTAATTCTCATATCAATATGGAAAAATAAAACTAGGTTATAATCATTTGTTCATCAAGTCACACAGGGATCGAAAGAAAGATGCAGGTATAACTAACCTGAAAAGATGTCAACTGATCTTGCCACATCTCCTCCATGGATTTCATCTTTGCTTCATAAAGTGACCATTTATTTTCAAATTGCAGAAGTTGTTGCTGCAAAGCAGCTTTTTCCTCTTCCTTTTCTAACAATGCTGCATCTGCTCTCAAAAGTCGCCTTTGTAGGTCAGCTAGAACTGAAGGTAGAACCTGAACATGATCCTGCCCCGAGAAACAGCAATTATTTTTTCTTCCCCATTTCTAAAAGAATCGTGATTCATTCAATTCAGTAATCCACTGAAATTTTAATAACATTATTTATTTGACAACTGTCTCAACAGCATTTTTTTTTTGGGTAGCATTTATCTTCTAGGGATGACTACTTGGTGCAATGGTTAAAACTTGGGCTGAGAGTGTCATGGTGCACTTTCAAACCAGAGAACAGCCACTTTATATGAAATGATAGGTTTTTCTCCAGCCTTCCCCTCTCAATACCCAACGTAGATGGGCAAGCATCAAGTAATAGCCTTCTATTTATGTATCTTTTGATATATTTTTCAGAATAGAAAGAAAGAACAAAATTTTGTCTCTATCAACAATGTGTGATTGAACTTAATTGAATGGAGACAGCATAGCCAGGAAGTGGCGGCATGCTGCTTCATCTCCTTGTATTTATGGAGTTCCATCTCTCAAAAACCACTACCATACAGCAGAAAAGAGGCATGATTCTTTCACATACCAAAAAGTGCAATATCCATCTTTCTATTCTTCTTCTTATTTAAATTAAATCAATATAAGAAAATAAAAGGAAAGACATGAAGAGAAGCTTCAACCCATTAAACTGTTGAATATACGTTAGAGCACCTAGAAATTTTGTCCCAAAATGCATATCATAACCCTGAAGTACCTTTCAAACGTTATGTTATCCTTTTGTCATGTTTTGGATTTTACCATCCACTGTGTTCATTAAAAACATGTCCACTTTCATTCTGGCTCATGCTATAAGGCAATTATGAAAATCATGAAAAATTGTTTGAACTTTTGGATGACTGGAACTTTTATGTCAATAGGAATTTTGAGTTAATGGTATTGATTTCAGGTGTTGCAATGGAGTAGGTAAAGAATGTATTATAAACAACGAGGAAAAGAAAATGAACTTTAAAGAATTAAAACTATGATGTTAAATGATCTAATTAAGAAAGGTTAGAAATTGAACTGGCCACACGATAGCTGTTTTCTATTTATCATAAAACAAACATAAACAGTACCAACAAACAAAATGAAGCAGTCAAAGAAAATAGAGTTTTTGTTTTTCCTCGAAGCAAATAGAGTTAAGAGATTAAAACGTCCTACCACACTGATATTCTTAACCAAAAGAAATGTACCTTTGTTTCTGGATTCTTCCGGTCCAGTTTCTTTGTGGCTTCTTTAATCTCAATGCATGGCAGATTCTCTATACATCTCAAGTGCTTTCGAGTCAACCAACCACGGATTGCTACAGAAAAGCAACTGATAGAATGAGATATGATTGTAAAGAAGCAAGCTTGGGTTCAAAAAAAATAAAAATTTTACCAGATTGCAAACGCAAAACTGCTTTCTGCCTTTTTTGGAATGTTCTCCGGGCAATTCGCCTTTTCATTTGATTTTGTAGTACTACAATGGCTGTCAGTCTTTTCATCACAAGTTTATAGTCCTTTCTTGCATTCTCACCACGAACAACTGCAGGGGCATACAAATTCAGTGAGAGGTTAATAACAAGAACCAATATTCTTAACTTGGACAACTAGTACTTCTTAATCAAACTAGAACACAGATATGTGACTGCAGAAACTTTTGGACTTTGGAGTTTCCAAGTATAAACATTTTCAAAGAAAAAATGTGCATTCCCATAGCAGATATGGTCAAAGCTATACTTCATAAATCATATACCATCAGACATTGCTGGCAGTCAAACATGATAAGAGAACTGTGAAAGGAATTTTTCCAGACACAATCATCAAAATAAAATGATTAATATGAAACAATACATGATTGCAGTGTATATATTCCTCTTCTAAGCTCACGATAATAACAGCGAGCTTGGTGACCGCGGAAACATTTTTGGATCCCCAATATCCCTTGTAGTGCTCTTTCTCTTGTATCTTCCAGTACACCAACCTATCAACCACCAAACATATAAAGATTAGACAAACTTTGGAAGTATGCAACACAAACTTGTTCAGAATAGGAAGAATTATATATATGTTAAAAATCAATTATTAACAAATGAATAAGAAATCCCAAAAGGGCCAAAACAATAAAGATAGATTGCCTATGCTAGGCGCACTGGCATACAAAATTGTATAATAGGCTTTATATCATTAAGTAGGGCCATTACTTGGTGCAGTTGTAAAAGCTCAGACTGTCAAGTATGAACAGCCACTTGTGCAGGTAGTGTAAAATGTTGGGTCTATACCTAGTCCCCCTTTCCACCATCCTCTATTGACTGGGAGTTTGGGAGAGACCAACAAAGGACAATGATCTTTTCTCATCCAGTAGGAATAATATAATTACACAGTTAGATAAAAATGATCCTAGTGTACTAATAACAAGAGACATACCATTTTGCCCCATAATAATCAAAATAAGCTAACAAAAGTAGTTATGTGAGGTGTTTAAGTGTTAAAAAGTTGAAAGTTTCATGTCTCTCTTTTTGACCTTTGCAGTGAAAATCAACAATAGCTCACTCAATTGAAGAATTTTCTAGGTTAAAATCGATCCATTAAGCAGTAGGCATCCTAAGCTTTTCAGCTGTTTGAGAATCACCAAAATGAGCTTGAAAAGAAAAAGTTCTAGGCACCAAAAGTCATATCAAAAGCTGTATGAACAACAGTCCGAGTTGCATTTATGAATGCGATCTGGATAAAAATAGCAAGGTTGTGTTTCGAAATGTGACAAGGTTACAAATGGTTTAATCACATCTCTAAAATGCAACATAAATCTTTATTCGCAAAAGTTTGTCAAAGCTTCTAGAAGCACTTCTGTTTAGTACTTGGACCTGCAAAATGTGAGGATCTTTTCTTGCACTCCATGATACTTTAGTGCTTTGTGATGCGGAGGTGTCCCATCTCAAATATCTGAGATGCGTTTTGATCTAGTTCCAAGTTGTTTCCGGCCTTACGGTGAATGTTGGAAAGAGTGTTTTGGTTTCGGTTGGGGAGGTCCCTAACATCGCGCTGTTGGCCAGCATTCTTGGATGCCGTATAGGTTCCTTTCCCATTTCTTATTTAGGGTTGCCCCTGGGAGCTCCCTCGAGGTGTGTGGATCCAATTGTGAATAGGTTTGAGAGGAGGTTGGTGGGTTGGAAGAAGCAGTACATCTCCAAGGGAGGGCGGGTTACTCTGATCAAGAGTACCCTTTCTTGCCTTCCTACTTATTTCATCTCTTTTTTCCAAATTCCCTGCTCTGTGGCTGAGAGAATTGAGCGTTTGAAGCGTAACTTTCTCTGTCTCTGTGTGTGTGTGTGGGGTGGGGGGGGGGGGGGGGGGGTGGGGTGTTGTGCAGGCCGATTCGGAATTGAGGGTTAGGGCTTAGAAGATTGGTGCCTTTCAATAAAGCTCTCCATGGGAAATGGCTATGGAGGTTTAGGGTGGAGAGGCATTGGCTTTGGAGGAGGGTCGTTGTGAGCAGATATGGAGAGAGTAAAGGAGGGTGGACTTCTCTTGAGGTGCGTGGTCCTAGGGGTGTGGGGGTTTGGAAGTTTATTCAGAAGGGCTAGGCTGATTTCTCCAATCATGTTCGGTTTCGTCTAAGGGATGGCAGGAGGATTCGCTTTTGGGAGGATGTCTGGTGTGGGGATCTTCCGCTTGCTTTCGCTTTCCCACGATTGTTCAGGATTTGTTACGGATAGGCAGACCATGGTGGTCAATTGTTATCATCTTGATAGCGGGAGACTGGTTTGGGATGTTCGATTCAGGCGTCTTTTTCAGGATTGGGAAGTTGAGGATGCCATTCGTCTTCTGGAGGTGTCGTATCGTAAGGGTGTTATGGTTGGAGACTTTGATTTTTGGAGTTGGGCTCCCAATGCTCAGGGTCGCTTTGATGTTCGGTCCTTCTTCAGGCGTCTTACAGAAGAGCCTGAAGGTCCTTTCTCGCGGAAGGCTGTTTGGCATTCCAAGGCTACCCTCAAGGTGGCCTTCTTTGCTTGGACCACTGTTTTGGGAAAGATTCTAACTCAGGATAATTTGAGAAGGAGGAATCTGTTGGTGGTCAATCGGTGTTACATGTGTCTTCGGGATGAGGAGACAGTGGATCATCTTCTTTTGCATTGTTCTATGGCCAAGGAATGTTGGGATTTGATGCTTGGTCTGTTTGGAATTCTTAGGGTCATGCCTGGATCTTCTAGAGGGTTGATTGAGGCTTGGAGAGGTTGTCCTGTGGGGGCTCATATTCAGGATGCTTGGAGGGCTACGCCTCTTTGTGTGTGGTGGTGCATTTGGCTCGAGAGGAATAGGAGATATTTTGATGGAAAGGAGTTGCCTATTTCTCTTCTTAAGTTCTCTATTGTTTCCATTCTTTTTTGTTGAGTTTCAGGAAGAGATTATAAATCTGTTGAGGATATTGTTGATTTTTTGGTCTCTTTGAAGGCTTGGGGCTCTTTTTGCCTTTTGTTGTTCCTTTGGGATGCGTTCCCCTTTTGAGCGCTTTTTATACATTTCTTACTTATCAAAAAAAAAATGGACCATCTTCGTGATGGAACACCACTTGTTCCCATGGCCCCTTGATCCATACGCCTACAAAATACAAAATCTGGTCCCATATTTAAGTGTAACCAGAACAAAATTGACTTGGTCCCATTTTGTAAAGCACCAAAGCCTAGATTTTTCAACTTTATAATTTCTAATCTTACACTTCTTCCCTCCAACAACTCATATTTACACACCTTATTAACATCCTTAATGTGCCTACTCACCCTTTTATTTAAAGTACCATCTAAATGACAGAGTAAATCATACATCTCTCAAAGACCTATAGGCTTTATTTTCTTCACCCTTCGTATACATCATACAACATGCATAAACTCCCATCTTCTAGAACAACCTTCTTTTTGATACAAATTTGTTTCTCAGAATAACCTAGGCCTAAAACCACAAACTCATAACAACATAGTTCCTAAAACAATTTTCTTCTTTCTTGCTTCTTTCTTTATTTAATTTGGTTCTTACATTTTCCAACTGTTTAGTGAATATGGTTAAGTTCAATTAATGGTTGTGGACTCGCTAATGGAAGGGGCAAACCAAAGCAAGTGTTGCCATACACAAGAAGATTGATTGTGCATTCTTCCAACTTGTTCCTTATGATTCTGTTTATTTCTTTATTCAGCCACAAGTTGCCTTATTCTATGTATTAAATTAATAATGCAAGAAATATTCTTTGTCAAATACTACATCAAAACTATGCTCTCTCTTTAACTTCAATAATCATTTCAACATACTTTTTTCTTTACAATCATGAAAAGCCATGATGATATATCCATGGGCAGGGGCAGACTCAGAAACTTAAAATATTCTTTGTCAAATACAACATCAAAACTATGCTTTCTCTTTAACTTTAATAATCATTTCAACATACTTGTTTCTTTACAACCATTAAAAGACATGATGATATAACTATGAGCAGGGGTGGACTCAGAAACTTATAAGGGGGGTGGGGGATATATAAATTATAATATATTATTGGTAGCGTAGAAGTATTCTATATCTTTCTAACATGAAAAAATTAAGATAAGATAATGTATAAACAAAAATGTATTTCATATTCCATGCATACAAATTTATGCATAATTTTGGTATACATACAATACATATATATATAAGCAGACCCAAAAAAAAAATTAAAATTAAAATAAAATAATAAAATAAAATAAAAAACTGAAGTTAAAAAATAGTAAAACAAGGAGAAGAAAAATTGGGGTTATTTTATATATATTTGTATGTATATATATGTGTGTGTGGATTTTCAAAAATAAGCTTAAAAGATTCCAAATTGAGATTATTTATTAGCTTTGTGGAATTTTTTTGGTAAGTAAATTTTTTTAATATATAGATTTCAATTATTGCCATATTAGACAGGGATTTTCAAAATCTTGGAGGGGCCTAATATGTTTTTGGTACTAATTTTTCAGTAATTTTAGTTTCAACTATTTTAGGTTTGAAAAAAAAAAATTGAGGGGATGGTCATGTAATGTAATGTAATGCGGTAACCATTTTTTTGGATGTTTTTGAGGTGCCTAATACCTTCTACATGCGTAATCAGACTCCAAAATTAGATATGGAGTCATTCTTTAAAATGTCCTTTTACCAAATTGTTTTACATAATCAAAATCTTTTTCCTTGTGTATAAAAAAAATTCCAAAAGCCGTTTTCAAGTGACCTATATTAGCTCAATGTTAGGTGGCGACTCATTAGTTAAACAAATGACAAGGCCCCTTTGCATTGAGCCTCTTTTTAAACATAATTTTCCTGAAACGCCCTTTGTCATAAAATCAAGTGTAACAATACTGGAATATTACCATCTTAAAATGAGTGACTATTTAAAAAAGTCTTTAAATGGCATGGAATAGGTGTTATGGATACATAGAAGTAGAACCACAAATGCACCAATAAGAAAGGGAAGATTAGTTTGCATAGAAGGTAAGAGGCAACGAGGCCGACGAAAAGTAATGTGGGACCAAGTTATTATAAATGACTTTAAAAAACTAAATATAAGAGGAAGCATGGCTTGTAATACAATAGAATGAAAAATGAGAATTCATGTGGCCAATCCTATTCGTTCAGAGAAAGGCAAGGATTATGATGTCGGTGATGATGGAATAGGTGTTAAAAGTTATTATCTTTTGGACTAGAATCATTTGGTTGCTTGAGAGTAAAATTATAAAAAATTGTTCTGAATTTGGTTTCCCATTTTTCTTAGCTATTTCATATTATGTATGCCTAATTGGCTCATTGCACTAGTTATTTATTAAATTTAATATTGCCTATCGATTGTGAAAAGACACGTTGGCTATTAATGAAATAAGAGTAAAACAATACTAAAGCTCCCCAGTTTAGGAATTAACAATGACTATTATTACCCATTGTCCCCATTATGCGGTGAAGGAACTAGTGTTTCACAAGTATGGCTTTAGAGCCTCTGGAGAAGTCTATTGTGATTCGTCTAAGAGGCATCTTCATTTTCTTAATATCACACCAAAAAAAGAACTGTCTACAAAACCCTAACATATAGCTACATATTAAAATTTCAAGCAGAACAATTCTTACAAATTTATGCCATTACATGCAGCTGTTCCTAAAGAACTAGGAATCTAAATACTAAGCACAAAGAAGTACCATACCAAAGTTCCAAGCAAATACATGTAATATAAGCACCAAAATTATAATGTACCCATTTCATTAGGATTATGAAATTTAAATTTTAAACATGATTCACACATATAAACACTAAAATTATACTGTACCCATTTCATCAAAATTATGAAATTTAAATTTTAAAATGAAGAAACATGTTACTGTGTATCAAGACATCATTTACCTTCTTTAGAACAACACCAACACAATCACCACACTCACATTCCTCAGTGGATGCTTCAGTTTCCGATGACATTGGTTTGTAAGGTGATTCAACAAGGGCTTTTCTATCGGTTCTTGTGCTCTCAAATACACCCAATTGAAACCCTGATTTCACATCTTCCTTCTTTTTACCCTGGCTTTCTTTGAAATCAAAGGACAAACCACCCTTTTGGAGATTAATCGGCAACGACCTTCTCGCCGGAGGTAACCGGGCCCTCGACGCCGGACGAGCCGGCAATGCCGGAGGCACATCCTTCGACCCCTGTTCATCTCTTTGCTGGATTACGTCCAGCATAATCTCTAATGAGCTACGAGTCCTCATCGAACACATCGTCGTGGTCGATGACATCAAGATTGATCAACCAAAGAATCGCTGAAAGAACCAGCTACATACAAAAAACAATTGGATGTATATGTGTGTGTGCTTGTATGTGTGTTTAGATATGTGTGTGTGAATGGAAGAGAAGAGATTTGTGACTTTTTGGATGGTGATTAGAGGTATCTGAAGTTCTTGAAAGCTGTGACTTCTTGACTTGCTTGAGCTTCCCAAAACCTAGCATAAATCGGAATTCAATCAGACGGAACGGAGCTCCATTTGAGGGAAGCTTTGCTTTGCTTTACTTTTGCTTTTATCTGAAATTCAAATTTCCATATTGTTAGCTTTTTTGTTTTTATTATTGAAGCCAACCGTTGGACTGCGTATTGCTGGAGGGGTGTGTTTGGACACGCGTAATACGAGGGAAAGGAATGTAACGGAAAATGGAGAGAAGTTTACTAGGAGTAAGGTGAAAAATAAAAACTTGCATGGAAAAAATACCAAAAAAAGAATTATAAAGACCAGTAATTCAATGGTAAAACATAAAATTTGATGAATTTTTTTTATTACAATTAATTAATTACTAATGAAATAACATGTTTGTTATGAAAATTTTGAAATTATGCAAATTTAAAATGGTTTTGTCTGACCAAAAAAGTTCATCAAAAATTAATCCTTTCATTTTTTATTACTCCATTATTTGACAGAAATGATGAGACAAATTTATATCATCCACAATAGTGGTGTGACTTTGGCACCCTCCTTTACCGGATAAAAAGAAAAAAATCATGTTTTTTTGTAAGAGTAATGAAATAACAACTTGATTTTTAAATCCATAATAATATTGAATTTCTTTTTTCAGTATGTAATTAATTATATATGAATTTACATAACAACTTTGGAACAATGGTAGCCCCACATTCAAATCAGGACAATTGTGGCTTTTTGACTGACCCTTTTTTCCCCAAATTTGGTGTAGGTAATTTAAAGCGTTATTGATGAGTGACAAAAAAGATGAGGCATTTAATTAATATGGGATATGATTGTGGTCTAGGTAGACTCAATGCATGGCTTTGCGAAATGTATTTAATGGGGATCTGAAACAATGAAGAACTAATTAAATATTGGGTCATACATTATAGTTTTCCAAGGGCATGGTGGAACTAATGATGAAAGACTTCCTAATTTTTTTCTCCTAGACATGAGAAATAGGTCCATGAATTCATGCTTTTGATCATCGACTTCGAATTTTTTAAAAATCATATAAGAATTTTAATATAGTTAATAATTTTTTTACAATGGTTCTAATATTTTTTCTCTCCAGTGGCTTTAAAGTCGGTGAAGTATTAAAGATCTAGTCAAAATGTACAGAATTGAAAGCATCTAAACCCTTTATATGAGGGTAATATATACAAACCTCCCATATGATTTGTCATAATTACAGGAACCTCCCATTTGGTTTGGGAATTTACTCGGACTTACTCTAAAAATGAAAATATCCTACACAGACCTCCCTTCTGTTAGAGTCAACGACGAAAATTAATGACGTCATCTACTAATTTTACTAAAATTCTTAAAATACCCTTGTCCCTGTATAATTAGCCAAGTCCGCTAATATATTTGGCGGTCCATCACACATATAAGGGAGGTCCGTGTAAGATAGTTTCATTGTTAGGGAAGGTCCGAGTAAATTCTCGAATCACAGGGGAGGTCCATATAATTATGGCAAATCATAGGGGAAATTTGTGTAAATTACTCTTTATACTATGAGATGTAATTTCACGTTCAACAAGTTATTTAAGCCCTTAATACCATGATAAGGGAAGTCCTGCCTAATTATATCAAGGGATGTATCTGAGCCCTTGATACCATGAGACAGGACTTTATGTGACGTCCCGCCTGATTATATCAAATGGATTGTATCTAAGTCCTTGATACCATGAAATGAGACTTTACGTCAAGTCCTGCCTGATTATATTAAAGGGAATGTATCTAAACCCTTTATACCTTGACATGGGTCTCCAGGTGTAGTCCCGCCCCGCCTAATTATATCAAGGGTTTGGTGTCCTCGGCCGGCCAGCTTAGTAAGTAGGTATCTCAATCCTTTGTATTATGATAAGAGACTCCTTGTTGGGGGCCGCCCTGATTGTATTAAAAGCTTAGCTGCCCTTGGTTGGGCAGCTAGGCGTATCTAGCACGATTTATTCAATTTCCTTTATGTTTTTAGTAGGGAGAAGATTGACGGACTGTGGCAAAGTTGTCCCCTGAAATGGTCCCAAAGCTGCAAAGTGGCATTCAATATGCAACTAAAATTGTCATTATAAAAGGGATGTCACATGGGTTGGTATTGATTTTGTTTACCTAGGTATATATACTTTAAATAGCTTTTGCATTCTGATGGTCCATTGAACGAACTCTGTATCGACACTCGAGAGAATAACAATTCTGATGGACCCTACAAGGGCTCCATCAGATTACAGTAAACTAGTCATTCCTCACATTTCATTTGGTCCTTCCTTGCTCCATCTTTAAAGAAATGAAAATTTTTCTGGTCCCCTTCTTTCTACTTTGCGTCATTCATAGTTATATTTTCAACTACCGTACATCACTAAAATATATGCCTTCATTGGAGAAATATATCTCATTACTAAAATATATGACTTTATGAGTAGACTATTTTTATTTGGTTTTAATTTATTTTCTCTTCATAAATATTTTATGATAATTAAATACCAAAAATTAAAAAATATTTTATATTCAAACAAATAGAGTCAGCAGCAAATCCAGGTGTATGTTTTGGTGGGCTCAAGGCCATAAAAAAATAAAATAAAATAAATACTATAAGCAATTTTAGCCCAGCAAAAAAAAAATATTATTATTAGTATTATTAACCTACCCCATTAACAATTTCTGGATTTGCCCTTAAATGGAGTCTAAATCTCATTTGTATTTCCTTGTACTTGAAGTACTATGTGGTTTATTATTAATAAGCTCGTTTACATGTCCAATTTCCTTTGCAGGAGACTTGAAGTCTTAATCTATCCAATAAATTTTTTCATTTTTCTCACACATTATTAACTACAAAATGTGAGTCCATTGGAGAGATATATACTTGAATCCTTAAATCTCATCTGCAGTCAAATAGTAATCAAAAATGGAATATAACGGGCTGGACTGGGCTGACCCATATTTTGAATCACAAGCCTGAGCACCAACGGGTTTTGATGGTCAGCAGGCCGAGCCGGGCTTGAGAAATTTCGAGTAACCAAAGCCTTACTTGTAGGCATTGGAATACTGTACTACAGACTTGGCACAGGTGGGCTGTGGGCTTGAAACGAGTTTTTTTTTGTATGGAAACGAAAACCCTTTCGTTTTAGGGTGGAGATTGGAAAAGGTCACCTATTTATATGCAAAATTATCATTGTTGTTAAAAGCATGTTAATGTTTATTTAGTTAATTTGGTACAGTGGAGTGAATTTTGGAAGAATAATTATTTGGTTATTATTACTAAATGTGAGTTTTTAAATTTTGAATGGAAAAATTAGAAATGAAAAAAAAAGACAGAAAAATTAAGTATGAATTTAAACCAGTAGTTTGAGATTTGGGATGTCAGAATACATCGCCTTGTTGGGTAACCACCCCGCCCACCCCGTTTAGATTGGTTATGGGGGTGGTTATTGGGGGTGAGGATGTGAGTTAGGATTGAAAACTCCAATGGTCATGGGACGGGAATTGGAAAATATCGACCCCCACCTCATTTATAGTGATAAATTATATTTTATCCTTATACTTTATTTTAGATTAAATAATATTAGATATATATTAAGCTAATCCTAGTTTATTCTATTTCAATTACTAAACATCCATTTGTATTATTTTCATTTTAGAACTTTTATATGTTATTTCGATTTTTCTACAATAATATTAAGTTTCAAGTTCCAATTGAGAAGATGTATCTTGTTTTTATCCATAAAAGACAAAAAAAAAAAATTATTATCACAGGTGATTTTTTTTTTTTTTTTTTTTTTTCTATTTATTTTCATTAGATTTGTAATATAATTAGAGAAATACTCTACAAAAATTGCCTCCGCCCCACTAAATAAACGATTTTGGACAAGAATATGAGTAGCCATGTAAAACGGGTTGGGGATGTATTCTTCACCCCAAACCGTGCTGTTGCAATCCCTAATTGGGGCTGTAAACTTAGACATTTGTGAGAATAGAGTGTGTTGGATTCAAAGGAACTCAAACGAGGAGAAGTGACTCTCCAACCCGTTGCCATCCTTATCTAAGTTACAGAGAGAGAGCGAGAGAGACAAAATTTAAGTCAAACGGAGTGAGAACGGGAGCAAAAGCGAACACGACAGAGTTTAAGAGCGGCATCTATTGAAAAATATTGTGCGAATTATATCTCTATTACAAGCAGGACTCGGGAGTCTAAAAGTGTGTAAGTTGAAAAGGGGAACCTGTAATAGGCCCTGCCCATCCTCCTATAAGGACGGGTGAACCAAAGGCCGATGGACTCGAGTCAGGTTGTGGGATTTGGACTAGTTTTTCACCATAAAATTTAATTTATATCACAAATATACCACTTTTGACCACTGTCTCAATAACAGAGAGAAGAAAAAAAAAAAAAATCAAGAAAGAAATTCATTTGACCACAATTTGTTTCTCCAGTTGAAAAAATAAAAAATAAACAAAATGGTAAAGAAAAAGAATGGGCATAGTTAACACTTGAGACTATCATTTAGGGCACGGTAGGTCAGTGTTGCATGACATGGTTTTGTTGACACTGAACCGTTGGATGATTGCGATCGGGTATTGAAATCCCATTATCCCGCCATCGCTGCTTTAGTACTCCTGTCACAGAATCGTCAGTCATTCCCACTCAAACTTGAGAGAGACTAATGGAAACAGACGAAGCCCAACGGCTGCTACCATTTCAGCTTCAATTCGACAAACCTCTTGCCTCTCAGGTTTGTCTAATCTCTCCATCTCTCTATACATGTATGTGTATATCTATATACGTGTGTGTATACAGATATATGTTTAAAGACTGCTTGTTTTTGATGAAGCATTTTCACTTGGCAGATCAAGATAGCGGAATGGAACCCAGAGAAGGATTTACTGGCAATGGTCACAGAGGACTCTAAAATTCTGCTGCATCGCTTCAATTGGCAGAGGCTATGGACTCTCTCTCCTGGTGACCCCTCCCTTTCTCTCTAGACCTATTTTTGTCCGTCTTTATTGTTTCCTATTGAGGGGCATTGTGGGTGTGACTCAAAATTAACTAGCATTGCTGATTGTTAAAAGAGTGTGAAATGTTATGAATTCAATTTCTGTGTTAACCTTACATGTAATCCCCAGAGTTATAAATCCAATTGGTATTACCAATCCTTGCAGGCCTGTTTGGGTTTGGAGTCTATTTGTACTTCATCCCTTTGGACAGGGTTGAAGCCTAGTATGTTGCCTGGCGAAGAATAAACCAAATTGGTATTGTTTTCAAGGAGTGTAGAAACAAAATTGATTTACTCCTACAACAACAAGTCTTTTTCCTACATGAATCCTATGTTTCCATTCTGCTCTATTTAAAGCCATAACCTCAGTCAAAAGAAAATTGATTTACAGTGTGGGATATTTGGTAACTAGGTGGACACATTGGGTCTGAGTGCCACGTTGGTGTTGGATCTTCTAGCTATTATTGGTTTCAAGTTGTTTGCTGAATTAACTGTTTGACCATTAGGGGCTGCAAACAAGGTGTTGGGTGATGTGGTAAGGTTATGGAGTACAGTTAGAGAGAGAATGGTGGGTTTTTGGCTTCTAGTGGGGATTTTAAGGAGACAAAAAATCACGAATCATAGAAACTGTAGGGTGAGATTTGCTTATTCAACTAGGCATACTCAAAACTGACGTGTTAGTGTGTTACTTTTAGCTGTGATGGAATATTGATAGGTAAAGTTCTAAAAAAATTTCAGTCTTATCACTTTGTGCTTTATACATGTTTTCTGACCAATTAATTCGCGAATCAGGTTCCCTTATAATCATAGTCATATTTTGTAAGAATGATAGATTGCATTAAAGTGTGTTGAAGCATTTTGTTTTCAGCAACTACATTGTTTTGTCCAATTTAAAGTGTTGGTTTTAAGATGGTATACGAGGGTAGGGATGTCACCTTTCTTATCCTTTTTTTCCCCCTTTTGTTCTCCTGTTCAGAAGGGTGGTTTGATAGTTCACTGTTTTATCTCTTTTCAGGTAATTAAAGTTTTTTGAGGTATGGTACTTTATAATTAGATCGTAGCTAGTGCATTTTTTTTCCCTCTTTTTTGGGATAAATAATAAATAACTGGTGCATTAACTGGTAACTTAATGGGGAAAAAAGATGATTGATGTAGTTCAGGAGAGAATGGAGCTTATTCAGTGACATAATTATCCAATAAGGAGGACTATCTAATTTAAAGTCGATAATTCTCAAGAAAATTAAGTTTATGATAAAGGGCCAAGTTAGGTATATGTTTAAACTCTACGCTGAGACACGGTATGAAAAATAATTATCAGTCTTGGCAGCTCAAGTTAGGATCATGATTGAAATGGGGACCGTAGAATTATTTGTTTCCTGATCGGCAAATTGTTGAAGAGTGAAGTGTCAGGTTTATAATCAAACACTGCACTGGAGAAAGGATGTTGTCAATGAACAACATTTCGGAAATAGGAAGTACGTCGTCAATCGGTTTATAAAAAGTTCTGATGGGATGTTTGAACTCATACTAATTACCACGTCGTATGCTAATGGAAGATGTGGCTGCTTTTAAATGCTTTGAAAGAATAAGCGAAGCTATAATAACTTGTGGATGGGGAGGATGGTGTGCTTGTGCATGCTAACTAAGCTGCAAAGGATAGAATAAGATATGACATAGATGGAAGCGATGTTAAGGTCGATGCTGGTTGGGTGTTTGAATCATCTGGATCTAATTTTATTTGATTTTATATTCTAACTGTGGAATTAGATGCTTTTGTTATTCAGCTGGAGATTATAGGGCATTGTGACAGAAAAAAGTTTCTCTCTTGAAATGTTGTTTCAGCACTCGAAGGAACACTTTATGGGAGGCAAAAACTGACATTTTTTTTTTCTTCATTAGTAAATTTAACAGGTAGAGAGGAAAAAAGAAAAAAAAAAAAAAAAAAAAAAAAAAAAGGAAGAAGAAAGAAGAAAAAGGAGAGGAAATTCTAACAATGAGTAGAGGTTTAAAAGGAAATGCAAGTGTGGTTTGTGAAGCAGAAAAGAAGATAACGGCTATCCTTGGAGTTCTCATTTTCTTTATGAACTCCTTGTGGAACCATAGAGGTCTCACCGTCTCAGCATTGGTTGTGCTGGGAAGCTGTGAAGTGGAGTTGATAGTATGGTGCTGAAGGAACAAGTATAAAGAGTTTCTGTATCGATAAGGGACGGAGCCATCCTATACCGAGTTGGGGCATCCACCCCCACTGAATTTTTTTTTTTTTAATTACATTTTATATTCATGATTTTGTTTAAATCTTAATAATGTCTTCACAAAATAATACTAAAACCCCCCATTTATAAACTCGCTCCTACTGAAGGTTTAGTCTTCATACTCATGACACTCGCTCCTCTCTTGTGAATACTGTAATTGTTGACTTCTTGTTCTTCAACTATCATGCAACGTTTTCAAAATATGAAATTTCGCCGACAACAATTGTAAGTGTATCCAATAAAAATATCAATTAGCGTTAAAGTTCTTTTGTTTATTGTGATAGTTGAAATATTATCTTATCATTGTTCAAGGCCGCCCCCTCTCAAATAAATTTCTGGCTCCGTCACTGGTAGTGACAAAGATGAGTATTTGTTTTTTCGTGTAGCTCCTGTCTATATCTACTTGTAACCTCCATGTGAACGTTTTCTTACTTCGCTCGCTTCATTACTTGCGGATTTAGAATTTGTAGTGGCTGTTGCTCCTCTTTGATTAATTTTCCTCTATACCTAATCACATATACCTCGGGTGTACTTCTTGGTTTTATTTTGATTGTAACTTGTAAGCGTCAATTGATTTGTATTTGGCAGGCAGGCTCGTGTAGTGCGCTTGGCCACTGCAGAGTGCAGATGGTGTCACATTATTTGATGAAATATCCATGCCGCCTGGAAATTATAGTTTCTGTGGGAATCACATGATTTTTTTTTAACTCTATGCCTCTCTCTCTCACACACACACAGTCACACACTCACTCTCTCTTCAATTTCTATTGTAGACACTTTAACTTTGAAAATTTTGTTTTCTGTATGTGCTTTTAGAGTTTGTCAATTTAATTGGCATATTGGAGTTGTTAGATACTAAAATTAAAATGGAGAAGTGCAGCCTAATCTGAAACTGGTCATTTTCTTACTTAATAATTAACATATTTTTATGGGTTAAAATCATAAAACCCTCACTACTTTTAAATTTTGATCATAAAACCCCAACTTGTTATAAAAAATGATCACATTGTCCCAATATGATCATAAAACCCCAACTTGTTAAATGACAAATTTGACCTTACTATTTAATATTAAATAAAAAACTGAAAATTATTTTTTTAGATCTTCTTTTTCACCCCCTCTCTCTCTAAAACCCATCAATCTCAGATCTTGTTCTAAATGAAGCATACACCCTCACCAAAAACCTCCATTATCGTCACCATGTCTCCATCATCCTCACTGGAAATTCAGGACAGCCACCACCTAAAGCCACACTCATCCTCTACAACCCAATCACAAAACCAGTCCCAATTCTGGGAAAAAAAAAAAAAAAAAAAAAAAAACAGTCCACAAACCCACCACCGGAAATAGTTCAGCCCCCCCCCCCCCCCCCTCTCTCTCACTTCTCTCTTTCTATAAAACAGACCCATCAAAACTCACCAAAAGCTCAAAAAATTCAGAGCAACAATGGTGTTGCTGTGAAAGCAAACATTGGTAATTTCAAAGACGAAGCGACCCTCCGGCAGCATGTCTGATCAAGAAATTGAAGGTGACCCTCCGGAAAGCACCACAACGATCCTCTGTTCTTCAACTCTTCCTTGAGTTCTTCGGATATGAGTTTTGGAGAATTCTCATCCTTCGAAACATAATCCTTCCCGGCGATGAATGAGGGCTTTGTTTTAGAGAGAGAGAGAGGTGAGAAACTGACATCTTGCCACATACACATTGGGTTGCCAATATACAAGCCTTACCCACAAATCATTTATCTTGCTTTCTGCTAATAACTGAGATAAATTGTCATGAAAATGAACCTCTGTTACAGCTTGGAGAACCTGAAGCTTTAAATTCTTTACAATGACACTCTAATTCTCGCCCAGGTACCTACAAAATGAGATAGTGATTGGACAAATCAGGACTATGGTAAGAAAATATTATTTGCGTACTTTATACACATTTGATCCATTTAAAAACAAAACAAAAAACAAAAAAAAGATGATTGAATCTTGAGCTGTTTCCATATCTCCTTGTACACCTATGGTTATGTTATCCCCTTTCCAGGTAGCAAAGGCTTACTATCAATTTTGGCAGTAGGGTAATATTATAGCATAATTGTAAATGGGCAACAACGCAGATATTAGAGGCATTAATTGTCTCTGGAACGGATAATTATTTTTTGATGGGTCTGTTTTAGAGAGAGAGAGAGGTGAGAGTTTTAGAGAGAGAGAGAGGGGTGAAGAAGAAGACAACCCAGGGTATTTTTGTAATTTTCAAAAAATAATTTTCAGTTTTTTATTTAACATTAAATAATTGTAAGGTCAAATTTGTCATTTCACAGCCCGATTAACGGGTCGGGCATGGATATTGGGCAATGTGATCACTTTTTAAAAGTGTAAGGGGTTTTGAAAACAGGGTTTTATGATCAAAATTTAAAAGTAGTGGGGGTTTAATGATTTTAACCCTATTTTTATTTATTCACATAAAGATATGATTTATTGGGTTGCTATGAGTGTTTTTCTTTTTTTAAATACTGATACTGGACTTTAAATCTTATCTAGGAAGGTGCATAACATCCTTATGCTGGCGCCCTGATGGTAAAGCGATAGCTGTTGGGCTTGAAGATGGAACTATTTCATTGCATGACGTCGAAGTGAGTAGCAAAGACACTCATCCATTTAGCCTATTGTGCCTTGATTAATGATTAACCACCTTTTCTTAACACCTCAGTTTTTTTTTTTGGTGACAGTTGAGGCTACTTTTCATGTTGTGTTTGATTGCATTCTTTCTTATGGCTACATAGTTGTTTGTTGTTGCTAGGTTTTTTTTCCTGGATTTGTTCTGTTTATCGATGCTTTAAAGAGCTTCAGTATGCTGTTCTGCTAAGTCTGCAGGTTTTTAATGTAAACGGGATCCCCCCACCCCAAAAATAAAAAATAAGATTTGTTGTGGCAACAACTGTATTTTGTTCTTTGTGGTCCAGGATGTCTTCCAGGCCTCCCAAGCAGTCCGACTGAAGAGAGAGAAGTTGAAGGAGAAGGATAAGGAGAAATACAAGTGTAAGGACTGGACAAAGGAGATGGTTAGGAAAGATAGAGACGAATCAAAATGAAAGGGATAGGAGAGGGGGCAAGTACTATAGGGTTCTTCCAAGATGGCGAACCTCTCTTCAAAGAGATATGACAAGATATATTAAAAACCTTAAAAGTTATTCAGGAAAAAAAAAAAAAAAAAAAACGTAAAAGTCTTTCGATCCTACTAGGCTAAGTGCCAAGTCACTAAAGTTGTGCCTTAGACACGACTCAACTTAAGTGTATGTGGATGTCCTCACATCATAGGCTGTAAATAAACTAATACAATATAACTAAGAAAAATTTAAAATGAAATAATAAGGCTAAATAAACCATAAAACTAAGCTACATCAGCTCCCTTAACTGATAGTCAAAAGAACTTGACTATGTTGAGAAAGCCTCTGAAAATCTCAGGAACAGTTCTCAGTTTTGTTTCAACTTTGCCTCATTAATTCATGAACAATCTGTCAAAGACCAATCTCTCCAACAAACTAAGTAGTTGCAACGTGTGTCTCAGCGTGTCTCTGTAGTCCCGACATTGACCACATCCTCAGTATGCTCCCAGGCAGGCGTAGTCACATCTGCAATAGGTAGATTAACATTCCTTACTGGCTCAGGTGGGTTTCCATGAAATATGATAATATCCGCCACATTGCAGCACTAATAATCTTAGGTGTTGTTTGATAAAACTGAAGTACTGAAAAGTTTTAAGTGCTGAAGTTTTTATGTGATAATTAAAAATTGAGTTATTTATTTATTTTTTATTTTTTTATATCTATTTGAATTTTAAGTGTTCAGCATTTAGTGATAAGTGAAGTTAGTGTCACTTAACATCTTAACCCATTTTAGTGGCGCTTACCTTTTTAAATGATTTTCAAATTGCGTTATCAAACATATTTATTATTATTTTTTTCTTCCTCAAACACACTTCCGTTCAAATTAAGTACTGAATTGGGTTAATAAACAACACATTAGGCTTCACAAGCTGAAAAAATTTATTTTCCTCTGGGCCAATTAAAAGAACCCCTTTCAAGACAATCAATTATGGGAGCTATTTGGATTCTAATGAAATGCCTACAAGATGAAACTAACCCATAAAAGCTATGAACCTCTCTAAGTGTCCTGGGGTAGACCTGTTTTGAACTGTTTCAAGTTAAATGGGGCCAAGTTTAGTGTCATCAGCCAATTCAATATATCTGAAAAAAAGGTTAAATTACTAGGAAAAGTGTGCATTTCTGCAGGTTAAATATTTTCTTATTTTCTCTCGGGATATAATATATGACTGCAAATTTTACAATGAAAGGCCTAAGCATTTGTTTCATTGTGCACGTGAATGCGGTAGGATCATTCGACGAACCAAATGGCATAGTGAGCAACTCATAAAGGCTTCTCTACTTGAGAGCTATCTTCCGCTCATATCGTGGTCATATTTTTATCTGACAAGGAGGAGAAAGTAACGAGAATAGCATTTCTTGTGTCCCCAAAAGTTCCAAATAAATTTCTGCAAGTTTTTCCTGGGTTTCGAAATGTTTTCAAAACATTTCTGAACCTTTTTTTTTTTTTTTTCTGAAAATTTCCTGGAAGTTGCAACATGCATCCGAAAACAGGTTTCCTCAGAAAGGGATTCTTGTCCTCAAAGGAAGTCTGCTGGCAACTATAATCTCACTTAATCGGAGTGCAAACTCCGTGAGCCAAGGAAAGTGTGACAAGCTGTTGGGAGAAGTGTTCCAGGCTCCTAAGCAGTCCTACTAGAGAACAAGGTTTAGGAGAATGAGCAGAAGAAGGGGAGAGGTTTAGAAGAAAAGAAAAAACCTATCCTCAAAGAGACATGATGGGATTTGTATAGGAAACCCTGGATCTTAAGATCCTAAGTATTATTTCTTGCATGTGATTACTTTTCATCATCACATATATTTCTAATTGGGAAGTCAATGAAGTTGATTAAGATGTTATGTGCCTTGCATATAATTACCTAAAGCATAACTTAAGTGGATGTGCAACTTCTCCGCATCATAAGTTATAACAAACTAAAATAAAATAATGAAAATGCAAATGTAATAAACAGAATAAGTAAATCCAAATAACTACCCTACATCACTGTTAATGAGGTGTTGGCCCAAGCAGCACATGTGTTTACAGTTTATTTTTTATTTTTCTGAATATTAGATAAATGAACATGTATATGGCTTATGCTCAAACATCTATGTAACGTGCATGCATATGTATGTATGTTTATTAGGTAACTAGGGTTTTAAGTTACTTGTTGTTCTTTGACCATAATATTAACATCATGGCTTTGATCTTTGTGTTTATGTTTCCAGTACAGGAGTAGAATTGAATCAAGTTTACTGTTATCTGTTGTTGAAAATTTCAGTAGTTGATCGTTTGAAGATCTTAAAGTGCAACTTAAAAGATGTAAATTTTAGATATTGTTGTAGGGTTGTAGTATCATCCAATGTGTTCTTTGTATTAACTTTTATACTTGTGTCTGTACAGCTGTTGCTAAACTGATGAGAGCTTTGCCATTTTGCTACCTCAAGACATGGCATGAATACATTTGATAGAATGTCTATATGTGGTCATGAATTCTAATATATGATGGAACAAATATACTTAAATTTGTGTGTACTTCTCTAGTGTCTCATACCTTCTTTTTCCTTAGCAAATTGATCTCTGTGCATATATTTTTGGTGTCTTTTATGTAAAGCAGAATGGAAAGTTGTTGCGAAGCGTAAAGTCCCATACTACAGCTGTTGTGTGTCTTAACTGGGAGGAGGACGGACAGCAGGTTGGGGATATGCTTTTTTCTAAATTTTTATTCATATTGTTTTCACGGCCACGTAACCATTGTGGATTTGAAAATAAAATTGCAATGCTACTTTTTACTGCAAATGTATGGCAATTTGAAAAAGAAAAGAAGAGCCAATTTGTTTGTTCTTCTTTATGTTTATGTAGTAAGGTGGAGTTTGATTACTGTTGTTCTTTCAGATGCACTTTAAACTTCAATGTTTGGTTATAATTTAGTTACATAGGACAGGGTTGGCCTTATGAGACTTTATGAACTGTCAAGAGCAAGCAATGGAATTTTATTTTTTGAAGTATTGCATTGGCTTTGGCATAAATTTCAGTCACTTTAGACTTGTAATCCTTGATTCAACTCAACTCAACTCAACAAGCCTTGATCCCAATTCTTTGTAAAGCCATACCCTTGTTTAAATTTAAGTCCATTTTGTTCCTATTTACAGACTTGATCTATGATCTTTTGGATTAACTTATTGTTTCTTGGAACCATTAGGTTCACCATCTATAACAGTGCACTAATTGGTTTGTTTTGCACATGGCATCTTGGACAACTTTTTCTTGTATCATCTTTAATTGGTTCCATTGTGAGCTTCCCACGAAAGCATTTCCTTGATATTACTGAAGGTGACCTTAGCCACATGGTTGGCACATATGGGGTGGCCATTCTCAAGCTCCGCACATGAATCTGTGAACTGAGAGCTCGTTCACTGCTAATCCGTGAATCCCATTTTCACAGTTCGCGGATTGACTTCTCTAATCCATGTATTCCACATGGATTGAAGCTGAGGCACTTTTTGTGATCCAGGTGTCCAGAGTTCAATGGCTGTGCATAGTCTGCAGTCCATTTCATGGGTGAGACTGCTGTAAATGCGATACTATGGTCCGCCTTTACCCCTACTCTTTTTTTTCCGAAACAGTAGCCACTCATGTGTATGCTGTAGTTGTACGAGTTAAAACTACAATCCGCTGAAGGGTTAAGTTTGAATACTTGCCTCCAGGCCCCTTTTTGTTTGTGAAAGTTTTGGAATAATCATAATATTTAATTAATTACTTCTACTATTTAATTAACTAAATCTATGATCAATAAACATATTTTGAATATTCAAAATTCAACAAAAAATGGTCTTTAATAAATTAAAATGATAATGTATTACATGGGATAAATTAGCATGAGTAAACATACAGATGCTCTAAGGGTGCTTCTACTCTATTTTTATTTTTTATTTTTTATTTTTAGATTTTGACTCTCTCTCTCTCTTGCTCGCTCACTCCCTCTTGCTCTTGATCTCGCTCTTGGTCCATGTGACTTAGGGTCAGGCACATGAATTGTATTCCTCCGTTATTCTCTATTTCAAGCTATTTCTCTTACTAAATTTAATTTCTTAAGGTCTTCTCTTATTAATTCATCCCATAGAAGTTTTGGTTTGTGTTGTTGTCTCTTACCTTCTATTAGAATATAATACTGGACATCAAACAAGAAAAAAGAACTATGCATCATTTTTCTGAAATGATAATACTAAGATGGATTACAGAAGTAACTAGAAGAGGGAGGATTAGCAGTTGACATTTTAGGAAGAATCACATTACATGTTAGATATTCTAGATTTAAGATTTTTAATATTTCATCTGCGATAATGCAAGTGTGGAATCACACATGCATATATATATATGTGTGTGTGTATATATATATGTATGTATGTATGTATGTATATGTATGTATGTATGTATATATATGTATGTATGTATGTAGAAAGGTTTCTATTGGGAAATCATTTTCGATATTCCTTCATTTTACTCTGGATAACTTGAACTATGATTTGTTGAGTTATTTATCAACTAACAAATTGATCTTCTTTTTGAATTTTTAAGTACTGTGTTACAATAGACGGAGTTTAGGCATCATGGCTACTACTTTATTGGGATAAATAATGAGTACCAAAAAAGAAAAGACTAGTTATGAGTCTTATCTTTGGTGGTTAAATGGCCTAATACCTGAATATCTCTTGGAGAATAAGCCAGCTTCCAGAGACCTTCAATTTGCATGAGTATCACTTAGGTATCGTCAAATTTTGTTTCTGTCACCTTATATCTCTAAATAGCTCTATTTCTCAATTGGTTGTGTGTCTCAATCTCTCTGTGTGTATATCATTGCAAATGCTTATTTTTTTAATCTGGCATATAGTGCTGCTTGGTCTGAAATTGGAAATTAATTGGCTTGCAGAGGAGTTAAGATCCCGTTTGATGTCAGTAAAAACATGCTTCCCAATTGGTTATTTAGGTTTTTAACCCAGAAGAAATCAGAATTGGCCAATTTGTTGAACATTTTCTGTATACCCATCTATTAGAAGAAAATCTATGTTTCTTATTCTCATTTGATATAATATCGGGAATAATAAAAATTAAAAATTAAAAAAGAAGAAGAAGAGAACTTTTAGGTTTCTATAGCACTCAAAATTTAGAAAGCTCCTTTAGTACCAAGAGGTGGTTATGGTGCTAGCTTGTCTTTGCCTGCTTTTGTGGTGAATTTTCTTTTAGATGCAACATATAAGCTTGTCTATATGCGGATCATCAAAGTCAATTTGTTGTATCCTCGCACCGTCTTTACTTTTAGATTGCAATTGTACATTTTATTGCAGTAATGCATTTGCTGGAATATGCTCCTCAACTGGAAACGATTGACAAAAATGATGGAACTATGGTCTTAGAGGCATATACAGGGGTTCTTTACCTTTATAGGGAATGTAAAGACGAGGAATGATTCAATCCTTTGAAAAGTAAACAGATTTTCTGCAGCTTCTAGGTAAAGGATTTAGAATTTATATTACATCGTTCGCACCTGATAGTGGGAATTGATGTTTCAAGGAAAGGATGATGTAGAGATGTGGAAATTTGAGGCTTCAAGGCTTTGATATAGATTGGAGTGTTGGAGAAGATTTATGGTAATTATATAAATTTTAGTTCCAATGGGTAAATACTAGAATAAAACATGTGCACTGGGACCAAACAACTCAGTTCCCTGGACTGTGAAGTTGTTTAAAGGTGTTCAAGAGTTTTTAACCCATGCTAATTGAGTGGCTGCTATAAACATGATTGCCTTCATTTAATTTTGTAGGGATGTATTATTGCTTCGGATAATCTCAGAAACTTGGTGGTACTTTTAATTTTTAACCACGATTTTACTTTTGTATAAACATATGATACTTATTTTCCTTGCACTTGAGTCTTTATCTGTTTTTATTTTTTCTTTTTCTCTCATAAACAGAATACTCTCTCTCTGAATTGATATTTAGGATGCCAGTAGTAACATCTCAATTTATGAAGACCGTACTTCCCGTTTCTTCCCTCCTGCTCCAAGAGTTCCTCGGATGCCTGGACTGGTACCTGGAGATACTGGTTTTATGGATGACAATGATGATTCATTTCGGGAACCATCAAATTCTTCACATCAACGATTTAACATCCTCTCCAGTGGGGACAAAGATGGAAGCATCTGCTTTAGTATATTTGGCATATTCCCAATAGGAAAAATTGTAAGTCTATTATCATAATATGGGAAATACTTAATATATATATGAGAGGTCTCTTTACTAGTATATTTATTCTTGTTGGTTTCTGTTTGACAAGTCAGCAACCTTTTCTTTTTCTTTTTTTCCTCATTGGATGTGGATTACATCTCTGTATTCATGTGCCAGAACATACACAAGCTTTCTGTTTGTAGTCCACTAATGGATGGACATGTGACTTGCCGATTTCTGAATGCTTCCATTTGTAAGGTACGTTCATCTTTATTGTGGATGATCTTAGAATGCTACATTTCTATTGTACTATACTGTGCTTGTGAACTGGAAAGTTAGTTACATCTCCAATAGAGAGTATTTATCTTTATTGTTCTATGTTTATTTAGGTAGTTTTTGTGCCAATTGCCAACATAGATTTACTGTTTACCTTTTGTATAAGAGGAATATAATAATTTTGAAATGATGGCGGAACTAGGTATACTACTACAAACAGAAGCTATGGGTTGCCTAGGCTATGCTAAAATGGCAGTCACAAGGAGTTGCTTTGCTGAGGCTTGGAAGTTTATGCATATTACTCTGAGCAAATGTTTATGAAATTTTAAACAAAATCCTTCTTTTTAACAGTAGAAAATGAGTTCTTGTAATGTTTTCTCAAGAATCATGGTTCCTAAAAGAGAAGGAATTAATAAAATAATATGTATCTCAACTGCATGATAATGTATTGTGAAGATTCTCTAGAGTCTCTGGAAATTTGTGACCAAGGTCGGTGCATGTGGACCAAGAATCAGAAAGTAAATTCTGCATTCTAAGCGGGAAAGTAAAACAATCAGGACAACTTTGAAATTTTTTTATTATCAAAGGTAGGTTTTTGGTTTGAAACCCACAAAGGGATAAATACTTTGGTGCATCATGTCAATCAACCTTTGAAATTATGGGTGACTAATTTGATTCTAAGCAGTTGGCACATTCCTCTTTTACCGTTTCCATTTAAATTTGTGTCTTTACCCTTTTGATGAAATTCAAGATTTATCTGGAAAGAAGTATTGAGAAGAAATTTAGCTGTTCCTCATTTTCTTTCAGTTGAATGAGAAAAGAAATTTAGTCATCAACAGTCTGTAAATTGCATCAACTTAAGCAAGGAGTTTTCAGTCTTCTTGGTTGGAACCTGGTATCTATCTGTAATTTATTTAATTAGTTTTCAAACAAGAAGTCCTTTATTGTCACAATGATAACAACTTCAATATCATCTATTGCAGTCTTTAGTTTCTTTTCACAGGTGAGTGAATGTTCTGGAGTAATGTTACATTGTTGATGTGTCTTTCTTGACTTTAGGTGGCTTTGTCAAAAGATCTTTGTCATTTGATAGTCATGTGCTCTGGGGAACTCTTTGAAGATAGGGTTGAACCTAGCGGCAGACAAATGTCTGTTGACTCTGGTCATGATTTACTTGGTTTGCATTGCTTAGTGCTTGATACTTCAATCTTTTCCAAGAGGTAATGTTTCTATGCAGCAAAAATTGTGGTTGCTGAAAGTTTTTTACATTTACGACTTGTTTTGTCCTAAAATTACATTTACTTGGGCTGTTCTGCTTTTTTGCTCCTTTGCCATTCCATTCCTCAGAAATTGGTGCTTTTTTAAGCTTTGTTTCCTCGGACCTGTACCTGTAAAGTTCTAAGTATTGTTACCCATTGGTTGGGCTATCTGAGACTGCCATGAACTTGATAATAGCATTTTATCAATTCTTTATTTATTAATGAGCTATATATCCTTTCATGTTGTGTGTGATTAAATTTTGTGGGAGCACTTTGTTAGCTGATTTGATGGAATATTTATTAAATTATTAATTATTATTATTTGTTGGTAGGTGTTGTACAATATTGTATGAGTTGTCACGTTGTACAGTATTGTATGAGTTGTCACACGTGTACAGTTAGTATTGTATGAGTTGTCACCTACCCCTCATTACCATATATAAAATTACCATGCATAGGGTTTACTTGTTCTCCACTCACTTATTCCTGTAACTTCTCTTATATAAACACCTTTGTATTATTGTATTACTTACTCAATAACATATATGTTTTCATATATCCTCTCTCTCTCTTTCTCTCTCTATCAAGATGGTATAAGAGCGGAAATCGATCCCTCTTTAAATTTTTTTCTTTTCTTATTCAGACTCTCCGATCTTGATTCCATCTCGGCTTTCTCTCAGCAATCTCTTCTCGGCGATCTCTCCTCGGTAGTATTAGTTTTTCCATATGTAGCAAGCTGGGAGTTATTGACATTTACTCTCCGGCTTGAGGGGGAGTGTTGTACAGTATTGTATGAGTTGTCACATTGTACAGTATTATATGAGTTGTCACACGTGTACAGTTAGTATTGTATGAGTTGTCACCTACCCCTCATTACCATATATAGAATTACCATGTATATGGTTTACTTGTTCTCCACTCACCTATCCCTGTAGCTTCTCCTATATAAATACCATTGTATTATTGTATTACTTACTCAATAACATATACGTTTTCATATATTCTCTCTCTCTCTCTCTCTCTCTCTCTTTCAACAATAAGTAATATGATGGAATTTCACTCCTTAAAGAAGTAGAAATATTGAATTGATGAACAGAAGGGAGAAAAATGAGGAGAGCACCAAGGGTTGTAGCCTAGCGGTACTTCCTCACCTTCCAAAGTAGAAGGTTAAGGGTTCAAGTCCCTGTAGGGGCAAAAGTGGGTGTGTCAGTTTCTTGCCAAGGTAAAAAAAAAAAATGAGGAGAGTGGATTGATAGTACAATAAAGTGAAATCTTTTAGAATAAGTGGTTCGTTTAGTACTCCTTTCACTAAAAAGTATGTTATGACTCTGTTTCGTGTGTTGGCAAATTTCATAGTCAAACCTCATCGAGTTGCGTTTTGTTTTAGTTTGAGCCTTGTCCAAGTTGGGCTACATAGATCAAGAAGATCATCTTCAAAGGGTTGATGAAGTCATGAATTATTTGGTGACATGTAAAAGAGTGTTGAAAGGTCACAAAAATAAAAATAAATAAAGTTTTGGAAATTTAAATTTTGCTTTGAAGTGTTTTTAACATAGGACATTGCATTTAAAATTGAAAAGTTTCAAAATCTCAAATCTTTGTAAGATGCACCCGTAAAAGCAATCCAGAGATTTATGCACCAATACACATTTTTGACATTCACCAGTACCTGTGCTCCAGTACATCTATTTTACATGCACTGGTACATGATTGCACATATACTATTTTAAGTGTTTCTTTTTAATTAGAAGACACCCTTAAGTGATTTTTTCTGCATGAAAAGTTCTGTAATTTTTTTTAAAGACTAATATGTCTTGAACTTAGATAATAAACTCTATATAAACATATTTTTAGGGTTGTTCAAGTCTATTTCTTTTCTACAGAAATTATTCTGCATTTTGAAGAGACACTTCTTCTACCTTGCTTGTTTTTTTGGCTTTCAAGAAAGATAATACTTAATATACAAGCTTTTTGTTTCTGTTTTATTTGCACACTTCTGCACGAGAGTGTAGTTTGTGTGTGCGCACTTCGGATTAATTGTTTGTGAATTAAGCTACTCATGGAATATTAGAGAATGGTCAAGCAGCAGATTTTATCAATTTTCACCTATCTTCTTTGTGAGGATTGAGTTTCAATACTGAAGAAATGTGGATGGCATTGATTGACACAACTAAACTCGGGAGCAGGCGTAGTCCGAAGCCTGCATTAACATGGCTTGTTGGATGTGAGTGGAAACCTGGTGTGATTTGAGATGTTAAACTGTCTGATCAGTGTCGGGAGTAAGTTTGTCCTAGAGTTCTGGGTTTGTACTTTTTGATTCATAGTGGATTAATTAGCCCAAGATAGATGCTCGGTGGTTTTCCATGTTAGAATAATTATATATCTATTTATTTTGCTTCTCTCTGCTATATGCTTTATGTAATAGTTGCTAATTATCAATGTAAATTTAAAATTTGTAAAAAGAACAAACAAATTTTACTCACATGTAGGTTTGGTTACATACTTGTGAATGCATTGGGAACTTCTGCTTGCACACTCTCAGACTGATAGGGAAGAAGGGAAAGTGCTCCTCTTTCTTCTTCTTTTTTTTTTTCTTTTTTTTTTTTTTTTTTTTCTGTCCTTTCAAAATATAAGTATTCCTTTAATATGTAAAGGTATAATAGTAAAATAATACAATGTTCCTTTCCTTCTTGCTTTCCCCTTTACTCACCCAAACAAAAATGCCCTTTTCTTTATGTGGATATACCTCCTCCATCTCTCCTACCGTCCATTCCTTCCATTTTTCCATCACTTGTACCAAACAGAGTATAATAAGCGGAAGACAAGAACTAGGCACCCTTGAGGCTCAAAATAATAGAAAATATGGTGCAATAGAAGATGATTATGGTGAAGATGATTCAGTTGTAGCCATTTGTGTAAGAAATCATAGTAAAAATAATTATATATTACATATCTTGTTTGTTCTCCTATCCAACTAGCCAAATATAACATAATGATGAATTACAGTTGAATGCCACAGGTAACATATAAAGCGAATCTCTCATTTGTGATTCTAACCACACCACTCAATTCAGGATCACTTTGATTGAGTGACATATTTCATTTGCTATTCTGGCTACACATCTCATATTCAGAGAAGAATGAAGAGAGTTCTCTCTGAATTCACACGATTTATTTATTTTTTATATATTTTTATTTTAAAAATCAGTTGAGACTAGAAGATTGAAACCTTGTTCCGAATTTCCTGCAGTGGAGGTGGCTAAAATCACTTGGTTCCAGGTTCTTGATGCTGCTGGTATCAAACTTCAGGACACTATTGCTTTTATGTAGATTTGTGATAAGACCTGTGTTTAGCTTTGTAATGTACTGGAAATGGTACTTTTCTGTTTGGGTCTCAGTTGGGTAATGTGAAGGAATGCCTTGACTGTCTAATCCTGTACTGAATGCTTGATCTTTCTATAGTAATCCAATACCTGCTTATGAAAAAAAAAACATTCCGAATTTATCATTTTTTAATTTCCTTTGTAGAATAAGTCATTTGACTGTATATGCCTCAGAGAGTTCGCAACCTTTCTCGCTCTCTCTCTCTCTTATCTCTTTTAGGTTACCAATATGCCTAATTTTGTTGTGGATGTATCCCCTTCTAGTAGTAGGCCCTGTTTTACTAGTTTGGCATTCAAATATGAGCTTGGATTTGTTGCCTTTATTTGATTTAGCACTCGTGACCTCTTTTGTAACTTAGAGAATAAATATATGGTGTTTTCTCCCTCTTCCTCCTTTCAACAATATTCATCATTTATAGATTATTTATTATTGCTCAATATCCCCTCCCTTTTAAGTTGCTATGAATTTCTTTGTCAAACATGTTGCTGTTATTTCTACCTTAAAAGAGATAATTTTAAAGTTTTGTTTCTTCTCATAGCTATGGGTGTCTCAAGAACTAAGGGGAATGTTGTTCACTTTCTGTTCATAGTTTTTTTTTACTATAACTAAAATAGAGATAAGAGTATGTAATGTTGAAATTACTCTGCTTAACCAAATCAATGATGATTCTAGTTGTCCTATTTGGAGGCTATTATAATTTTATATGACCTTTCTGCAGATAAAACTATCAGTTAATTTCTTTTATTTTTTCTTCCTCACAACCCCCAACCAACTCTAGGAAAAATGAGCTTCACCAGGTGGCTCAACAAGCTTCTAACATTGAGGATTTAACTGAAGTCATCCGGGCATCACTATCAGTCATGTGTAAGCAATGGTCTGATGCCATGCATACATTTCATGAGAAATTTTCTTCGCTTTCTACTCTGATAATGGACCACGGTAACTGCTGAAAACTGTCATGATTTAATGGCATCTTTCCCTATTTGTTTTCCGTTCACCATTCTCTACTGTTTATATACAGCACTAGACTCAACTCCCCAAGAGGAATTCCTTAGCCTTTTAGGCGGTGCTCGGACAAGTCCACCAATTCATCAATTTCTAGTTAATTCTCTTGGCGAAGTGGTATACTCTGCCTCACTTGAACCATCCGTACTATTTAAAATAAAATGGTATAATATATATATGAGTGAATTTATTACTAAAATAGGGTCTCAAGCGTGTAGCAAAGGTTGTCTGTGGTGCTGGAAAAGAGCTTCAGCTTATTGTTCTCGATCATCTACAGGTACACAACTGTATTTAGCTCTGTAAATGCATTATTTACTTTTTGAGAATGTAGTGGTTGTAAATAAGTACTATATGTAGGAGCGCATCTAATAGAATTAATAGATCAGGTGTTAGATCCACAGCATGCTTATATAAAGGTTTCCCCTATTCGGACAAGGAATGTGCAGAAATAACAATGGATGTATCTGTATTCCTATCTGCAGTATGGATGTATGATTGAGGTTAAATTTTCTCAATTACTGAATTGGAACTTGACATATAAAGAACAATGGAGACCTTTTGTCTTTTTGCAAAATTCTTGATTTCTCTTTTGCTTGTTAAAAGTGGGAACCAGGAAAGGCGCATAGGACTATAACATGTAACAATTTGATTTTTTGATATTGCATACTGATTTGTGTACAATATGATTTGTCGATATTGATAATTGTGCAGTATAACATGTTGAGTCTCTCTGTACCATGTTTTTATCATGGTTGGTATTATGGAACTATGTGGTTGCAAATTGTCATAGTAAGTTTGTAGCAATCTAATAGTCTTTTCCTTGGGCAAAATAAAGTTGAATATAGTTAGAACTTAGAAGGAGCTCTTCCTTGTCATCCTTGTAGCCCCTTTAATAAGGTTCTAGAGGTTTAGTTTTGATCCTTTGCAACCACTTCCCCTGGGGCTCCCATGCTTGATAAATAGTTCAAGGATGTACCTGGGTTCTAGTCTCCACAATTGAGTAGAATAGTGGGCTAGAATATTTACTGGCAGTTTCCCCTAAATTACCTCTGACATGGCTGCTGATATCATAAACATAAAATATGTTTTCTCTATACTTTTTCAATCTTATGTAATTTGAACTCTCTTTCAAGTGTTGCGCGATTCATGAGTGATACAATTTATAGCTTATTTAATGGGTTTCCTTTTCTTAATAAATTGTTGCACGTTGCTTCTAAAATCTATTTTTTTTTTTTTTTTTGATAAATAAAATTATTATATATCATTATGATTATCTCATAGAGTCCACTATTATTATATTACTTGTGTATAAATATTTGAACCAAATGCAGTCAGTCAGTCATATATTCCACTTACTAGGTTGTAGAGCATGAGAAACATGCAAGAGGTGTGGGCCTTAGCTAGATTACTTGTGATACTCAGATAAGATCTTTCGTGGTGATATTAGCCTATTAAATTTAGGGGTACTCCAGTAAAAAGCTAACATCTAGGAAGATCCATCATTCCTTGGTCAGGAGGGATCACTTACTGCTAAATGTTATTTATTTGTTTTAAGTTGTTGTTTCAGGTTTGTTCAAAATTGGAAACATTTAAATATGAAATACAAAGATATTAGAAATCTGAACATGCATGGAAAAAAATGTTTGGTTGATGCACCCTCTCATGTTGGCATACTTCAACATGCAATTGAGCTAAAATACTGTCGTGGAACTAAAAAATGGTTTGTATGGAGATTGCAACCTTTAATTCAAATAAGTAAATTAGCATGAGTGAAATAGACATCTAAGAATCAAAGATGTTTTTGATGAGCCAAATATTATTAAAATAGGCACTCAAGGGTGAATACTTATTGTATGAAGGCTGAACCTGACTCCATTCTATGGGGGATGTCAAACTAACCGGTGATGCCAATAAAAACGGGTTTATACATTTACAGAAAAGAAGAAAAGGAAAACATGCTTACCCGTTTGCTAAGTTTATTTCTCTTGATTCAAATTAGAACTGTTTATTTTAATCGGAGGTGCATGACTGCATTTTTCTATCTTCACCTTGCAAGTTGCCCTAATTTATATCTAATTTTCTGCCTACAAGTTTTTTTTTTGTCTTGGCCTTTGCATCAATGACTTGAAAGGAAGCTTAAAGTTTAAAGTTTGTTTTGTCTTGGTCTTTGCATTAATGTTTTACATCTCTTATTCCCAGCCTGCTGCAGAAATTATTGGATTTAGAATGGGAGAACTGAGAGGTCTTTCTAAATGGCGTGCACGTTATCAAGGTATCGGTTTGGATGAGACACTAATCAATAATGCGACAGAAAAGGCTGGCATGTTTCTTGTACAAGTGGAAAGATTTATAAGGATCCTATCCTCTGTGGTGCAACAGGTATTCTATTTCTAGGTTTTAGTTTCATTTCCCCCCACATTTGTGAGTTATGGCATATTTATGGTTGTATAATTATATGTTGTCTCTAAGGATCCTATTCTCGTGATGATCAAAGTTCGCCTTTTCTTTTCTTTTTCATTTTTTAATTTTTAATTTCTCTGTTGGTCTGAAGTATGTATGTTGATTGATCAAATCATTCTCCTTTGGCTCAACTAACAACTAAACGCCAAAGATGAACAAAGATTAGAACAACTGAATCACTGAAATCAGCTGTGGCACTAAAATTATTACGTAGTATTACATTAAAATGTTGTTGACCTTTTTACATTTACATGACATGCAATTTGGAATTTAGGGTTGCTATTTAGTGCATGCATCCCGAACTTCTGTATCAAGCCTTCAACAGAACTTGTTTCTCTATCAATGGCATGTTTATTTCGTATGACTCTTGCTTGTTAATTAAAAATGGGACTTGTTTAGTAAAGAGATAACTTGATTATAAGGTCTTAAGACAATTACATTAGATATAGCATTTAAGCGAATCATAATGTCTTTTTATTAAATTTCAGATTGTTTATGTTGAAAAGACAAAAAGGAGTCGTTTCGCCTCTTGGAAATTAGAGAGATCTAATATTAATTCTGAACAAATGTTGTTCTGACCAAAAACATAGGAAGTGAAAACCCATATTCTCTTTCAGTGTACACAGATTATTGAAACTCATCAATGGTTGTTAAAACATGAAAGCTAGATATAAAATGTATAAGCAATGGATATGAATTCCCAATTTGATAGAAGCAATAAACTTATGGATAATCTGTAAGAGGAACATTTTGATCATAGATTTGCAAATTACTTGCTCTTTTTTTTTTTTTTTTTTTTTTTTTTCCCAAATATAATAATATACTATTAAAAATTCTTAATAGTGGATAATGTGATATTAAAATAATAGGCTTGTGCTTCTATGGTCAATGTATGTATGACGATTAAGATTCAAGGTTCACTACCTTGGAATAATAGTACTTCCATTTTAGCAATGTTAGTAAATATTCAAAGTGAAAAATGGAGAACAGTTTTTTATTTTTTATTTTTTATATATATAAAATGAAAAAGCTTTTGCATACAAATAAAAAGAAAAAATTGATGAAGCTTTTTCTTGTATCTATTATCGGAAGAGCTTTCACGTAGTAATGATTGCTACTAGGTGAACAATTGAACTTCTATTTATCTTTGCTGTATCTGGAAGTGGAATTTATACAGGTGACCTTTTACTCTTCCACTCCGTTCCATGAATATTCTTCTAGAAAAGAATATAGTATTCTTGATTTCAAAGTTTAAAATCTTCAACAACAAAACAGTCATCTTTGCAGGCTATTAAGATACTTTTAACCAGAATAATACTGGATCATAAAAAAATTGAAACAAAGCGTGTTGAGAGGTGTTAGAGTAGTGAGCGTATCACGAGAACCAAAATCAGAAGTCACATGTCCAGATGTAGTATGAGGCAACAATGGTTGTGCAATACCATCCATAACCTGATGTGCATGTTGTGGTTTGCCATATTTCACCCAACAATAAGGTTCAGTGTGATTTGTACCACTACAATGATCACACTTCTGGCACCACGTCCGTTAGAAAGGCCACCACCACGAAAACCACGACCACCACGGTTACCACGAGAACCACCACGACCTCCACTGCTAGAGACTAATGTAGAAGACTCTATGGGAGGTACAGTGGAGCTTTACCCCAAAGATGACCGTAATAGACGAGAATAAGCATTAGCAGCTGTAGGTAACTTCTCACTAGCAAAAATCTGATCTTTGAGGCCACGAAGATCTGTATCTAAACCAGATAGCAATGAAGCAATCATAAATGCCTCCCAATGCCTCTTCTGTTGCTCTAAATCAGTACTAAATGGTCGATGTTGTAGTAACTGATCCCACAAAATTTTCAAGGTACTATAGTATTCCGACAATGGTTTCCCGGACTGCTTAGTAGCAAAATTTTTCTCATACAACTCATAAACTCGAGAGACATTACTTTGGTGTGAAAATGACTCTGCAATAGAGTCCCAAATCTTCTTAGAAGAATCACAAAATGCAACTGTACTAGCAATCTCGGGTTCCATACTGTGCCAAAGCCATCCCATAACAACATTATCCTCACACGCCCAATCTTCAAGTTGCTTCTCATCAGAGGGAGGATTTTCAGTCTAGTATTTCAATTTCCTTCGCCCACATTGAAAAACTTGAACCGCATGAGCCCAAGAAAGGTAATTAACTCCTTTCAATTTTTGGAAGGTAATGGACTTAGGCATATCATCATCCTTGATAGTTTGTGGCTTAGTCTCAGCCATGGGCAATATTGAAAACAAAATAAACCAGCAGCTGAACAGAGTATAAGTTCAGAATCAACACACAAAGCAAGCAGGAAGCAAACAGGTTTTAATATCAGTTTTATAGCAGCACCAACAACCCAATTCCAAGATTTAACAGCAGATTTCAGCCCCAATCTGACCAAAACAGTAACAACAGCCTGCAGCCCAAGAACCCAAACAAGGTTTTACAACAGATTTTAGCACCAAACTCCTCCAAGGCACAAACAACACCCTTTAGAAGGGATTTCAACAAAATAAACAACCAAAAATGGCTCCAAAATCCAGATCAAAACCCACAAGGCCAGAATTTAAAACATGTTTCAAAAATGGAAAACAACCCTCAAAAAGCATCAAAAGGCAACAAGAATACTATCATAATTACCAGAAAATTCAGGCGATCCAGTTGCTGTAATTCGTGACCTGTATATGCTGTTGTCAGAATGGTGTCAGCGAACTGACGCTGACGTCAACCTATTCTGGTGTTGGATAATTGAATGTCACTGAGTTCTAGACTTGATCTTGCTCTGATACCAAGTTAAAGTTGAAAGTTAGGGTTTGTAGAAGTAGAGAAGAAGAGGAAGAAGATGAGAGAAAGAGAGGAGTAATCTGTGAAAGGTGAGACACGCAGATTAGGGTTATCCCTACACCTCTCACCTATTATATATTAAGTAGACATAAAGACAATAGTAACCTTGATAAATAAAAGAAATAACAACCACACTCTCTGACAAGAGGAAAATAGGCAAGTCTCATAAGTTACTTTTAACTGTGCCCTGATTGTTTTTTTTCCCCCTCTCTCAAAGTCATTCGTGTTTGCCGATTCTTGTTTGTTTTTGCGGATTAATAAATACAAATAATAGAATGTCTGGCCTTCAGATGGATGACAATGTTTTCATTCTCTTTTGAAGCCTAAGCTACCCTTACCTTTTCTTCTTGCAGGTATATTCTTTGAACCCATAAATCAGGAATTTAGCTGTTCTAAATAAAGTGGATTTTATGACTTGAAAATAACTTTTACTCATTTTAAAATGGTATTGGGTGCAAAAAATGTTGTCCAATATGTACAGTTGGTTATGCTTTCGTTTCTTGTTTCATTGTTATGCGTCAAGATGTGATTTCCTCTTCTTGAATTTGTTTTTTAAAATATTCTCTCCAGAGCTCTAATAGCTGTTTCTTTCAGTTTTCAAACTTCTTCAGCTGGCTTCTGAAAAGTGTAAAGATACTAATGTCAGAACCAAGTGATCAGCTTCAACCATTCAGTAGGTTTGGCCTTTTTCTTTTTCTTTTTTTTTTTATTTTTTTATTTTTTTTATTTTTTTTGGGTACCATCTGTTTCTTTATTTGGGTTCAATTTAGTTTCCTGATTTTGTGAATTTATAATTGGTCCTATATTCTTCGGTTTTGGCAGTGAACTAGTTATTATATTCTTGAGGTTTCTGTATGATCAAGATCCGGTCAGGCAGTTGCTGGAACTATCTGAAGTTGATCACTGTGTTGAAATTGATTTGTAAGTACTCTTCCAACCACAAACAACTAGAGATGGAACTTCCGCTCTGACACCTTTTAGGAAAACCTGTTCTTTTGCTTATGTGCTATTTAATCAGTGGTAGTAGAGATCTTTCCTCAGTAAATCCTGTTCATGTTGATTCTTTAATTATTTGGTGTTGCTTAATTCTTCAGGGAAACAATGCAAAGAGTTAGAGAATTAGTTAGTTTTGGGGGATTTTTAGATTCTGAATACTTGCAAAGGACGTTAGCCAAAGAATTTCAGCAAATGGATTCTTGGTATGCCTTATTTGATGTGTGGATGTTATCATTGTTTTCTTCTAATTTCTTTCCTTAAAAAGGGAAGTATGGGATCTTTTGTTTTAGAAAACTTGGCTTGTATGCATTCTTTGAATAGATTCTGTTTCTTGGCTTCAAGGTATTAATACCTTTTTTGTGACTCCAAAATTTCAGTTTCAAGGAGGCTTTCGAGATGCCTTTTAGTACAATTTCCAAAAGAATACTTTGTAACGATTTATGGCCACTGTTTCCTATTGTATCTTCACCAAGGTCTTTTTCCTTCAGCGATCCCACATCAATATCATTCTACAAGGTACTTCTCATTCAATGCATAAGGATGCCATTTAGAAGTTGTCTTTCCTAGCTGTTGCTTGACAAATCATTTGATCTGTTTTTCCTTTGTAATTGGTGGAAACTATGTGTCTATGTCATTCATATATCACTTATCAGTTACATTTAATTGCTACTTTCTTCTTCTTCTTTCCTTTTTGTTTAAATTACAAATAAACCCTTTGTTGCTGAATTTGGAATTTGTGGCATTGTGAAGTGGCTGATCTGAAGGAATTTGATTTCTTTCAATTTTGCCTGCAAGAGATTTCAATATCTAATAAAAATTAAGGATATTGATGCAATATTGGTCCAGAAGGGTGGCAGAACAGGAAGGATTCTGAGCCTTGGGGTGAATAGAAGCTCAGGAATCACTCAATGTGAAGGCAAATACTTATTAATGGAAAAGGGGATGGTGAAGCAGAAGACAGTGGGATTTCTCAATGTTGTTAATTACTAGATCACTGTACATGACCTAGCCTAATGCTTGATCAAATAAGCAACTGCTAAACCAATAAAAAAGGAAACTTGCAATTTTTGAATCTGGCGTTTTCCTATTCTCATTTATATGATGAAGATTACAATATGGTAAGGAATACTTGAATGACTAGACTCATAATTTTTTTGATAAGTAAATGACTAGACTCATAATACATATAGACTGGGACATTTTCCTATATAACTAAATTTTAGCAAGCTGTGACATACCTGGTCAAATAAACCGTTTATAATAGAACATTAAATGAAGATTTTAATGACTAGTTATCCTATGAGTTACTGTAGCAATCAATGTATTGGCAATGATTCAAATAAGATTTTTAAGTTGAAATTATTGATTTATATTATGACCAAGGAGAGTATAGGACACATGACAGCTTTAAACAAATAGTCCATCACTTTATCAATAAGAAATTCAGAACTGGCCAGCAATAACTCAGATGAAGGAGCCTTGTCAGATGAAGATGGTGAGCAACTGTATTCAATAGGCTCAAATCTATTATTCACATGTCACCACATTAAAAATATCGTATGCATCCATGTGATCAGATTCTTGTTAAAAAGAAGATTTAGCTGTTCACATTTTCCTGAACAGTGACTTGGGCACATTAATTTGTGCTAGATAATGCTTTTCTCCTAGTCAATTCAACAATGAATTGTACTGTTTGTCCTAGTAATCACCTTCATTTTTCTCCTTTTCATCTTAGTGATCGCCGCCTTCTGATTTTCTAAGATGTTCTGATGAGTCCTGATGTTCCGTATGCTGAACATATATAAATTTCTTAACAACTGCAATTCTGATGTACCACCTAGATATTATTACTCAATTTAGACAATACCATGTAGGTAGTGTGGGATAATGAAATAAAGTTAAATCCATTTTTGCACAGATTACTGATTTGTATCTCCAATTCATCTTTGGCATGTTCATGGAGTCAAATTATCCAAATTGTGACTGTTCTTCCAGTGCTAGTCCTTGGTGTTGGAAAGTCAATGAATTGTACTGTTTGTTGGAATTGTGCTATCTGATAAAGACATTTTCATACTATATTTTTTATTGTGGTAATAATAATTTAAATGCTTATGATGGGGGTATGAACCATTTCATCCAAATTTTAGGTCAGAGAGTGTGAGTTTGTCACTCTTGGATGATAAGAGAGCGAAAGCAAGAGCTAGGGTTTGGGGGCTGAAACTTGTAGTCGCCAGATTTTCACATAGTGAATTCTTTCGCCGGATCTTCGCCGTGGACGTAGGCCTTACCGAACCACGCTAAATCTTTATGTTCTTTGCGTGGCGTGTTTATTTTCTGTCGTGTTTCTTGATTGTTTCTTGGGCTCAATGCATTGGTCATAACAGCTATGAACTACATTATCTGATTTTTGGTCAATTTGTCCGTGCGCCCTAATGTGTGTTTATCTCCACTTTCATGCTCCCTTCTACAATTGTTATACCTTGATGACGCTCCAGGTTAATGCATGTCTAGCCCTCACAATTATTTTGCATTCTGATGCTTTCCTCTGTAGGAAGCTTCGCAGGCTGTTTCAACTTATCAAATGCATCAGCATGGGCTTGTTGATTACATCTCTTTCAGAATACCGGATGCTTCTTTATCAGATATTTCAAATTTCATAGGCATAGCGAGGGGATTTATGCATGACTCAAGCAGCGTGAAAAACGGGCATACTTCATTGGAAGCTGTCTTGTTATGTGTTCCTGATGGCTATCATTGTGTGGATCTGTCTCTATATAAAGTAATGCTTTAAGATCTACATATCCATGCCTATTAATTTTGATAATAGGAGTTTCATATGACCTGTTGACCTGATTTATCTATACTTTTCTGTACATAAATCTATATTTGTACGTATACTAACATGTCTTCTCTGAAAACAGGAAAGTCAAATTGTGCTGTTACTAAATGAGACAACTACTACTTCCGAAAGCTCTGGGAATGCTTATATGATGCTTGTACAAGCAAGTGATCTACCATTTGTATCTGTTTCAAGATCCAATAGTCAAAACTATTGGAATTTGCATGAACTAAAGGTATATCCTTCCCAACTCTTATAGAAAACTCATCAGATATTAGGCTTTTGTGATCCTATGGTCAATGTTTTTAATTAAAAACTTGTTTAACTCGATTTCATCCGACTTTTGATGCATTAATTTAATGTGAGATTAATTTACATCCTGTCAAGTGCTGGCATCTCTTTTGTTCTTATTTAGTTTCCAGGTTTCTTTTTGGTAAAATACTTATCTCACAAAGAAGTTACTTTTAGGACCATGCTGTATGCCTGAAAATGGAGAATGAAAAGGTTCGAGGTATTCCTCATTCTGTAATTGCTCCGTTGGCGGTTAGTGGTGAGTGCTTCTCTTTTTTTCTTGGTTCCTTTTCCCAATAATGGCTTGTAAACAGCAATCAGCTTACATGGGATATAATATCAGATGGAATTGGAATTGCCACGGTTAATAATAGTTTCCTATATTTTAAACTTCTTAAATAAGCCTGCACATATAAATTTGGAAAAATATTTATAAAAAGATTTGGCTCACTGACTGAAAACAAATTGGATAGTTTTAATATATATATATATATATTTCAAAGATTTGTCATCCACTGCTCAATGTCATCCTATATTTCTTTAATGTTTATAATTGTTGCCCACACTCAAACACCTAGGTGCTACAATGGCATTTGGAATCATATTTGAGAAAGGCCTGCTTAATATTGTGCCGTGCATAGTATCATTTTAAAAAGCAGCCTGTTTTCAACAGCTGTACCTATGATATAACAAATTTCATAGAGGGCTTTGTTTCGCCATTATTTGATCGAAGGTGATTGTAATAGTGTCCTAAGGGTGGGTGACAAGCAAACACTTGGTCCTTGCTGCGATGCCAATTTGTTGAGGCCTTAAGGGAGATTTTAGATTTATTGACATCCTTTTAGGCGGTTATTTCATGGATTCTTATGTTGGTTGATGTAGAGGCGGAGAGTTTGGCCCCAAAAGTGTATTACCATTGCTCATTTATGGTTTGGTTGGTACGAAGATGGAAAAGTAGGTCAAGAGAGGGTAGGAAGGGTGATGAGACATCCAGATGGCGTCCTTCCTGTTTTTGTTTGGTTGAGTGGAAGGTTATAGAAGGTGTCCTCCCTGTTTTTCGCATTGCCTCGTCCAACCACCTTCCTCCAATATTGATGTTCTATGTGTCTGCATTTTTTTTCTTGTTTTGCATTTCCGCTTGATCTCAACTGATCATTAGTATTGTAGGCATTTTTTGTTTCATACTTAGTATATATACATACATACATACATACATATATATATATATATATTCGTACTTGGTACTCACACATCCATGCCTCCATGGAGGCTTGAACCCCTGACCTCCCTTTGAGAAGTAGGGGTTTGGTACTGCTGGGCCACTGACCCGTTGGTTTGTTTTGTAGTATAGAATATACTGTTGTAATTTCTCCCTTAGGATGGGATTTAATTATATTGCTGTAATAGCAAACATTGTTTCTCATCAATTTGAGGGTAGTACAAATGTTTTGATATTCTATCAATATATACTGTTTCAGCATCCAGAGGCGTGGCATGTATTTTTTCTGCAAGAAAGCGTGCTCTGGTCTACATCCTGGAGGAAGATGAAGATGAAATCTCAGATGCAGAATGACTTATTTTGTTCATCTATGACCATTTTTCTTTTCTTTTCTTTTTTTGTTATTTGTTTTTGTCTAAAGGGAGGAGTAGTGATTTTGTTGGCACAATTTCACAGTTCCTTTTTATTAATATTTATTGTATCATAGGTATTAGAAAACTCACTATATTTTATTTTTAGCATTCAAATTCAGTCGGTTTTCTTTGAACGGATATATCATGTCAACTCCTGAGACATCCAAATGGTTAAATTCTTCTAATCAATGTCTGGTCACAAAATGGCTTACATGGCTTGAAAATAGACAAGAATACAGGAATAAGGGGTTTTAAAACGGTAAATCCTGTTGCATTTAGGCTGATGAACTCAACAGGATATTTATTATATAAGAAAATACTCATCGGTGCTGATGTCGGCCAAATTACAAATGCGTTTATTTAAAAATCAGTAAATTAATAAATAAGGGAAACAATTTGTTTGGGAATAAATTCAGTCACCCTTTGTGTGCATTTGTAATTAGATGACATCAGCAGTCGGTAGGTAAGTCTTGTTCATTAATAGGAGAGAGAATTGACATTGGCATCCGGCTCGGTATGGCTCATCCCTTCAAGTGCATCTGCTGAAAAGGTTCATTTGAGTGATCGTACACGTCTCACGCTCAAAAAAAAATTTCCTTCCTTCACTTATGAATTGTCGTCCCTAACACTATATAAGCTACCAATAACGGTGACTATTTTCAGCAGTAATGCTTGATCAAATGAACTGCAACCACTGGCATTAATAATTATTCTTCATGTTACAAGCGAAAAAGTAAAATACATGATAGTGTTGGACCTCAACTAACACAAAAACATAATAATGCAAAACAAATTAGCCACCATGAAAGAGAAACCTACCCCTGCTTCTATGACGATCGAGTCCATTATGAAGGAGCAGAAGGGGATCCAATCTACATTTCTTGGCTTTCAAATAATTTGAATAACCCATGTCTGTGGTCATTCAGTTGCAGCTAGTATACTCAGAAACTTCCACCATAATAGTAAGAACATCTATATGGCTACGACTACATTGTTGACAGAGGAAACTTACTGTACAGGATAAAACTGTACAAGTAGAGGCCTCCAGATGTCGGGTTGATTCCAAGGAACAACAGTTAGCGCCCAAGACATTACCCAATCACTCAAAAACCTTCAACATTCTTCACATTGGAACTTCAGTAGGATATGAATTAGACAAGCAGGGGAGGAAGCCTCAACTCCAAATCCATACTGCAGCATTATCATGAACATGGGGCATATTTATGAATCATCCAATTCAACAAGTTGGGCTCGTCTCTCGGCAGCTTTTTTCCTGATGAAGATGCCCCATCTCAGGGCCGCCTTGAGCTTGAGCCACCCAACAACAGCTTTACCTGATGAGCGCATTCGGTCATCATCAAAACTGTAGTTTGATGCTGGATTGGTCATGTATGCTGACGAATAAGGGTAAACATCTTCAGATACATTAGCAGAAGCATGACCATGACCACCCATGTTGAAGAGACGAAGTAGATGCTGCATGTCTTCATTTTCAAGCATCTCATGACTTCTCATGCGAATCTCTTCCTCTGAGAAGAAGTCTTCAAATCCCTTGTAAGAAGATTGATGCTGCATGTTTGGTGCGACACTAGGCTGGAAGCTTGATGAGGATGGCTGTGCTGGACCAAGGGCCAACATGTTCTCACTTCTAGAAGGCTGGGCTTGTGGACTAATCAACTGGTTATTTAGAGGAAATGAAGTGCCGTCAAACTGAATAGGAGCATTGAGATTCATGCTCTGTGGCTGTATTGGATATCTATTGCCCACACTATCATCATAACCTAGTGAAAGAGAACATTCAGGAATCAGCAACAAAGTGGATGGGCATAAACACACAAGTATGAAGTTTTATAGACGGACAATTGGACAATCTAAGCATCTCAAAAACAGAAACAATTAGATTTTGTGTAACAATAACTGAATCACATTGTATGAAGAACTTGAAGACATCAACGAAGTAGGTTCTCACTTAACAAGTAAAACGAAATATAGTCATTATTGTACATCTTCTAAGAACTGATTTAAAAAAATGTTTCATCAATTTTTGTTTAACACTCAAAATTTCAAAGTGTATACTACAGTGAATTAATCTGATGACCAATGATTACTCATTTTTCCTTTACAAACATGTCTAAAATCTAAATCTGCATTTTACGTCTACACCCATATAGCAAGATGCTTCTCCATAATCTCAAATTCATAAAATGTTTCACCATGAACCTCAAGCATAAAGTCTTGAGCCTTATATCTTATCACACATCCAGAAATCCTAAGGACCTATGCTTTTCATTTCACAATTGTTTATCAGGCATATCGAGAGGTACAAATGAAACATTGCCAATTAGATAGAGCGGAATGGAAACATAGGATTGATGTAGCCGACCCCAAGTAGTTGGAAAAAGGCTTGGTGGGTGTTGAATAGTATTTGATGACCAATGATTACTTGTTGATGCCTACTGTTTTTTTCCTTTCCTTTAGGATTCTAGTATTTCCCTTCCATCTCCAATTAGAGGCAACCTCTTCCTTTCTCTGCAGTGTTCTCTTCTTCAAATAATCTTCCTTCTCACTCAAGAATAACAAAAAAATAAGCTACACAGGTCAGTGTAACAAAAGTTTATTACACATGCATACATGTGATAAAACTTGCATGTAGCATCTCTCTGATGCAGGACAGCTAAATAGAAACTCTCTCCAAAAGGCTATAATACTATAATTGATGTACGGTATTGCTAATAAAGGTCTTTTGGGCCTGATTTTTATTGGGTTGTGAAGCTAAAAGGCTATGAAGATGAGGATTTTGTAAGGTTTGTTAAGGGAGTAGCAAAGGATTTAGGATATGGGGCTCTGACTTGGCAAAGATAAATATTCTGGGCTGTTAAGAGTTCTGAACAGCACGAGTGATCAGTACATTGATCCTGGTTTGTCTCATAAAAGATGCTAAGTTGTGTGTTTCAAGAAGGAAGGTGGCTGTGGGATTTTTTCAATTAGATGTTTCAACTTTCAAGTGTACCAGATCTACTTCTGGGCTTTTACTGGCTTGAAAGTACATAAAATAAAGGAAAAGAAGAAGAAAAGTATGAATCATTCCTAAAATTCCTTGGGCATCATATGGTCGGAATTACATCTCACAATCCTCAAAAAACAATTACTGGAAATTTCTCGAAAAACTTTTCTATATTTAGAAACTTAAGACTTTGACTAATAACTCCAAAAAAAAAACCTGTAAAGTACACAAATAAGGATTTAATACCATAACTTGACTCAACTATGATCCACTAGACTCCTAACCCATGTCCAACGCACCTAAATACCCTTAACTCCTAAACGTATTAGAAACTGACCAGCAGCATCCTCAATTAAAATAAACATAAAAAAGGAGCTGATTAAGGTTAACATTTAATAATACAATGTCCCAAGTGGTCCTACCTTGAAATCAAACCAACCTTTAAGATTTTATCTCTTCTTTCAATTTGTTTTCCTAAGCTTCTTATGGACTACATCATTTTCCCATGGTTAGAGAACACTTGACCTTGAATTTGAAGTGTTGAAATATATGACTCCATGAGCCCTCAATGTGCATCTTGGAGTTGCATGAAAACTTTGGCATTCATGCTTAATAACGGAAAAAACAATGGGAACTGAAGTTCTTAAAAGTAGGATTGAATTTTTCTTCAATGACAATCAACTAGATAAACCTAAATCTGATGATCCCCCTACCATGTATTAACCTAAAATGTGACCCATGGACCCCCCACTACAATCGATGTCCAGCAAATCTAGAAATTATCAAAATACGTTTAACTCCTAAAACATTTGAAAATATATAATAAAAAAACTGATGACTAGCATCTTAACTTAAATAAACATAAAATAGGAGTCTGATAAGACTAACGCTTGATAGTACAAGGTCCCAGGAATGTCCCTCCTTGAACCCAAGTCAAATTCAAAGACTACTGTGTTCAATTCTTTTTTTCTTTTTCTTTTTTTAATATTGAGTTCATTTCTCTCTCTCTCTTACCCCATTATTATGCATTCAAATATATATTTACCTCCAATAGTCAGGCCTGGATTAATAGAAGGCTGCTCTGAAGGAATTGAAGGTGGCAGGTTTGGTAGAGTGAGCTGATGATCAAAGGAGTTGGAATAATCCTGTGGGTCCCCCGTAGCATTTATATGAGAAACACCTGAGCTCCTATTCTGCTTGAAGACTGAGAGAGATTTGCCATCATATTCAATAACATGCATCCAGTTGTCATATGCTTTTTTTACCAAGGCATCCACACAGACCTGCATGAACCAAATCATCAAGTGTTTTCTCAAGCTTTTCTCAATTTGGGAAAACAATACATTTCTTTCTCATCTAAATAAGAATAACGTTCAATGGAAACAGAAGTTTCATTCTAGGCATAGTGTCATGCATTATTAACAGCCCATAACATAAAAAAAAAAAAGAGGAAAGAAAAAGAAAAAAAAAAAGAGGGGGGGGGGGGGGGGGGGGGGGGGGGTAATATTTCTGAAGGACAATATATTTGAGACAAATCTATTATTAGATTTCTCCAGTAAAAGAAAAATAAAAGCTATACTCAAACATGATTTCAGCATTAGCTATCGCGACCTCGTTTAGGACCTTAAATATTCATTAGCACAATATCCCAGTTAGATTCCAAAATGGGTAAAAAGAAAAAAAAAAGTTATTATTTCTTGACAAGTAAATAATCTTATTAGAACTGTTTCTAATCCTAATAAACTGATTTCTCCAGCGTGCATAATTGCTATCTGATTTCTCTAGCATGCATAATTGCTATTAGATAAAACAAACTGTCCCAAAAGGAGAGTTTAATGGTAAGAAAATAAAATAAAACATAAAAAAGGAAAAATAGAGAAAGAAATTTGCTGGTTCAGACAGCCAGGACCTCCAAAAATCTAAATAGAGACATCCAAAATGTTATTATTATTTTAGCTCTACAGTATCTATAATACATAGATCATACTAGAAAGATTAACCACACACAAATCTCCTAATAAAACCTAATATTAAAATTCAAAAATCAACTAATCTAGTTAGCCACCTAATCCATTTTATTTTCTTTAAAGACCAATTATCTTGATATGATTGTTACATTTCGTCCCTTTTAGAATTACCTTGTCCTCAAGTTTACAGTACAAAAATACAAGAAACATACAACTTCACAAGGATCCCACATCTTGTTGGATACAATGTCGTCACACACATAGATAATAAGAACATCATTCTGTTTTCTTGTCTTTCAAATAGCCATCAAGATTTTACAAGCACCACTTGCAAAACAGTTTGCAGGCAGTATTAGAAGAAAGCACGATTCTATGACACAAGCCTTAAAATTAATGGAATCGGTAAAAGGACCCACCAAACTACCATGTTTCTTTATATTATGTTGATAAGCAAACATTGCCACCATCCATTGTCAATTTCATCTCTAGCGAAAAGCCAACTTCCTTGATATATGATTTTTCATTATCATCAGAAGTCATTTGTTTCAGACTTTCAGTCCTATTATTATTCAATTATTTGCCAAGCCAACAAAAAATCATCCAGAGGAAGGCTCTGGTTTCTTTTAATTCATCACAGATCAACTTGACAATGTTAGATACCAGATGGTGCTGACGAATAAGAATAAACCAGAAAAGAAGAAATGAAGAAAAAATAAGGATTCGAGGCAGCCAAGCCCTCCTGAAATCTCAATAGAGACAATAATGTTTTCTTATCATTTTTAGCCCTACGGCATGTACAACAAATACGCTAACACACTAGAAGATAAACACTACCCAAATCCCCTAATAAACCTAATATTTAAGCTTAAAATCTACTTCTAGATAACTACCTGATTTTATTTAATTATTTAAATATCATTATGTTAATATGGTTATGGTTGTTAGACTTTTTTTTTTTGTGTTAATTTTCAAAGGATTAATGAAGTTCAGGAATGCAGTAGTAGTCTAGTATAATGGGCTTGGCCCAACAATAGAAAGCAAACCATCGTCATTTTCAAATACACATGAAACATCATTTTTCTTTTTAGTAAGACATCGCACATTTTGAAAAATATTTGAAGAGCCTGCAGGATTACCAACCTTCTGACTGTCAGATAGAGAATCAGCTGAATAATATTGTTCACCAGAAATTAACCCACTAAATTCATAGATGTTGTTGAAAACAACACCAACGTTCTTCACATCATCAGGATAGTAAACATACAGTTTCCCACTTAAAACACAAGTCTTTGCGTGCTCAACAAGAACATCCCACATCTTATTCGACATGCCACTTCCCAGTATCTACAACAACAGTAACAATAAAATAAGTTTAAATTGGAATATATGAATCAAAAATTAAAGTTTGACAGCTAAATCTGACATTCTTACATTCCGCAGTCTCTGCATGTCTCTCACTACAAGTCGTAGGAAGTCTTCAACTGAATGTATTCCAGCTTTATTAAGCCGCTTGTGAAATGATCCATCTTTGCCAATCTTCTCCAATCTCCAAACCTCATCACCTAATGCAGGTGGATAGTGCTTCTTGTATACTGTAAATCCAAATATCAATACTTAACATCAAATAGAAAAAGAAAAACACGAGCACATGCACAAGCGAAACATGCTATGAACATTTGATAGAACAAGAACTAACATTCTCCTCTGTGATCCTTGACAGTGAAGGCATCTGTTTTTGCCTCACGAATACGAATGCCCTCACAAAAGCCCGAGGCAACCTTCAGACCAAGTCTGAACTTTCTGCTTCTTATCCAGCTAGAGTTGTCAGTAAATGTCAGCTCGCCAAGCGTTCCAACACCTTCCTTCAATGTCACTTGCAAATCCCCTGTCAGAAGTGGCCTCTTTCCTTCACGCTCCTTCACCACATGAGATTCAAATTCTTCTTGAGTCCAGACATCATCATCCTCATTGTTGAAATCACCTTCAAGAACAACAACATCTAGTTTCACTGAGGACTCCGGACCTGTTGTTACAACATGGCCAGCGTTTGCATCAAGCAAGACAATATGGATCGATGCACCCTGCTCGCCTTCTACTTTCCCTCCTGTGAAAAGAGGGAGGGACAACCTAGTCCTGAATTGCAGCTGTAAATTTCTCCCATCTGGCCCTTCTATTCGTTTTGGAGAAGCCCTGCATTTTTTCCATAAACAACAAACAACAATGCAATTAGAAAGAAAGAGAAATAAAAGCCCACAATGTGCAAATTACTTTATATTTCGAGACATATTAGAATATCACTGAAGTTAGGAACAGATAATGGTATTCTGCTCGTCATAATTCAACAACAAACATCACGGTTATATAAATGACCTCTATAAAAAATTAATAATGATGATCATGTCAGCTATGCAGAAAGAATAACAACATGTGAGTTGGTATCTGAACATATGAGCTGTCAAGCACCGCGGGCACAAAAAAGAGCTATCTATAACAAAAATTTCAGTGTCCATATAATATCTTCTTTTATTTATTTTTATTTTTAGTATGCCATCGTACAATTTAGTGAGCCAGTCATGTAAAAACGTTAAATTTACATACGAATTGTGTCCCTTAGGGTATTATGCAGTGTATGCAATCTTTTATTTAATTTAATTTAATTTATTTATTATTATTTTTAGTGTATGCAATCTTACCAGGGCACCCTGCAAAGTCGGAACTACAAAATGTTTCAACTTAAAGACTGACAAAACATGTAACTCCTAAAAATAAAATGAGAACTCTACCACTTTGGCTAGAATTCAACATACACTAAGAGAAGAATATATAGTATATATAGAACAGAAGTAGCCAAATCTGGTCATATCTGGCATAAAACTTTACTCCAAGTTCGGCTTAAACCAGGCCTTTAGAATTGAACCCTGCATGCCCAGCCCTATAGTTCTTGAAACTGGACAAAATGAACTTCAAACAGGTCAGGATGGACAAGCCAGGTTGATATTGTTACCCAACTTTAATATACGCAGAACGATGATGGCAAGGACACCAAATACACCTTGTGTGATTTTATTTCAATTAAAGATCAACAGGGTAAACTAATTATACACACACACATATAAAAAGGACAAAAACCAAAACAAAAACTTACTAGAGTAGGGGCAATACATTATGCTTACCAAAAAAATACAAACTAAAATATAATATTTATAATAAGTGAAGAAATCTCATACCTTCCATTAAGTTTGGCAGGGCCTAACTTTGCCAAAGCTCGCTCCACTTCTTCACTAACCTGTGCAAATTAAGACAGTAAAATACTTTAAAATAAATACCCAAGCATCATATACACAAACTTACATATCAGCAAACGACAACTTTGCTATATGACACATGGAAAAGTAAACACTTGTGGATGAGATAATTTGTCTAATTAAAGATTGCAGGAGAAAACAGTAATATACACAACTTTGCCAAAATAATGACTGATGTTCATGCACTCAAAAGTTTGCAAACCCCCTGGAGAATACAAATGGGATCATTGATAATTGCATGAAGAGCACATATAACTTTAAGCATAGATTCTCAACATGCAATTCAACTATTCTCAACACTGTGCCATTATTTATGTCTTAAATTCCTATAGTGACCATATGACATGATTCAATTAGAAAATCCATACCAGAGAAAGAATCTTTGCTAGTGAACTTATTGCTAATAAATTGGACCTACATTTATATGTACAGAGATTTAGAAAGAATCTTTGGAAACATTCTTTTTTCCTTAACAAATGAGACTCGAGTTCATAATGTGAAATAAATTCAATCACGTACTCATCAAGATTCTACAAAATTTGACAAACTTGTTCCTTTTTCTCAAGGAGCGTTTGACCAAAAAAAGATACCCTTGCAGTTCTGATATTACACATATTGAGACTAGTTCCCTCACTCCCTGTGATCAATTAATAAGGAAAATCCATTTTTAGTAGGTACTCTCAGGAAACTCTTTTGTAAAATCCAGCTTACAACAGGCTTTGAAACAAGAAAACGTGAAGGATACACCTACAGAAGCTAATATGAAATAAAGGAAGCAAAACATAGTAGTAAAAATCACCTTAAGACAGACTTATAGTAAAAATCACCTCACCCTAAAGACGAACAGATGTGATTTTTATTGCCTCATTGGCAGTACTGCAGTAATAGTACACACACACACAGAGGGAAACATTTCCCCTAACAGCATTAATACAAGTTATGCCTCACAAAAAGAGAGAGAGATTACCTACAATCTGTTTAGATGATAACAATTATAGTTAGTATGGGGAAAATGCAATGAAAATTAAAATATCTCCTCTTTCCAGATCAGAGTCCATGCTATGAGGCAGCACTCTAAAGGACTAATCATACAGATACCATGATTCTAGTGGTTTTTCCAACAGGCCTACACAGCTTAAATCAAACCAGAGCAGTCATAAGCGCACACAATTGTATCCTTCAATTGTTTTGTGTTTGACATATCTGAAACATATCAAAGCCTTAAAAACCATAGAATTGAATGGCCACTCCCCCACAAAGGCATAACTGAAGGACATGTTGCTTAGACAATGACCTCAGACAGTTTCTCCCAATCACATAACTAACCAAATGAAAATTGGAAAGATGTCTATCCTAAATCTTTGATAAGTAGGAGCATAATCCACATATGAAGCTAAATATCTTACAACTCTCCGAAGAATAGGCTCCAGTGATGAGCAAAGTTTCTGCAGGCTATCCACCTTGAGAGCTTCAACAATAACACTGCACGAAATATGTCATCTTCAATAATCAAAATCTGATGCAACCATAAACATGGCATAAACAACTAACCAAGCTTCAATAAGTCAATAATAATAGTAGTAGTAATGGATGATGATGATAAGCTTAGAGCACTACTATCTACAAGTGGCAACTAGTTTTTGTACTTTTTTTTCTTTGAATAGGCCATCATCCATGTTGATTAACGAGGTAACTTGTAAGAGCACGTGTATAACAAAGACTTCACAGAAACTTTCAGTTCAATTCACCAATTTCAGACAGAAAAAAATACTTTTTTTTAGGTAAGTAGACAAATTAAATACACTTGAATAGCACAATTTCATATTTCTCCTTTGAGTAGAAGCCAGAATCACTTGAAAGCTGACTTAGCTCATTAGAGCAAATTCTGAATTCCCCAATTTCTCTTCTTTCTTCCACTAAACTACACACACCCATGTCTATGTGTCTATACATGTATATAAGCTGGTTTTCAATTTCAGAAGGAAAAGAAAAATATTTTTTTTGGGTAAGAAAAAAAATTGAATACACAATTTCATAGGAGCCAAAATCACTTGAAAGCTAACTTCGAACGCGTTCACAAATTCTAACTTCACAAGCTCTTATGTATATTAGAGCCCTAACATCAAATTGTTAACAAAAAGCAACAAAACTGATAACAATTTTAGCAAATCAAACCAGCAAAATTAACAGATCAAAATGAGGAAACGAAAAAAGAAAAAGAAAGATATACCTGGCGAGAGCAGGTCGTTTCTTGTCAGGCTGACCTTCTTCACTCGCACTCGGATCCAATCCTCGCTTCTCCCTGGCCATGCTGTTGGATCTTTCCATAAACCTAGTCTGCATTTTCTCAGCTCCCAAACACTCACTGCTCTTCAGATCTGATCTAATTCACTTCAAGTAGAGGTATCCAATGATACTTTTCCCGTGCGTAGATTCCAGTGGAAATAAAAAGGACGGAAAGCGGGAAAATTGAAACCAGAGAGAAGAGAGAGAGAATCTTCTGAGAGGTTTCCGAGAACGTTCATGGAAAAGTCTGCGAATTTTCGCTCATCCAATAACACCCAAAAGTTTCTACTCTGACGGCTCATACATGTATAGATATATAGACATAGATATATATGTATATAGTACACATACGTATAGGTATAGCTTTTGTCGTTTTCTCTTTCTCTGTCTTTTTTATTTATTTATTTATTTTAAATCTTTTTGTAAAAGTGTTGGTGGGATGACGATCGGTTGATCCTGGTCGTTCGTTGGTGGATAAGCATCTCGGTTTGCTCTTTTTAAAATGATTAGCCACGCAAGCTCAATAACGTTTGCTTACGTGTCAATCTGACATCACAGACACCATGGTACTCTTTGTATGGTGTGTGATTGCTGACTATGACTATTCAGTCTACTCCTTATTTCCTACTTTTAGCCATAATGGTTAATACTTTTTAAAAGATTTTTTTTAAATAAAAAAAAAAGAAAGAAAAATACTCCGTAATAAATAGTAGGCGTTATATTATTTTTTCATTATAAAAAGATTTTTTTTGTGAACTTCAATTTGAGAGAAAAATTATTAGATGGTCTAGACAATCTTACATATAAACAAGTGAGTTTTTTTTTTTTTTCCTTTTTTTTTTTTTTTGGCACTTTGGGTAGTGACATTATCCTGGATTGGGCAAATTCTTTTTAGTGTGGTGCTATTTTTGTCGAGTAGTTAGTGAATTCCATGAAGGAGTTTGGGGGGAAAAAGCATACTTTGTATTATATATTGACATTATTGTACATTTTGATTGTGTATAATTTGTTCAAAGTTAAAGAGAAGTTAAAGTAATTTATTTAAAATTTTACATATAATAGACAATTACAAATTGACACACAAATTAATGTGTCAATTATATTTAGAATTTTGGTTGTTATAAATTATAATGGTTGGGATTAATTATTTCACCTTGTTCGCTCTTTATCCATTTAACAACATTTATTAAGTGCACTTGTTTTTGAGATGATTATTTTATTTTATTTTTGCATCGACAAAAAACACACATCATCAATCATACACCCATTTTGTCCTGTCAATAGGGAAGGAGCGAAGGAGCGACAAATTAAATCCAGGGCTACAGTGTAAGTATATATATGTATATATATATATTAATAAACATAATATAGATTATTCAAACAATGAGTCATTTAAGGAAGACAAATAGTTAACATTTAAGGAAGACAAATAGTTAACAAAAATTTTAAAAAGAAAAAAAAAATGAGAGAACTTTGAAAAAGAAAAAAATTGGACTTTGATTCAAAAAAGAAAATTTGACCTTTTTCTTGAAAGGAAATTAAACTAATTTAAAGAGTAACGAAGAGAAGAAATACAAAATTTAAGAGATAATTTTAAAAAATAAAAATTTATTATATGAATTTTTCCATATATACATATAAAAATACATAAATTTAGTATATAAGCAAGGCTAGGCCAGAGGACACGTGCCTTCGGACATACACTGGCTCCACCCTATTAATGCGTCGAACTCACTTTAAAAGGTAGGTAAGATATCACTAACCTACAAAACTCTCAAGACTTATATAATGTGTATAAAAAATGGATAGGAACAAATTCTTGTAATTCGCTTGCCAAATATTATAGAATAAGAATTAAAGAGATTCCCTATTTCTAATATCATTTTAAAAAAAAAAAAAAAAATCTCTATTCTCGTATTCAAACACGTATCAGCTATATAGGCAACACATGATTGTGGAAAACATTTAGTTGAAGAAATAAATAATATAATAAAATAAAAAATCAAGAAAGAAAGAGAACTGAGAAGTGTAGGTCCACGGGTAGTTTGGCAGCGTTGGTTCATTTGCTTGATTTATTGAAGATCATTGTTTTTTCACGTCCTCAAGCTAATCCACACTGGACCACATCCAGTCCAATTTAAATTGAAGATGAAAGAAGCTACACCAATTCATCATGGACCAAAGGCTATCGTTTTAAAGAGAGTAGTGAGGTTCTTCTTCCGTTTAAATGGGTGTGTAAATTTCTGACGAATAAATAAATAATATAATAAAATAAAAAATCTCATCAAAGATATGACACTCATGCAACAATGATATAGATGTGCAACTTTGTTAAAAGCTTGATGTGCACGCGCGCGCATATATATATATATATATATATATATATATATGTGTTAGAAAGTTTGACTCGAATAAGAGATGTATGGACACGATAGTGCCCTGTCTCCCCCAGAGAGTGGGAACATGTATCATCATTCATTTACATAAGCTCATCAATGCTTGCAGTCTAAGCAGAAGCTGACTTGATTGGTCCGAGTGCTGTGCGGCTCAGCAATTATGGGATTGGATGTTCTTGTGGCTTATATTGCTATTGCTATTACTTTGAAGCAAAAATTGGATGTTCTTGTGGCTTATATTGCTATTGCTATTACTTTGAAGCAAAAATCAGAGACTTCTTGTTAGTTTCTTCAATTTTTAATCAGTCCACTTTCCCTCCTCAACCGAAAGAAAATTTTCTCTCTTTTTCTTTCAATTTTCTTTTTGTAAATTTGACAATTTTATTTACTACCTCTTCCCACCCTCTCAATTCCCTCTGTCTCAATTCCCTCTCTCTCTCTCTCTCTCTCTCTCTCTCGCTTCTAAACTAAACAAAAGATAATAATTTCTCTTCCTTTTCTTCTCATATTTTGTTTTTCTTTACATTCCCTTCTCTTCACTTTATCCATAACAACTAAACAAATCAAGCATCAGAAAACCCAAAGGTACATAAGATCATCAAAGGTGATGATTTACAAATTCAAAAAGGCATACTTTTCCATTCTGTTGCCATTACATCACGCAAGAAAACTAGGATAACAGTTTTCATGACGGTAAAAGCAACATTACAAGAACAGCCGTTTGTAAAATAAAATTTCAAAATAACCCAAAAAAATAAAAATTAATCAGCTAAAATCATAGCTGATATCATAATTGTTAAGAAAATTCAATCAGCCATGATACCAGAAGTAACTTTGCCTCAGATGGCCCAAAAACTTATACAACGGTATGCACATGACCAAAATTTAGTTCTACAAGCAGCTAGGTTGGTCTAATGGAGAAACACTTCGGTTTGGATTTTCACTAGGAAAAATAGAAGGAAAAAGAAAGAAACCCCCAATTAGAGCTTGTTATTCTTCATCTTTCCCTTCCTTTTGTCTCTTTTATTTTGCGTCTTCGACCTAGACCTGTGTTTTGAGACCTTTTTGAACGGTTTCTTCTTGCTCACTTGCATCTTGTGCTTCTTCTTTTCAGCAGCTCCAACTGATATAGGTGCAGCAGGTGCTTCTGATCTCTCATATGGAGACTCTTCTTCACGAGAGATCTCACTTGTTGTCACAGTGACTTTCACATCTCCGTTGTCATACATTGTTGTCCCTGTCACATATAAACAAAGTCAACCCAAATTTTAGATGAGTGATTAAAGATACAACTCATTCTACAGATATGGACATCAGCCAGTAGAGAGGAAAAGAAGTAGAGACAGTGTTTCCATATTGCACATACCTATTGTCTACCAAATGGTAGAATCATAAGTTGGTATCTAGAGGCAGTTTAAGAAAACAATTTGTGATGTTGTGGCCCGAATTTTGTTTCGGCTTGGGCCGAACGCAACCCGGTTTTGGCCTGTTTTCTCTTGCGGGTCGTGGACCCTATTTAGTACTCTCTTGTAGCTTGGTATATAACAGGGGTGCACAAAAGAACCATGGAACCGGAACCGGAACCGAAAATTCTGATTCTCACGGTTCCGGTTCTAATTCCTAAAATAAGGAACTGTTGAGTTTCGGTTCGGTTCAAGTTCCGGTCTCACTGTTCGGTTCTGGAACCGAACCGTAATATATATACATATATATTATATATTTGATTATATTATTAGTAATATAATATATAATATTATATATAATGTCATATATTATATTTGATTATTTGATTATATTTTATTTTTAGGGCAAATCAATGAGGCTCAACCTCCCCAATCGCCTCCATCTCTATTCTCTCGATTCTGAACTTGCCCTCTCTCTCTCTGCAACTACAAAATCTACAAGAATCAGAAGTTCAAAACCCATATATTTTAGATCTGTCTGCAATAATCAAAAGTTCAAAACCCATATCGGCATATCATTTCAGATTGTTCAAAAAATCAAAACCAATATCTTTCAGTTTCCATCGCCTGTTGTTCCAGTTCGGGTTTGGAAGCTTCAGCCACTCTCTCTCAACTCTCAAGCTTGCCCCTCTCTCTCCCTCTCTGTGCAACTGTAAACTACAAAATCTACAAGAATCAGAAGTTCAAAACCCATATATTTCAGATCTGTCTGCAAGAATCAAAAGTTATATCATTTCAGATTGTTCAAAAAATCAAAACCCATATCTTTCAGTTTCCATCGCCCGCTGTTCTAGTTCGGGTTCGCAAGCTTCAGCCGACAGCCGCTGTCTCTCAACTCATGGTTAACGGTTCTCATGGAACCGAACCGGTTCTACGGTTTGGTTCTAATCTATACGGTTCTGGTTCCTTTTTTTAGGAACCGTTGTGAACGGTTCTGGTTCCTTTTTTTAGGAACCGTTGTGAACGGTTCCGATTCCGGTTCCGACCGGAACCGTAAGGAAGCGAATCGTGTCCACCCCTAGTATATAAGGGTGTTTAGGTTTGGAGTGTAATAACGAGACATTGAAAATCGCAGGAAAGATAGTGAGAGCAAAAGGTAGGGTTCGGGGGTTGAAACTTGTAATCTCTTGATTTCGTATAAGTGTACCATGGACGTACGCTTTGCCCATTAAACCCAAGCTAATAAAATAAGGATTTCGGAACCACGTAAATCTTTGTGTGTGGCGTATTTACTTTTATAGTCGTAATTCTTAATTGTGTTATTGGTCAGCGGTGTGTGTTGTAACACAATTAATTATACAAAAAGTCATGCCCTTCCTAACCATCTTGTTGCCATAAATCTGTGACATTGAAGCAGATTTCCCCAAGTTCAAGAGTTGTGAAATAAACCTTGACTTCTATAATAGGCATGCTACATATTCATGAACTACTTTTATTATATACAATCTATGAAGCATAGACACAGATACTGTAACAACCATCACCCTAGCCAGACACAATATTGTCCGTTTTTGGCTCCCCCAAACCAGAGACTTCCCAGGGGGTCACCCATCCCTGGTACTACTACAGGTTAAATACGCTTAACTCTAGAGTTTTCAAGGGTTCTCGGCTATCGCGGCTTTAAAACGCGTTGTGTCATAGAAGGGTGTTGAATCTACATATAGCACTTGCCCCATCCACACCCAGGTGATGCAGGATTGTGCACCTGTAAGTCGCCCAGTGCGGTAGCCAGACAGTGCCTCATACCTGCCCTCATATGTCGCCACAATCACCCCCTTTTGGGGCCCAACGTCGTTGGCCACACTTCCGGCCGAGTCAGGCTCTGATACCATTTGTAAGAACCCTCACCCAAGCCAGACACAATATTGTCCGTTTTTGGCTCCTCCAAACCAGAAACTTCCCAGGAGGTCACCCATCCTGGTACTACTCCAGGTTAAGCACGTTTAACCCTGGAGTTCTCTGGTGGGTTCACGGCCATTACGACTTTAAAACGCGTTGTGTCATAGAAGGGTATTGAATTTACATGTAACACTTGCCCCATCCACACCCATGCGATGTGGGATTGTGCACCTGTACCTCACCCAGTGTGGTAGCCTGTCAATGCTTCACACCCGCCCACATAGGTTACCACAGATATGGGACACGGGTACGACACGACATGGATACGGCAATACAACAAATTTAAAAAAAAAATAGAACACAGACACAGCAATAATACAATAATAAAATAACAATATATATTTTTTATTATATATAAAATTTTAATTTTTGTCCAATTTCTAATTTTATATTCATAAATGTACTCATTCAAATCAGGCCTACCAAATACCTATACTAAAAGTATAAAAATTCACATAACCAAATGTTTTATATCTCTGTATCCAAAAGGTACACTTTCTATCCTTGTAACCAAACGTTGGGCTAGAAAAAAAGATAAGATTGTGGTTTTATCCAATCTCTTTCTTTCACGGCTCTACAACGCTCTTCTAGACGACCTCTTCATCTCCTCCATCTCTTCACTTCTCTCTTCCTCACTCCTTCTTTCACATGGCTCTCAGATATCTATTTTCAAGCGTTCATCTCTCTCATTCCACAGACTCTTCACATATTTAGATATTTCTTATCTCAACTTTTATATATCTTAACAGATCAACACATATATATCAATACAAACATATATATACACATATATATCACACACACACACACACACACACACACACATATTTACAGTATATAGCATCTACATCCTCTATTTAAAAGAACCTCCGAGCAATCAGTAGCCGTGTTGCCGAATGTGTCCCGGTGTCCTCCAACGTGTCCAATTTAAAATAAATTAATAAATAAAGAGGACACGTCTGCAAGTGCATTGGACACGTGTCCAAGCTTGGGACACGCGTGTCCGTATCAGACATGTGTCCGACACAGGTACAACAACCCTCTAACGCGTGTCGGTGCTTCATAGTATACAATTTAACTGCTTGCAAGTTAGTCTAGCTTGAATATGACAAATTTACTAAAAATTTCAGAAATTCAACAGTAACCAAGCCCGAACTTGTAAGTTTTTGTGGAGCTAAAACATCGTTACAAAGTGTACACTAGTAACGAGCTCAGTGAAACAAAGGCTCCAAACTCATGCTATGGGGGGAATGTGCATGGTTTCAGCAAGCCATCAATCCTTTGTGTTACATGCTAACACTGCACTCAATAGAAGGGAAGAGAGGAGAAACAAAAAAATATCTAAATCCCTCCCTTTAAGTCATTTGTAGTTCATTAGAAGAGAAAATGAGAGAAATTCTTTGAATAATTTCTCTCCGCTTCTTTTCTCTCCTTTAATTCCCTTCTGTTGTCTCCTCCACTAGTGAGTTAAAGGTCCAAAATGTCCCCACAAGCTTATATTGTGCTACAATCCAGTGAATTGAAGTGTTTAACAACGTACCAGAAACTGATGGAATTGGCTCAATTTCCTCATCATGCTCAGACTGCTCGCCACATTCATCAGGTTCTGCAACTGTGTCTGGTGGGGCTCCACCAGATTGAACATATTCTCTTTCCAGTTTTCTCTGTGGACAAAAGCAAAGATAGAAAAGTTCAAGCACATGTTACAGAATTTGATTATTGGCGCGAAGACCTATAATTTGAGCCACTAAGTAACATCACTAGTCTGCATCTGATTCTAATAGTTGTACTTTTCTAGAAATAATCATTGTTTTGAGTTTGAATCGTGTAAAGATCCATTAGACATGGATTTCATATAAGTTCCACTCATGTTGTCTCACCCGCAACCTCCAAAAGATAGTCAAGCATGTTAGATGAACCAACCAAAGGACTTCTTAATGCTTGACCAGTTCACCATTTACTGTTCTCAGACAAGACTGAAACCAAAACAAATCAAATCTCCAATGTGAACCTAATCCTACCAATTGGGACAATGTTAAACCTAGATGCATAATGATGAACATTGCAAGCCTGAATAAAATATAAGATTTGAAATTTAAAATAATTGCTCATAAAAGAAAAGTAGTTTACAATATAATTTTACTTTTTAATTTAGAAGGATTTCAGTAAAGTATCTAAAACTAAAAAATAAAAAATAAAAAATTAAATATCTTTGTTCAATTACATAGGTATGCCAATAACATGTTGCTGACAGGTGACGTGAGCAATTTATACATAAATTAAGCAGAAGTGCATTATTGAAAAAGCTAGGGAAGAACTTGAATAGACATGTGGACCTTGAATCAAAGTGCTTCAATGCACACGAAAAAGGTCAAAGAAATAAGACGACAAAATGCTTTCTTCTTCTTGGTAAGTAATGAGGAAGAAAAGAACCTGTCAATCAATGCATTTCAATGATTTCACTCCACACGAGGGAAAAAGGTGTAACATAAGAGAAGAAGAAGAGATCTTGTTCATCAAATAAACAACATTACGACAAAAGGACTGCTAAGAGGAAACAAAAATGAGGCCTGCAAGTAATCAATCTTCCAATTGCAATCATCAGCATGGATTTGTATTTTTTTTTTTTTTTATTTACTTTTAGTTTGGATATGGATTTGTACTTAACAGTCCAGTGATTAGTGATTGTTGTTCTGTATGATTTTAGCATATGATCAACACCGTAAATAGGAAGAGAATGAACATGAAAAACAAAAGGAAGCAAAGTCACGACATGATTCAAGATTAGGAAGATGAATGTGCAAGAATATTAGGTCATTACCCTGTGTTGGCCCGAGCTATGCAAGGTGTTGGGTGGTGGATTGCACATTATCTTGCAGTAAATGCCTGCTACTTGGTATCCCGATCTTCAACCATTGCACTAAGCAATGGCCCTATTTACTAATGCTGATAGTGTTTCATGTTTATAAAGTAGGGAGATGTTTTACAAAGCATTTGAACTCGCAATTTGGACTGTAACGTCGCGACATCAAGGGCACAAAATATAAAATGTTGTATTGCAATAAACACCAAAATCACATTGATGCATCTAAAAGAAGTAATGTACTCATTTCAATTCCAATGTAATATCAGTAAAGCGCAACCAAAGGACTTGAATTTCGAACCTTTTTACGCGCATCGATGCGCTTTCGACGCACTACTTCTTGTAATTGCTCTTGCGCTTCCTTTCTCCGTTTCTTCTTTCTCTTGTGAAAACCAGTCACGTAGTCCCTTTTCAATTCAAAACCCTAGTTAGACGATAACCATAAGAATATCCACACCAAAATACATATAAATACGACCCAAAGAATGAACTTGCCACTATGGTTTCATTGGACAGATTTCAACCACTACGGCAACAGCAAAACTAGGGTTATACATATAGATGTGTGTATGTATATGTGTGTGTGGGCATATATATTAGCACCTGAGGTCCTTCTCGTCAAAAGAGACGGACAGAGCTTTGTTCTTGAGTGCCCTCTTCTTGATATGCCGAGCTTGTGTGTGTCGAGGCTGGCTTGCTTCATCGTCTTCCATTGTAGCTGCTAAACCCTTCCCTGTCCTCTTCTAACAGCTATTGTGTACAGTTCCGAAAACAAGTTTTTAATGTTTACGCTTGAAATAGTTGTACCCTATCCTAAAATGTTGTGTACTTGTACCTCGGCGTCTCAATAAAAAGTTTGGTGTTGGTGGTGACTCACACAACTCAGAACTCACAAGTCACAAGTGTGATTTGTAATTAAATGTGCTTAAAATATTCATATATAGAGATATGTATTAATAAAGTTGGGAAATTAACCTGTGGAAAACTTAAAATTTAGATGGGTATCAATAAAAAAATTCAATTTACAGTAGCTAATTTTTAATTTTATCAATTATCGTGAAAGCATCAATAAAAGTGAATTTCGAATATTCACTTTAGCCATGAATTTTGTCCTAATCCACCGCTATAAATAAAAAAATAAAATAGAAGAATTACGCAAACAAGAGGAATTCGTATAAGTTGTTGTTGTTGTTGTTTTTTTTTTTTTCCAATAATTATCATCTTATTCCAAAATATATTGCATTCCTTTGGATCGCATGGAAAATATTACGTTAATTAACATATGGATTTTATACCATTATATAAAGGTAGAACATACTTTTGATGCTGTCAAGCTAGATCTCCTCTCCTCTCAGGTTTCAAAGATTATCAATTTAGATCTAATGCAATGTGGTCTATAAATTTTTTTCTAACAAATAAATGTTTTTTCACACTCGTAATCAACCTCAATCAGTGTGTTTTTTTTACTAGTCATCTGATCCCCGATAAATATCATGTTGCTCATGAAGTGTTGCATTATTTGAAATCTAAATGAATAGGTTACGTGTCTATAAGGTTATGTTTGGTACGGTAGGAAAGAAAATAAATGATAACATTAGTTATGAAGGAAAGGGAAGTAAATGATAATTTTAATCCCCTATCGTGTTTGGTTGATTAATAAAGGAAAATATAATAATCATATTTGGAAAAAAAAAAAAAAAACTATTTTAATAAATTTATTATTATACCCTTTTATATTTTAAAAGATAAATTTATAGATTTAACTATGTAATATAAAAATAAATAATAATTTGATAAAAACATTATTATTCTTTTGAATTCATGTTATACGTTTAACTTATATGCTGGATAGGCAAAAGAAATATATGCTAGATGGGTAAGAGAAATATTATTACTGTAATATAAATGAGTTAAATGAAATGTTAGCAATAAAAAATGAATAATTATTTCTAAGTTTTAACAATTGTTTAGTGAATGAATATTCTAACAAGTTATCAATAAAGGAAGCCATTTATTAATATCATTTTTCATTGTTCTTCTAAAGAAGCATGTAGAATTCAAGTTCAATTTTTATATATTTATTTTATTTTATAATAAAAAACAGGGATAGATACGCAAAAGTGTGGAACCAAACCTTATATACAAGTATGTGGAAAAGGTTTAGTTATATGGGGGCAGACATGTACTGGAAAAATCCATCCATTGGATCAAAAACAAGAAAAGGGGCGATTGTAAACCAATTTCATTTGAAGGTGTGCACCTCCTTCTCTCCCTCCTATACCACAACCTGAACCCACTTCCCCCTTCTCTCTCTCATATTTCTTCTATAGCAGTGAATTTTGGCGCCCTTGTTTTCCACAAATTTGGCGCCTTTGTTTCCCTCAGCTGACTACATGCCCTAAAATCAAGTGTAATTTGTGTTAAAGTAAATTTGGTATCAGAAATAATATATCAAGCCTCTCTTTTTCTTTTCTTTCATTTCCTCTCATTTTTTGAAAGATAAGAAAGTTACTATTTAAGCCTTGTAATATCTTTAAAAAACCATCCCTTTCATTTTCTTCCAACCATTTATGCCAAACACAAGTTTTTAATCACCTTCTATCACCTTTCCTTTCCTTTTCTCTCCTTTTCATTGTACCAAACTAACCCTTAAAGCCACATATAATCGGGGAGAGCGATCATAAACTACATATCTTTAGTCTCATATTCAATTTTAGTTAATAGTGAGACTGGGGAGTGGGGTCTAATTATTCCTTCAGCAAGGTTGATGAGAAGGGGAATGAGAGGGGAATCTCTATTGTTTTTGTATAGAATGATTTTCCATCTTACTTGCATGATTTTTTTTTTTTTTTGGAGAATAAAGCAACTAACATTAAAGTAAATTGTATGTACAGGGTTGGGCCCTTTGGCCGTTACACAAATAAACCCGCAAGGGTCAAAATGCATAAGCAACACAAGTAAATTGTAAAACAAGACAAGCCCAAACAGGCAACTAAGGGCACAAACCCAGCCAAAAAAGAAAACCCAAAATGAGAATCAATAACTGTCATTATCAATAACCGTTAATTGAGCTCATTTGAACCTAATTCTGGTGTCCAAATTGAGGTATGCAATTCCTCACAGATTGTTAATCTGGAGGTCGTGGAGGTGGCCTACAGCAAGAAGGAGGGAGATTCCATTTGACAATGATCCTCCTTGAAGCAGCAGTCTTTAAGGAATCCAAGTTGCAGAATCGATGTGATACAGGAGTTGATCTTGCTGAGCACCATTCGCTGTGAACATTTCTGTTTCTTGAAAATTCTGTTGTTGCGTTCTTCCTAAGTTTGGTAGACGATTGAGGAGAGACAAATCTTTCGAACCATGTGTCTGTGGTGAATTTGTTTTCCATAGGTGGCTAGTGAGTATGACCAAACTTTTCCAGTTAGTGATTGGAGTCGAAAAATAGTCATGTGATTCAGGAGAGTTGGAGCACAATGCACAATTATTTTGATGCTTGGCCATGGCTTTGCTGTCAAGAGTGGGTAGTCTAGATTGTACAATCAACCACAAGTTGAATTTCATGTGCGGAATAATTGGGGATTTTGTTGTACCATCTTACTTACATGTTGATTAGTAACATTTAATACATTAGAAGTTGGGATAGAAACGCCAATAAAAAAAATACCGTTAAGTGTGCTTATAGAATTCCTCAAATGGTCAAACATGTGGATGATGCAGAACTGGGTCGTGTTGAATGTAATCACTCCAAAACCCAAGCTCGTGTTTGAATTTAAACATAGAAAGGTTTGTAACAAAAGGAATATCAATTTTTTTCTTTTCTTTTCTCCGCCAATGCTGCCGCGAGAAACTCCTACTAAATTTAGTACCCCGTAATGTTTAACTTGAAAAAAATACCAATCTACTTTTATTTTTTTTACCACCCTCAACTATTAATAAATTACTTTACCCCACGTTTGAAAATCTTAACACTTTTTATAAAAAAAAATTATTTTTAATATTTTAAAATTCATATTCCATTTGAAAATTGTATATTATTCAAAATATCTTAACATTTGAAAACTTTTCTCAAGTATTATTATAAACTTTTAAACTTCAAATGTGTATAGTTTTGAAATTTCAAAAAAAGACTACAAATAAGATGCATGAAGTGTACTTGGAATAGTGTCGTAATTGAAAAGTAAAATAGGACCACATTTGTCTCTATTCGTGCCCCTCACCAGAAGGGGAAAGAGACCGAATCGACAAAGCCTTAAACCAGGGACGACTTCAAAGCCCCATATATATATTTATATACAGTATAGTAAAATACGAGGGTATATATATATATATATATATATAAAAGGAAAGTTACTTATATTTATTTCAATCTGTGTTTCTCTCTCTCTCTAGCCATCTGTGACTTCTCCGTCATGACTAAAGATTGGGGCACCAAGTGGCACGACAACCGCCTCCGCCATTCTTTTTCTCTCTCTAGTTTCTCTCTCTAGCTTCATCTAGGGTTTACATTCAGTTCAGTTTTGTTTGTTCTCAGCTTCTTTGTTGTGTTCGTGATTTACTTCAATTCGAAAGGTAGATAGGCGAAATATTTATTTTTCATACTCGTTCATTTCTCTCTTTCACTTTGGTTAGCTTAGGTTTTATATGTTCCAGAAGTTTCAATGTTGACGTCTTCGTCGAAGAAGATTTGCTTCAATTCGGGCTGTAAGGATGTATTGGAACGACCAAGAAAAGGTTGGCGTCGCCGGCATGGCGACTTCGCTGACCTCTGTAATCGATGCGCGTAAGTACTTTTGACTCTCTTATTTTAATTTTGTTTACTAATTCAAGGGTTGTATGTTCATTATCTCTCTCTGCTGTATTAGTTATGGTTTTCAATGTTGGGAGCTTTATGGAGCTATTTAAGTAGAGTTTAATGCATTTTCTAAGGATTTTAGTAGTATATTTTTCTTGACTTACCTGATTAGTTTCTTAGCTGAGCTTTAGTTACATTGCTTGTACCAAAATTCTTTCTTTTTGATGATTTATTGGAGAAATTGACGTTCTTTTGTGCATTTTGTGTTGCTTAGTTTGATTCAATATTGAATGCATGTTATTGTTGAATGAACTTATTGAAGCGGTCATTTCTCATATTATTAAAGTTCTCATTAGATGGATTTTGGAAGTCTTTGTTTAATTTAATGAAAAATTCCGCCTACAAAAAGTATCCCACAATACAATTAAGTGTAAAGATATTTTTCCCCTAAAGGCAATTGAAGATTTTTCATAAATATTCCCCAAGCTTCATCAAGAATAGAAAATTTTAAGTAAAATTTCCAGAACCAAATTCAATGGGCTGCGTAGGGATGTTGACCAGTCCTTGTTAATGTGGAGGCTGAGAAATCCGACCTGTACTCGTAGCATCATTCAAAGTAGTGCTAGTGACAGAAATTCCCAAGGGGAATCTAAAGGACCACAGGGAAAGCTACAGGACGAATAGAGGGCAGAGGGGTAGGAGAAGTGACTTGCTGACGGCACCTAACTCAGGCTCATCCTTCTCAGGTTCACTCTCCTTGCGTCCCGGCATCCCCAGTAAATGTGATGGTACTGTTCTCAATTCCTTGTTTAGGGTGAAATCCTTTTTCCCGGAAGGAAATTGAAGATGGTGATAAACCCTTTGAAGTCTTGCCATAAAAGAATTCCAGTGTCCAAAAATCTCAAGTAGAGCAGTCGTAGAATGATTATTGGAATATATAGGGCAAGGAATGAGAAATCATAGGTCGAACCGCCGAATGGGACAAATAGGACCAGTTGGCTCAGTACGATAGGGATTTAGAAAAACATGAAAAAAAAGAAAAAGAAAAAAAAAAGGGAAAGAGAGTTGTTGTAGGTCCCATGGTCAAGCAGGTTTAAGTCCTGCATCAAAAGTTTTCCAGAAATATTTTCCTCCAAAACAATAATTTCCAGAGTTATTGTTGTCATGTTATTATCAACCATGGACTGTTTTAATTAATAGAAAAATGTTAAATATGGGAGATCTGCACTTCTATTTTTCTATCTTAATGGGGTTTAAGTGGATTATGTCTTTCCCTGTTAAACCATATGAAATTTGTTGTATTGGTGAGCTATGGTATACAATGTGACTGTTGAAGTATTGGTTTTACCAATAATGACAAAAGCCAATTTTTGTAGCATATTCTGCATTTGGGACTAGAATAAGTATGAAATAGTAGTGTAAGCTAAAGAAGCAAAGGTGCACAAGACATGCATGTGTAGGGATGGCAACGGGGCTGGGTATGGGCGGGGGTACCCTGCCCCGCCCCCACCACGTTTTAAGTTTTCCCACCCCACGGGCACCCACCCCGTTTAAACTCGTACTTAATTTGCAAAATCTCAAAATTACTTCAGAGACATCTATGCGACATTTCCCTGCCCCAAACCTGCATGAGTTTTTTCCCCTCAAACCCATCCACGCCCAAATCCCATAAATGGGCCTCCAAAACTGGTTTAAACTGGGCGGGGCGGGGTAAATTGCCATCCCTATGCATGTGAAGCTAACACAACTCTAGTGATATAGGCCATGCTGGCTTCCCATTTATTTATTTTTATAAGGATGCTCTTCCACTGGACAATAGGGGATCAAGTGAAAGTAACACTAACAAAATTGGTACTTGATTACATTTCTCTTTATTTAGAACATTCTTATGTTCTTTTCTTCATTCTTTTGTATGTGTGTTTTAGAATGGGGTTGCTTTCCTTCATTCTTTTGTATGTGTGCTTTAGAAGGGGGTTGGGGTGGTTGTGTGTTTTAGAAGGGAGTTGGGGTTGTTGTGTACTTATATTAGGCTTTTTAAATATATGTCGCGTACTAGTCTGAATGATTCTATTTAGGAATTATTAAAAATATCTGGGCTCTTCAAAACAAACTTGCGTATAGATTAACCATACATCAACAGAAGGACAAATTCTGTCTTTGATTTTCACATAAGCTTGGAATCAAGTGACGGAAGTGTAAAAGTAGAGTTGGAACGAAATCAAGTGATTTTCGCATAAGCTTGGAATCAAGTGATTTTCGTAAAAGCATGCATCAAATTTGAAACATATCCTAATTGTATATTTTACAACAAACGTAGCAAACCAAGAACAAAACATGAATCACGACAGAAAAGTTAACACGCCACACACAAAGAACGCAAAGATTTACGTGGTTCAGCTTAAGTCTAAGCCTATGTCCACGGTGAAGATTTGGTGAAGGATTTCACTATGCGACAAACAGGAAATTACAAGTTCCATCTCCCAAACCCTAGCTCTCGCTCTCACTCTCTTATAGGGTCCACGACCTGTAAGCGAAAAACCACTTATAATTGGTGGACTTGGGTCCACACAAAGTCATTCGGGTCGAAACTAGGCCAGAACAAAATTTGGGCCACCACATCACAGTAAAACATGTTTAACACTTTTGTTACCTTACATATTCAGTGGTATCTCGTGAGATTTCTTCGTGATTTATGTGTCCATTTTTCTGCTTGGTTATTTTGAATTGTTGACTTTAGTTCTACGTGACTCTAGTTCTGCTTATGAGGAAGGAAAATTCTGTGAGACTTTTCACTTGAATGCTTCTGGTTGGAGATGTTGCGAGTCCTGTGGAAAGGTTAGCAGAAAAATCGTTATTTTCAGGCAAATTTTGTTAAACTTAAATGCTTTTTTTTTTTTTTTTTTTTTTTTTTTTTTTTTTCTTTTTTTTTCTTTCTAAACTAGATAGGAGATTGGACAAATTACATCTTGCTGACTCCTTTATTTTATTTTATTTTATTTTTGAAATTTGTTGCCCAAATCTTCTGATGGTAATATTTTTCTATGTAGCAAATACATTGTGGATGTATAGTTTCATTCCACACATTTGTACTGTTGGATGCTGGAGGAATTGAGTGCATAAATTGTGCAAAGAAAAGTTTTATTTTGGTGAGTTGTTCTATGTTCATTATGATTTTTTGTTTTAAGTTTTATGGCCACCATGTTGTTCGCCAGTCTTTATCAATCCAAAGTCATTTGTTAAAGCTGATTTCTGTAACTAGGGTTGAATTGAGATTCTTTTAATAATTGTACAACTAAACCTTACCTAATTGTAGAGCTGTTTACAAGTGGGAATGGGAACAAGGTGGGTCCAGGACCATAAATCTAATTTAATTAAACATACCATCAGCCTGGCCTTGTTCGATCCTGACTGCAGCTCCAAACCTGCCCCTGAACTGAATACAGCAGATGAATTGTGTTCATTCTAAGTTATGAATTTGTGCTATATGTTTGTTGTTACATTATCTTGAGCCTGCCCAAAAAACATATTTAAGTGAAAAACAGTAGCCCCTATAAGTTAAGGAATTCTTCAATTCATGTAGATGGACTCAGAGACTTGGGATTTAAGTTTCCACTGAGTTATTTTGTCATTTTCACATAATTATACAGAATATTTATGTTGGTCTTGTAAAATTATTTATAAACATGAAAAAGTGAAACCAGTTATTTTTATGGCAAATTCTCTCTCTCTGTCTCTCTCAAATGATACATCGGAATGGATTGAACTTCTTTACTAGTAGATGACCTTTTTTACTTTTCTCCTGTCTGCATTAACCGTACTCCATAATATATTATGTTCCTCTCTCTGTATAAAAGAATATGCCACAATCATAGTTAATATTTAATGTTTCAGACGCCAAATCCTGCATGGCCTCCACCTTCTCTCTTCCTTCCTGCAGTGCCTGAAAGAATTAAGGATGTCTCAAACAAAAACTGGGGTCAGATAGCTGCATTAGGCTCTGTTCCCTGGCGACAAGCACCCAGTTTGTTCAGCACTTCTACTGCTCAGTCTGAATTGCATCCAAAAATGCCCTTTGAGGTTGACATACTGAGTGGCAGTGACAGACTTATCGCCAGCGAGCAATTATCTTCCTCCTCTTTAGAGAAGAAGAAAATAGAGGATTTGTCTGAAAGATCAATGAATGGTAGCTTGAAGCTTGGTGCATCAGCAGTGGTTGAGAACATGAATGCAGGTGTTGGCATTTTTCCAGCACAATATGTTACGCTAGAAAAAAGAATCTTGGTTGCTTGTCATGTTCTTATTGACATGCAGGTGAAATGCTCTAGGCTTCTAGCATATACATTGACTGGTTGCATAACTTGATGTGAGCATTTTGTTGCAGGAACCAATCACGAGGAGCAATCTTACGCATGTTTAAATGCTCCTCCACAATTGTCCTTCTCAAAGAATGACAATCTTTCTCAGCAGTCATCCTTCTCAAAAAATGACCCATCTACTCCACACTTCAGTTTGGCTGTAAATTCAGCATCATCAAATGATCGAACTAAGGTTTCTAAAACTTGTGCACAAAAACCAACCTCCCCAGTTCCTGTGGGAAAGGAGTTCTTTGGGCATAATGGAGTTGATGCATCTGGTGAAAAAAAAATACATAATGGAAAGCCTCAAGGAGAGGCCGGAAAAAGAAATCAGTTACTTCCTCGGTACAGACCCAGGATAAGTGATGAAGAGCTACAGCTGATCTCTGGAGAGTATCCTATAATCCATATTTGATGAATAGTATTGTTAGCTATATTATTAATCATAATTGTAAAACCAGGTTATCATTCTGAATTTTTTAACAACTTCATCTTCATAGCAGGTACTTTTTCATCTACTAATTTTCACAAAATAAGTCAAGCGGTATTTAATTTATACACATTTTTAATGTTCAATTAAGCAGTTCATCATCATTTTAACATTGTTGTTTCTTTTAAGCCATTCAGCACCTGATTGACCTTAATTACATGTAAGTTCGAACTCTGTAATAACTTCCTTGTTTGAGAAGATATTAAGTGCTAGTGATGCTGGCCGGATAGGGCGTTTAGTACTGCCAAAAAAATGTGCAGAGGTGCGTCTTCTTTTCTCAGCTAAACTTTCACTTTGTTCAGCATTCCAATTCTTCAAGCTGTCTATATTTGGAATCTGAACCCCTTCTGCTCACAAATATGACATACATGGATGAAAAATATATTATGATTCATTACGCACACACATATTTAGTAAAATTTATACTTACATATATTTATATGCATACTTGTTTATATTAATGATAAAAATAACAATGCTGTACTTTTAAGGTACATGATAAAAGAGAGAAGAAAATAAATGTAAGTCATTTGATTCAACTTGTAACACAATTATACCTTGCAATTTCTATTGGAATTCACCAGATGATGTGAAAATTCCACACAAAACTAAAACGCTACCATCAGTTCCTATTGGAATTTAACAGAGTAATGGTGATGAATGGAATTGAATGTTCAAACAAGAGGAATCATAGTACCAGTTACATTAGGTGTCAATTGAATGGTGTGAGGGATTTTTTATTTTAATTTGTGAAGGGAAGAGTTGGATAAGCAAATCCAAAGTCCAGCCATCTTAATTTCTGCTTTAGAGCACATTTAAGGTTTTAAAGAGGTGTGTGTGTGTATTTGTGTTTCTTTTCTTTCCTTTTTGGAATTCAATCTGAATCTGAATTTTTGTATTTCTTGGCAAAATTTGGAACTTCCAAAACTTAAAATTCTATTTTTTTGCCTGAATTTTCAGTGCATTGTATGAATTTGTGAAAGATTCTCCCCATTTTTGCTGTGTTAATAAAAAACTAAATTGTTGTTTTTTCCTAAACTCTGAATTTTGGTTTTTCTTAAATTGGCTTAATATTAAGACTTTATGCTTGAATTTTTTTCTATCCAATTTTTTTCCTATTTGAATCTGAACAACCAATGCGACTGTGAATGCAAATTTTGGTAAATAACTGCAAAAAAATAATGAATATGAACAATAAGTAGATATGTTATTTTACTTTTAAAGCCAATATCTTTGTAAATTATTGTGTAATATTGGCTGCATGGGGCAAAACTTGATCAGTCTAACTTGTTACATTTGCTTGTTGAATGATACTTTCTTATTTGTTTTATTCTTCATGTTGAGAATTTCTCTCTCATGATTATTTTACTTATGTGATTTGTATGATAGACCAATGCGTGTGATCCCTCTGTTGGTGTGGTGGAAAGAGACATACTATGTGAGATCTACTGAAATGGTCATATGTCCCCCTTATTCTAATTAAATGTAAAGACTTAGTTATTAGCATAGATCTCTCTCTCAGAATTTTCTTTTGCACCTTTTGTTATTTGCTTAATAAGGTTTAAAATAGCAATAATTACAATTGGAATTGTGGGAGATTGGAACCGTCCAACTTTAATTAGCTGGAAAAGTGATATCACAAAAATGGAAAAATAGTTAGGTAATTGAATGGATAAATATAAATTAGGCTTAATAACCAAATGAATATAAGTTATAGGAAATAATCAAGTGAATATGTATAAATTATATTTAATTGAAACAATATAGAACTAATTTCAGTGGCAGAAAGTATCTGAATTTGTTTATTGCAATTTGACGAAACTGTTTCCATCCATCTTCTTGCCTTTTACCTAGATAATCAGTGTACTGACATTTATAGAGCATGCTATTTGAGGAAACTTATGTGGCATACTGTCAAGTACTTTCTTGGCTTTTGGCAAGTGCACTAGCACTTTTGACTTCCATAAATATTTTCTCTGGAGTGAGACTTTTGCTGCTAAGCACATTCATGCAGTCTTTTTACTTCTAGTTATTGGTATTTTGTCATTGTACATAGAAGTATTTAAATTCTTCATGTAATTTTTACCGTCTAAATCTCCAGGACAACCCTGATAGAGTTATCATGTATCCTTACTATGACACAGGCCTATTTTCCACCAATTTCACAGCCAGAAGGATTACCTCTCAAAGTACAAGATTCAAAAGGGAAGGAGTGGATATTTCAATTCCGATTCTGGCCCAATAATAATAGCAGAATGTATGTTTTAGAGGGGATCACTCCTTGTATACAGTCGATGCAGTTGCAAGCTGGTGACATAGGTAAATATCACTTGAAAACAATGTTCTACGTGTCATTTTCCTAATTATGGGTGTTAAAATGTTTTTCATTGTAGTTGAGTGGTTCCTTTCCACGCTTCAGTTTAGGGAGGTAAGATTGTGTGATTTTATGGCCCGAATTTGGTGCCGGGTTGCGTTGGGAGACTTGGGACCCATTTTTGACCCCACAACCCGTTCCTTGAGCTTTGTGTGGGCCTAAGCCCCCGGTTTTTTGCTTGCGGGTCGTGGATCCTATCTATTACTCTATTGTAGCCCGATATATAAGGGCGTTTAGGGTTTGGAGTGGGATATTGAGACACACTGGCTTTGCCGAACCATGCTAAATCTTTGTGTTCTTTGTGTGTGGTGTGTTTATTTTCTATCGTGTTTCTTGGGTTCGCTGTGTTTGTCGTAACAAATTGATATGGAGAACTGATCTGGGCTGAGTAGTAGAGTGTTCAGACTTGGATTGTCTCACTAGGACCATGCTCAAGCACAGCTTGAACTCGTTATGAGCTCATCCAACCTCGTACAAAGCTTGGCTCTGCTTAATATTGACGAACCTTGCTTTATTAAAAGAAAAAATTCCTAATTTTTTCTTCTCTAAAGAAGATGAAAAGAAGAATACCGGAGCTCAATTTGAATGTGGATTGCGCGGCTACGATCATCAATTAATCTAGATCAATTTTTTAAAAGAAACAAATGCCAAGAAGCCTTAATCAATGAAATTTCATAACACTGATGGGAAATAAAGAACACAAAGTGATCATGACCAGCTAAAAACAAATATTGAGGTGAGGACAGGATACAGACCTTATTTTTGGCATTAATATTGACATGTGAAAGCGGGGTTTGACTTCATTCATTACCCTTATTTGTTTCTATTATCTAAATCTAATGATTCTTAGAAAGTTAATGTCGGAGATTGGTAGCCATGAAAACACGTAAAAGTATACAGGGAGGTATATTTTCACGAGCCTGCGATCTTAAGTTGCTAGGCTTGCCTCATGTTCTAGAGTCTCAAACTAAAGAGCTTTAACTTAGTTCATTTGCTTAATAAAAGAGCTTAAACAAACTCTTACGAGTGCCAAATTGTCTATGAACAGGTTGGTTCATTTGCAAGCCTACCCACCACCATTCACCTAAATTAAATGCTAATTGTGTATTTGCACATTTCAATGACAGTTGATACAAAAGGGGCGGCAGGGGCCAGCCTCGTGCAGTGGTAAAATCCTTGGTCTGTCAAATGTGAGGATGCGAGTTTGAATCCTGAGAGCAACCACCTTGTGCAAATAATGGGAAATGTTAACTTAAGTCTTTATCCGATTTGCCCCTCCCAGCATCCTCGATTATTGATGATGCTTTAATGACATGGCATACCATTCCCCCCACCTCAAAATACCATTTTCTGCTTGTCTTCCAATTTTCATTTCATGTGTTTTTTCTCTTCCATCTTCCAAGTGAGCTCTGTAGTGTTTACTTCCTATGAATGAATTTACTATGAGTTCCCTGATTTTTGTTTTTGTGCTGATATATGATTTATTTGTTCAGTAACATTTAGTAGGTTAGAGCCAGAAGGAAAGTTGGTCATGGGGTTTAGAAAGGCTTCAACTAGTCTGCCATCTGAACAGGTTTGATCTTGTAAAATAAAACAGTACTTTAGTTTTCTCTTAAATCAGTACATGTGAGTGTAATGCAATGGGTATCTCCAGTGGCTTATGTAAATGATTCTTTTTCACCATTCTTGTTGGCAATTGAAAATTCAAGAAGATATGATAGTCATTACCGTTTATCAAATATGCATAGGTTTTTTCCTATCATGTCATGGCTTTCTTATTGACATTCTGGTAATATCCATTACTGAAAAATTATCATAAATTTTCTTGGACTGCGTGGTTGAATGATAATATCTTTGATTTGTTTAACCTCCATATGATATTGTAGTCACTCATATATTCTGTTTCACTATTGTAGTTTGTACTGACAGAAATTATGGTAGGAATAATTGTTTTCTATTCTGGAGTTGGATAAGGAACTTTGTTTATGCTAAATTTCTGAAAGTTTATTTTGTACTTGTAAAAAAAAAAATCAGAAAGTGTTTGTATCTGCGGAAAATTTCCTATAAAGCAACATTGACATACTGTAAAACATGTGCGGGGTTATATATTGCCTGCTGCATTCAGTAGCATAGAGCTAGCTGAACTTCTAAAAGCAGTCATCGTTGTGGTTCCGTGCATCATCAACCAAGATGGATCCCAGTCAAATATAAGCAACTTCTCGTATCAATACTGATGAATTATGGTTGCCCTAAAAGGTCGTGTACATGACAATTATAATTTGGGAATTTTTCAGAATTCTGTTATGCTGCATTTCTGCTTGAAGCCAATCAATTAGATTGTAAATTTTGCAAAATGTGGATTGTTTGCGTTTTAAGCTATTGATCATCTAATTTCACTTTTAGTTTTAGAAGTAGCTGATATTAAAGTCCCAAAATGAAGTAAGTGTGCAACCAAATTGTATTACCATTTAACTTGCGTGATATCATAACCGCTTGATATTGAAGTTCTGTCTTGTGTTAGAATATACAGCTTCAAACACTCTTCAACAACTATTTATCCTATTCTCTGATCTGCAGGGCAAAGAAAGTGTCAACAATGGTAATGGAGTTTCTGCACGTGGAGGTGTTAGCCATAGAAAAACTAAACCTGGTGAAACTGTTTCGACTCATCTTCAGTTAAAAAGTAATTCAGTGTCACCTAGCTTTTGGTCAATCGACCAGGCTAACTTGGCAGATCCAGCAAGTACATCATCCAAAGCTGATAAATCTGGGTATATTGCTAAGGAAGTAGTCACAACTAAATCTTCTTTTCGTATTAAGCGGAAGAACAGCACCTTGGGATCAAGGAGTAAACGTTTAAGAATTAAAAATGAGGATCTCATAGAGCTAAAGCTATCATGGGAAGAAGCTCAAGCTCTGCTTCGCCCACCTCCTAACCGTGTGCCCAGTGTCGTGGTAATTGAAGGGTGTGAATTTGAGGAATATGAGGTACTATAAGTCATGTTTAGTACATTTTTTATATCAATTGATGTCCTGTTTATGTTTCTATGATTGTTGTTTAGCAATCTCATATTCCTTGTTAAGAAAAGTACCTTATAATATATCATTACAACATGGAAATGCTCCATTTTTTCCAAGAGAATTGGTATTAAATTTTTTAAATATGTTTGATATGTGATGGTTGAGATATATATAGCAATAGGATCTTCTGATATCTTGAAAAGTTGAGGTATGTGCCACCTATTATGGGGGAAACGGTAAATGAAAAATAGGAGATAAAAAAGTAGGAAAGTAATCGCAAAGTTAATCAAACTTGCTAAGACATCAATGTGTATGTTGCTTTCAATTGAATTATTTGTTTATTTGTATGATGTTTAAGACCTGCTTAAAAATAAAAGTTTGAGCTACCTCACATTCATTAAAAAACTGCATATTCACGTGCTGGGACTTTAGGATTATATATTCTTAGTCTGCAGATGTGATACACTATTACATTATTTATGATCTTCAAAAGTAAAAACATCTGTTTAAGCATGGCCTGATATAATTTGCTTCAGCAGGATGCACCAATAATTGGAAGGCCTACGATTTTCGCAACAGATATTCTGGGGTAAATCACTTGGATTACTGACTTGCAGTTCTATTCTGATTATAGCCATTTTGAAATTATCTTGTGGCCATAGCGGCGTAGCATTATGTGGACAAATTTCTTCTTCTGGAAGATGGAATTTATTTCTATATTTTGAAAGTTTCTATGAAATTTTACTTGCCAAAAAAAATATATATATATATTTCTATGAAATTTTGAAGAGTTGCTTTTTTATAGGTTCTTCATGCTTGCCTTAACAGTATATCTCAAATGTTTCCTGAACTTCATTGTCTAAAATTTGGGTCCAATTGGTATTTGTTCAAAAATCTGCAAGGGTTCATTTCACTCATTATTTGACATTTCATAGACTACAGCATTTTACTAATAATAATTACTAGTTGCTTCATTTTTCTCTTTGATTTGCCAAGTCTAGGGTTCTCCCTTCTAGTTTTATATTGTTCTTTTTAGTCAATTTACATCTCACTGGATTGTGAACACCAATGCTATGTTTCATCTGTGTCAGTGAAAAGATCCAGTGGGCTCAATGTGAAGACTGTCTTAAGTGGCGCAAAGTTCCCGCTGATGCTCTTCTTCCCTTGGGATGGACTTGTTCTAAGAACTCATGGGATTCAAAAAGGTAAAAGTAGGACTTAAAAAAGCATGAAGTTTGAGCCCATACCATATAAATGTTTTCTTTTGATTCAAGGACTTGTTGGTTGCCCGTTAAACAAGCCATGAAACATTTGTGTGGAATTGGGCATATATGAGGCACTCATCCATGTGTGGAATTGGGCATGTGTAAGGCAGGTGTGCGTTTCATAAATATGAGTTCTAGAGCATCAACGGAATGACTGTTGCTTTTGGATGCTGGGCCAAGTGCTGTGGTATTTTGAGGTTATCCAACTAAGCTATATGGATCCCAGGACTTATCTGTTGTTCTAGGACAGCTTTGAATGTCCAAATGCTTTTCAATCAGGAGATGATTCAGAAATTAGTTAACACAGCATGCCTTTCTTTGCAATAAGTTCCTTCTCATTTCATTTATTTTTAAAATTTTCTTAGGAGGTGCCTCAAATAATGCATCCATTTCATCCCTCCCAAGCCCCCCGCCCTGGTTTTGGCTTTTCTTAAACTGCTCCTGCATAGATCTGTTGCTGCATCCATTCCATGGACTAATACTTCATTGAGTGCCCAACTTTCAGGATAAAAAAACATGGCTGGTCTTTTATTTTTTTGTTTCATGACATATTTGAACATATTGACATACATAACTAACACTTGAAAGCACCTATTTCACAGTCATAACGGACACTTGGACATCATTAGCATTTAAATTGGAAGCTCAAGTACCATTGTTCACATTTGACCTCTCTCTTGTTGTGCAAGCCCATTCTTAGAAATCCCTTTGTTAGCAACTAGCTGAATTTGTTTAAGCACTTCTGGAGTTTTTGCTAATGTTCTCGTGTCCTTTCTGCTACCAGATCTTTATGTTCAGCGAGTCAAGAATTAACAGCAGAACAGCTTGAAGATCTGCTACCCATAAGTAATCAGGGTACAAATGTCACAGACGGTGCACCTGGTAGAATGGCACATTTGAGTTTTATAGTTTTACTTCCGTTGTTTTGTCTCTCTTGCATGTGACAAAACTGCTATTTATTTCAATGTTAATGATTGCATTTCATGTATGGTTTTATCACATTTGCAATTGGCTTTGTGATTGTGGTTGTGCAGATGCTTCTGAGAAAATGAAGGCTGCTAAGCTTGATCCCGATCCGGTAGAAGCTTTGGAGGGGCTCGACAAACTGGCCAACCTAGCTATTCAGGAAGAGGGTGAGGCACTCGCATCATCATCCCAGGCCACAACAAAGCACCCCCGCCATAGACCTGGCTGTACGTGCATTGTCTGCATTCAGCCCCCAAGTGGGAAGGGGCCCAAGCACAAGCTAACATGTGCATGTAACGTCTGCCTTACTGTGAAGCGCCGGTTCCGAACGATGATGTTGCGGCGCGAACAGAAACAATCAGAGAAAGAAGCAGAAAGTGCACATGAAAAGCAGCAGCTACAGATGCCTGAGCAAATTCCTGATGATGACATCCAGGAATATGGTAACATGGGAAATAGTATTCCCTACTGGAAAAACGTGGCCAATGAGGATCCTAGCAATGAACGAAGCTGGACGAAATCCTCCCTTTCACCTTTCAAAGGCCAAATTGACCTGAATATCCAGCCAGAGCGGGAGGAAGAGCTGGCACCAGGTTCAGATTCTGGCAGCACAATGAGGTTGCTCCAAGATAACACGGAGAGGTATCTCAGGCAGCAGAGACTGTCTAGTTCTGGTGATCACAGAGATTCAGTATGCAATCAGATACAGCAGGGTGGAATTAGAGGAGAAAACTTTAGCAACCGTATCACCCTTGATAGCAGTCATCAAAAGGACGCTGGAGCAGATCATCGTGTAACTTCGTCTATGAACCCACCAGCATCCACATCAACAACCACTGAGAGATAAAAGGTACCATTTCGTGGCACATATTGCAAAAATCATTGGTAGGACTTTCGTATTGTATGCTGGGTTAGCTCTTGTTGTACATTTGTCTGCATCGGCATCAAGGGGAGGCGCGAAGTGGAGGATTTGGTTAAGAAAGCAATTATATCTATAATTGTCCTCCTTTCGACGGTAATTTAGTGGACACTAAATTTATAGGAGGAAAAAGGTAATATACAACTGGAGTGGACAGTGGGTCGTAGCCATTACTTTACTGTTAAGGAGCTCACCTTGCTGCCCTGTAATGCTAGGCTTAGGATGTAACTATAGGTACTTTTATTTGACTCTCCTTTTCCGTTTTTTTTTTTTTTTTTTCCCAGTAGAAGAGGATTGCTTTGGGGCAATCTTTCGACTCCTCATGTTGCTTGCTGTTAACTGTAATACTACCGGTTGGCTATTGGCTTGAGTTGATTTAATTTACATTACATTTTGGCAAAAAGATTTTAACTTCCAGAATGATTTTAAAGTGATTTTTGTTCAATTAGAATTCTTTTTCCGGATAAAATTGAGCTAAAAGTTTAAACTATTTTTTTTTCCAATTCTAATTTCAATTTCAAGCGACAAAGCCCATCACTGCCTTTTTTGTTTCCCTCTTCCTCTCTCTCTCCGCCTTGCCACCAACGCCACTGCCAGACCCGCGCTAGCTCCTTCCACCACCACCCCGATCACTGCCAGATTGGCAGCCATCGAATTGGGTCGTAAAAGAGGAAGTGGGTTAGAGGGAAAAATAGGGTTGCTGAATTTGGTGGCATCGGTGATCGGCAGGATCGGACCACCATTCAACGTGCCCTAGATCCAACAATCATTATAGTGAGTTTACACACACACACACAATAAACAATGTTCAGACCTGAAATTTTCCAAAGCCATATGGGAATAGATCTGAAGGAGGCGAAGGAATTAAACAATTGATCGGTGATGGCGTTGCTGCTATAGAGCGAGAATGGGTTTGTCTTGGTTAGAAAGTTCTATTATATTCCAAAGAACTAAATTTTTGACTCGGAGGCGTGTTTGGTCGTATGCACATATTCTTTGACCCAGAGGCGTGTTTGGTATGGCTGGTTGGTGTGGCTTGTTGAGAGGGGATTACAGAATAATGATTAGGGTTATTTTTGTCAATGTAAATAAGTGCGTGGACTGAAAAGTGAGCGTGAGTGCAATTTATCCGTACTTCCCTGATAGTTTGTGAAATGATTGTGGGCCTGTGCTATCAGAGGATCTACTTACCCTAAAGAAATCATTTTCAAAGAGAAGATTGATAGTTGGACATTTAGCCGAGACGGATGATTCGTTCTCAGCTTTCATTCATGAAGTAAACAAAAGCACCACCAAGCACACGTTTAAACCATAAAGTACATGAGAGCTGGAAACTCGCTGCTGCTGCTATAAATAGGTTATTCGAGGCCATTGACAGTGTCAAGGAAGACGTTGAATAGCTCGGAGACTACAATAAGCAGATGAAGAAAGTAAAAAATCCATGAGATCAAAACAATGAAATAGCTGGGAGACACAGATATTTCAGCATGTCAAGTAGATGTTAACACAGTAGCGTAGATACAGCAACAAGGATGGCGCATTGTGAATACCAAGGTCCAATGCACCTCTCATTGCAGAAGCTGTTAATCTTTGTAATCAATTAGCTCTTCAGAATCTGGGCCATGACAACAATCTTAAGATTGCAATTTACATACAGTAATAAGCTGAAGAAACATTGTGACATGGAAAATGAGTAACCCATGAGATGTATAAGACTGTGATAACCGTGTGGAAGACTCTTAGTATAAAACAGCAGACTACTAACAGTTATGTTCTTTCTTTGGTAGGTTTGAAGAATAAGTCTTTTCTCATCATACAAAAATAGAAGTTGAATATGACTGGTTACGTGGTCTCTGTCTGAATGAAGGCAGTTCCATTCATGAATATATATCTTCCAGGTCCAGAAGCATACACCAGTAGAGATACTAACACCTATTTGGGAGGAAGGAAATGCAAACAAATGAAGGTTAGGGAAGGGATAAGTAGGGAGGGGAAAATGACTATCCCTCATTTGTGAGTTTCATACCAAGAGAAAAGAAAAGAAAATAAATGGGAGGAATGGCACTCATCCAGTCCTATATTCCCCTCCCAAAGAAGGCAACACGGAGGGGAAAAAATGAGTTGGTGATTTTCTGTTTTATTTCTAGTTCTTTAGAAGAGATTTCCTATTTTTCCCTTCTGAACTAAGAGCACGGACACGGATACGACATGGACACGGCGACACGGTAAATCCAAAAAAATTAGAACACAAAGACGAATAGTGAAAAAAATTACTGAGTGTTATTATTTTTCATCAACTTCATAATGAAAAAAATATACAAATCATAACTCATCTACTGTAATAGTGTAACCATTGATCCTTAAATATCTATTTGTTTTGTCTAAAATTGCATATTAACCTTAAAAGTTTAAAATTATTATGCACTGACCACATAAGTGAGTAAAAGTTGTTAAATAACTTCACATATTTATTTATACTTTAACCCGATTTTCTTTCAAAAATTATCTTTTAGACCCCCAAAAATAAGACGCGTGTCGGACACATACTCCTGGCGTGTCGGACGCGTGTCTGCGAAGTGTTCGAGCCGTGTCTGAAAATTTTAAAAAAAAGTAAAAATTTCAGACACGTTTTTTGTGTGTCCGACACGTATCGGGGCACGTAGTGTCGAACACAGATTCTTCGCCCATTTTGACGTATCCGTATTTTTTAGCTTCCGAATAACAAAATAATACGTCTTTATTAATCCTAGATAAGCGAGGAATTATCACATTTCCTTCGTCCTTGTCTTTCATAAAAGAACCAAATGAGGAATAGATTATCGCCGTCCCTTTCTTTTCTCTCCTCGAGGGATAATCACTATCCTTTCTTTTCATCTCTCCAAAATTCCCAAACATGGTGCAAGATCTACTCACACACTATGAAAGGGTGCATTTCGTATAAGAAAATTTGAGAATTTAGTCCATGGAAATGGTTCTAGACAAGTCTAAAGCATCTTATACAACATGCATGAACTTTCAATAAACAGGTAAAATCAGCAACTTAATTTATGCTTTAAAATTCTGAGCTTTTTTGTTTAGATTATTCACTAAAGCATATAATATAATAACATGGAGACTTGGAGCTGTGATAACTTTGAGGGTGCTATTTAACATCTCAATGTGAGGCAAGCTTGACTTAAATGCAAGTCTTCTCCCAAAAAAAAAATATCTACTTGGAAGTCCTGGGCGTTTAAGTAAACTAACAAAGGAAAGTTACTTAGCAACTTATAAAATCTAGAAAGAAGGGGGATACAAAGTTCTTGCATAGAGTTGCTAGCGCGCACACAAGGGTAATCATATTGGGCATTTTAATATATCTGGGACGAGCTAGCCAGTAAAGCAGAGGTGAAAGGACTTGTCCACTTTTACGAAAGGATCTTCTTCAAGGCAGTTAGCAACCATTGGGAGGGTTTGAATTTAACTCCATTAGTGAGGCAGACAGGAACTGATTGGATTGACCTTCTACAGGAGAGGAGGTGCCCGAGGTTTTGAACACATGTAATGGGGATAAAACCCCAAGATCGGATGGATTGACTATGGCATAAGAGGAGCTCTAATGCCTTCTTTATTGCTTTGATGCCTAAAAATAGTGCTTTTGTAACAATTGCCGAAGATCAAGAAAAGGTAACCCACTGCTTGTCCTGCCTGTGTGGGTGCTCCGAAAAAAGGACACGAAACAAACCTAACCTAAACCTTTGGTAATACTCCACGCAAAGCAACTGATCCCAAAATCAAACCTACATTCTCAAGTTTTACCATTGCACTACGCAACAAGCCCCTATATCAAGAAATATAGGAGGATACACGATGGAAGGGGTTTTTAAATATAAAAATGAAAATAATTGACAACATGTCCTCCAAAAGAAAACAAAAGGGAAACAACAAGAAATGTATATCACAATAAACAATCAACCCCCAAAACCCAAAAGACATGTAAAGAGGAGCTAAAATTGATAAAATATATAGTGTTGAAGCACTGTTAACCATTCCAAAATACATGAGGAAATGAAGATAAGCACTAAGAAGCCAAAACAAATCACATATTCTTTTCATGATACAATATGAAATCAGTTAGCACAAAATATCAGTTAAGGATCAACAAGCCAACCATTCCTAAAGCATGGAAAATGGAACAAAATCAGAGATAATCCCTTCCAAGCAATCACTAATGTCCTACCAAATAGGAGAAATAAAAAACACTATTTATCAGAGGCACCCAAATGAAACAGCATTTTGCCTCTTATTTACAAGCATACCATATTCAATTAAGTTCCAGCAGTGGGCAATGCCGCCATAAAGGAGTTGTAAGACGACTCGAGATCAAAGTGAAGCTGGCGAGCCTGCTGCTCCGTCAACTCATCTGCTGCCCCCATCTTTGACAGCCTTGCAATCCACTCCCTCATCTTCGTCTTCCCCTCAAAATCAGGAGGCAAAATGGTAAGCTTGTTGAGCGAAGCCGACAGGTCCGAAAGCAGCGGGTGGACCTGATCAACAGCAACCATGTTCAACTTCAATGAGTCCATTGCCGTAATAAAATTTTGCACACATTCAGCCACAGTGGCGGCCGAAGTAGTTGCTGACATTGCCGCGGATGACCTGTGCTCAACCGTGGCAGGGACACCTGAGGTCACAAGGCGGTTTAAGGCCGCCGGGCAGTCCATTTTGTATGTCTCATGGAACCGCTCAATGTTTGGAACAGTGTCTTTGAGTGTGAAAGCTAGGGTTTTAAAATGGGCAATCAGTTTTTGACATTCAGCCTCATATTCTGATGGAGAAACAATGTCACGAACATACGCCTTCTCTAGCTTCTCGGTGGCTCTGATAATGGCGAAGAGCTCAGCAAAGTTTTCATACATCTCTCTTTCGCGCTTGTCGTTCCATAGCTTAACCTCCATTAGAGAGGGTAAATAGAGGTCTGGTTGAGTTAGGGCTTTTAATTTGGAATGGAGAAGAGAACGGGACACGCGCAAAGAGAACACCTTTTTCACTGAACGAAGAATCACATTAGATAAAACTAACATTCTACACATATTTATATATATGTAAATAAATAAAAAGATTGTAAGATAACATATATATAGAGAGAGAGAGAGAGAGAGGAGGGGAGGGCAGAAACAAGTGTATATTTATGTGCAACAAATAGATGAAATACTATCAGCAGCAGAGAATGAAGAATGCCCGAAAATTATTTGAAATCAAATAAATTGGTAACAAATTAATCAATAAGAACAAACAGAAGAGAACAATGCGATGGATAGAAGACAACAACCCTCTATCAGAACCCTAAAGTGTATATTTATGTGCAACAAATAGATGAAATACTATCAGCAGCAGAGAATGAAGAATGCCTGAAAATTCTTTGAAATCAAATAAATTGGTAACAAATTAATGAATAAGAACAAACATAAGAGAACAAAGCAATGGATAGGAGATGAAAACCCTCTATCAGAACCCTAAAAATCTAAACAAGGGCACCCTATAAAAGCCCTAATTTCTGAACAAAGAATCACATTATAAACCCATTTTTTTTAATAAATAAAATCACATTATAAACCCATTAGATAAAACTAACATTCTACGGGGAAGAAACAAGTGTATATTTATGTGCAACAAATAGATGAAAAACTATCAGCAGCAGAGAGCGAAGAATTGCTGAAAATTCTTTGAAATCAAATAAATTGTTAACGAATTAATGAATAAGAACAAACAGAAGAGAACAATGCGATGGCTAGAAGACGAAAACCCTCCATCAGAACCCTAAAATCTAAACAAGGGCATTCTATAAAAACCCTAATTTCTGAAGGGAAACCCTAGATCATACCTCAAAAGAGCGGAACCATTATGCGATTAGTCAGCTCAATAATGTACAAGCATACATAGGAAACATAAATATTACACGTCACAGCTATGTATATATATATTTATGTGTGCCTAACTGTATATATATAGAGAGAGAATTAGAGAGAGAGAGAGAGAGAGAGAGAGAGAGAGGACTTACGGGGGAGGGTGAAAAATTGACGCGGCTTTGAAATGATGTGAAGGGGGGTGGGTGTTGCAGGTGGAGAAGAAGAGGGGGGAGAGAGAGAGAGAGAGGAAGGAGGTGTACGCTTGCGGACAGGTAGCGTGTGGAGTTGTTCGCATTTGATATTAGTATTTTAATAATTCTCTACTTTGCTTACGACACATCCTTTACAGTTGTATGCTTTAAATTTACTAAAATGACCCTTTCCCTGTTTTTGGTCGTAGACTCTCATCCTTGTCCAACATGACGAGGATGCTACCAATGACCCAAAATGTTCATAAAGGGTTTGATCATGATTAAAACTCGATTTGAAATTAATTTTTAGGTTCGTTTGATAAATCAGAAATGACGTTTTAGGTATCTGGGTTAAAAAAGTGACATAGGTATGTGGGAAAATTTAGTAAAAATAGATGATAATATGTGAATTAACGGGGATTATCGTTATAAATTTTAAATAAAGAGAATATTTATTAACACATGTTTGTGATCAAACTCAATCAAGCCTCAAGAATGTGGCACCTTTGTGAGGAATTGTTTAAGATTTTAAATTAATTCTTTTTAACAAACTTGATCTTGAATCCAATGTAATTAAACGGATAAATGAGCTCGAGCTCGAGCTTGAATGGCTCGAGCTGGAACTCAAGAACCCAACTTGAGTTCGAACTTAAATAGTTGAAATTTTATGCCCATCTAATTAATAAACCTAAATGTCCCGAATAAGTTGAATTCTTCTATTGTTAATACATTTCATAGTACATTTAACTTATAATAACTTAGAGATTTTTATTTTATTTATTATTTGTCTTAGAAGATCTCCATCAATAGTATATTCTGGACTAAGAATGGGTAGCGAATTCACTGCACAGTGCATTGCATATACTCGGAATATATATTTTTGAATAACCATTGTATATGAAGTAATAACATATAGATGAATCAGGTGATAGAACATTTATTTGGACTACCATTGCCCAATAATATGAGATATCCCATCCCTCTTGGATTGTTCTTGGTCACTTGATTTCTTAACAAAGCTTCATCACTTTACTTTTTCTTTTTTGTTGGGAGGAGTACCGGAGTAGAAATCAACACGTGATTGACAATGGCTATGATTTCGGTACTATATAATAATTTTTCAAGCTCTAATTATTATTATTATTATTTATTTATTTAGTAAAGACAAGCCCAACGGCATTTATAAATTCCCAAAAAAAAAATTTAAATATATATATTATTTTGTTGTATCTCTTTTTTTTTCTTTTTTTTTTTTAACCAGATATTTTAGATTTTTGTTTCTTTTTAATTATGTTTAATTTTAGTTTTTTTTCTAAGGTCTACAACTTGACTTAGAATGTATCTAATATTAATATAATTGATGCAAATATGAATGGTGGGAATGATAGTTGAAAAAGAATGGTGGTTGTGTCAAAAAATAGCATTTTGCATGAAATCACCATTGGAGCAGAATTGCTAAATATAAATTTGGCATGCGAAAATGACTTTTAGCATTAGAGATAAAAGATGCATTTTCAAATTTGCCCTTCCTTAAAAAGTAGTGTATAAAAAAATGCATAATGACATGTTTATTATTAATAATATGGAAAAGTTATTTTTAATGGGGTTCACTTATTTTGAAATTTTAATTAGTTTAATCTTTTAGAGGTAAATTGGGAATGTAATAAAAAGTAGTATATTAATTTTTGAAATGTGACAACTAAAATGGGATAACAAAAAAAAAAGATAATTGACTATTAATATGGAATGGAGGGAGTAGTAATTACTAAACCGGTTATTCCAAACCGGTTACCCCAAACGGAAGATAAGGGGACAACCATAGAATGGTACAATAAATAGTAAGAAAAACCATAATAACAATAAATAGTAACAAACAAAAACTCAACATTATACATATTAACAAAAAAATTAAAAAATTCTCATACCAATATGCCATACTATTTGAAGGTTTGTGCTAACTTTATTTTAGTTTTTATTATATGTAGATTAATAATTTCATAATCATGTAATAATTTCTACTTAAGTAAGTAATAATTTCTACTTAAGCATGATCTTAAAGGGTTGAATGAAAGAATCCAGTGACATGAGAAGGAGGGACAGCCTTTTCTTTCGCTCAGAAAGGGAAATTTTTTTTTTTTATGTTGGATTAAACCCAGCCAAACCCGAACAAGTTTAAATTTTGATAAAAATTTAATCCAAATTGAATCGGATTTATAAATTTAAAAGTCCAAATTTCAACTTGGTAGAAACAATACAACAAAATGGATTGTCCATTACAAGATTCAAAGTCCCTAATTTTGTACTGACATTAGAAGGAATCAACCAGACCATTTGAATTTTGAAAAAGGAGCAACATATGGAATCATTTTCCTTATGATATTTTCTGCTACAAAGGTTTATATTCTTCTAGGGTTTGTGTTAGTATTAATCCATTTGTGTTAGTATTAATCCACTGTGTTGTCAAATATATCTACTACAGTACTCCTTAAACTAAATTACTTGTGAAACAAAGGAACTGAATTGATAACATAGAATTGATTTAAAAATAAATAAGAATCCAAAAATATGATTTTTTTTTTTTTACAAACCTTCTTGTAATTCTATTGAATCCCATCCTATCCATTGAATTTTTTAAAATAAAAAAAGGAAATTAACTCAGATTCAACTCTCTATCCCAACCTCTAATATTTTTTTTTTTTTTTTCAGGAGTTAAAAACAACAAACAATTTTCATGAATATATGTAAAATTTTCAATATGAATCCATCAACCCAATGAAGCTCTTGATTGAATTAATGGGCCCCACGGTTGATCATTTCTGTGTACTGATTCAACGACTCCTGTCTCTGCAACCTCATTTCCTCATTGAACTTCTTTATGAACGCCTCAACTCGGCGGTTCAACTCGTCCTGACTTAGCGACGGCTCTTTCCGAAGCTTCCCCGAACCAGGTGACGAGGACGGTGGGTCGTAGTAGTTAGTCCGGTCCTTGAACGTCTCTGATTTCGTCACCTTCCGAGGAGTCTGATCCTGTGGGGCAGCGTGCAAGTGACGGCCGTGATTCTCCCACGTGTCAGACTTCCTTAGATGCCTCGTGAGTGGCACGTGACGCCCGTCCGTTATCGTCCTCCATGTGTTCTCCAATGTCTCCTGTCGCTTTGGCTTCGCAACCCTCAATGCCCTCCCACCTGAAACATACATCACAAACGCGAAATTACTATTTTGTCCTTCCATTATTGAACTCTTAAATTGAATGTATCTATATCTCTCTCTCTCTCTCTCTCTATATATATATATATATTATATATATACCTTCAGGACTGGGTTTCCGGTGACCGAACCTTGATGAAACGAGAGGTTTCGCCGACGCCGGAGAAAGATTATCAGATTGAACCTCCGGCGATTTCATCCTCTGCGGTGGTGTCCACGTAGACCTCGAGATCACAAACTCATTTTCTTCTTGATTTTGAACCTCCGAAACCCTAGATTCACCGTCAAACGCCGGTGGTGGCTCCACAATGGGAAAAACAGTGTGAGCCGAAGTGGTGGCGAAATCTGAATGTAGATCTGACGGAGGAGACTTCGGCGAAACCAACTGCTCTGATTGATTGTCACAGTCGAGCTTCTGGTGAAATCGAGATGTGGCGGCGATGGTGATGATGATGCCGTTGATAATGACGTAGAGATAAGGAGGTCTGAGCCACGAGATCAAAGCGGACCAAATCGAAGGGACTTCATAGACAGCGAAGCTTATGATCAATGGAACAGAGACTTTCATAATCATAGCAATGGACACAACACCAGTCGAAACCAGCATCAGTTTTAGAGAGAGAAACCAAGAACTCGAAAACACTGACATTTTTTCCGGTGGATTCAGCTTTGGCACCGATCGGAATCTTACCTTTCCGGTGGAGAAAAGTGGATTTATTTAGTCTCCGAAGTGAACTTGGGTCATTGTTAATGTAATGCAAGTGACGGTATATATATAAATTTGGCGGTGTGTGGATTATGATGAAATTTGGGCCGTCGGATTTGAAGAAAAAGGTTATTTAAAAGTGAAGCTGGGTGGGGGTTGCCTTTCTGGCTCGGAGCTTTTTCATGGCCCACTCACAGATATATATATATATTATATGGATTTGGATTACACTAATATTACACTAAAATAATTAAACAATTAAACATAAATGACAATATATACCTGATACTTGACTGTTAACCTGAGTTGTTTCAAGGCTAATTGAGTAATTTTAAATGAGTATTATATTTGTTTTGGTAAGTAATGACAAATGAGTGTTTAAGTTAATTAAATAATCTTTATAGGGAATGTAAAGGGTCTTGTACTTTAGGTAAGAGGAAGAATCTAATGCTGTACAATATTGGTTGACGTGTCAGAGACATTTGAATTTTTAAATATTCCAGCCACAACGGTCATATAAATGACCGTTAACTACGGAGCTTGTACCATGATCCTGAAGCGGCGGTCCAGTGGGTGCGGGGGAGCCTCGAGCCACTCACGTGCCCAATCAGGTTTGTGGGTGCACCCTCTAACCGACCACGGACCACCGACCACTTCACTTTTTTTTTTTTTTTTTTTTAATTCAGTGATTTTAGAACGTGTGCGTGTCTTTTCTTAGTGAATAAAACACTATGCTATGGAAGCTTGAAGAAAAAGTTGAAGTGTTTGCATACTTTAATACTTACATTATGGATATGACCCACTTGCAAAGCACGAGAATAAAGAGGAAAAGACTTGTACACAAAGGGTCTGACAGTCTGGTTCTTGAAGAAAAAAAAAATCACATCACACTTTGGTGTCTCTCTTATTTGGGTAAATTCTTAAATTAAATTAATGGAAAAAGTTCAATCAACCTCTCCTGAGGCTTGCTTAAAATAATTCCAACCCATGGTTTATTTGCTTAAAATAACTCTCTTTAAAAATATTTAATCTACGAGTAATTTTGACAAATTTTAAGGGAGGTTATAGTAATTAAACTTTTTTTGAACCCTTTTATTTGGAAGAGCGTATGATTAAAGCAGCTTTTAGTTGGAAGCATTTTCCACTTTGACTATTATTTTTCAATTTTGAATTATGGTTTGAAAAAGAAAAAAAGATAAAAAGAAAATTATGCTTCATTCAAATAGATGCCTCCTATTTGAGAAACTAAACAAAAATCATTTGACCCATCAAGTTTGTGATAAACGCAATATGGGGTTAAAAGAAAAAGGAAATGATTCTTGCATTGAATTGTTGAACTTATTTTTTTAATTAATCAATTATGTAATAAATGAGGAAATAAAATCCTTCACTTAATTATATTTGATATAAATAACTAATTAAAAATAATTCGATTAGGGAATTAACTGTAAATATTCGGTGTGAGTATCCGTACTCTCCCAAAAAATAAAGGCAATATGGATGAAAGTCTTCGGCCTGGTGTGGTGGGATTCAAACGCTTTGCATTCACAAAATACAAAGTTTTCCGTTGAAATCTTCTATTTAAATATTATTATTTTTATATAAAATGAATTTCTCATGGTTAAGAAATTTCACATTTGGTTAATTATTTTTATTCATCGGACATCTTTGTTTTATTTATGCTTCCGTGTTATTTTATTTATGTTTCCACCAAGGACAAGCCAATGAAGGCCTAGGGGGCATGTCCCCTACCTGGCACGCACTATATATTAGCACTCTATAATATATGTTGCATTTTTAATTTTTTTTTTCATATACATGAAAAAAATTATACATTGTCATTTTTAAAATTATCTTATTATTTTTTCTTTTATTTTCAGATTTCTTAAATATCTTTAAAAGAAAAAGTCAAATTTTCCTTCCTCAATAGGAACTTTTAACTTTTTCTTTCTATAGTTCTCTCATTTTTTCTTTCATTTTTCTTTTTCTAATTCTACTAATTCTTAAAACTTTTCTTTTTAACGTGCATATTTAAATAATTTTCTTCTTCATCCTCATTTGTATTTTATATTTGTTATGTTATATTATGAGTAGTGATCTCTTGCTCGCGAAGCAAAAAAATTTATTCGCACTTTCTACAAAGACTATTAGATCTAATTTAAGTCCACTATATTATTTCTTTTTAATACAAACCCATCATCACTATTTCTAGTTTTCAAATTTAATATTTATTAATACCACTAATAACAACAATGAAAGGTAATTACTCAAAATAAATAAATAAATAAATAAAGTTGAAACCACTTCATCTTTGAAAATCCCGTCTTTCTCAAATAAAGACCTACAAGAGTATTTTCTCTTTCTCCATTCAAATTAAATTTGCAAGTTCTTTGTTTCTCTTTAATCCTAAGTTATGATTCTTACAAAACTGCCACAAACTATTCTCTAAGTCCATTTAGCAATTTAATATTAAATCATAGTCATAATCATACATACATCAACCTATTCAAGGCAGGAAAATTAAACTAATGAAATATAAAACATTGACTCAAAAAAATATAAAAATAAAATTTATTTTTTCTACACAACACTTCACCCCATAAATTTTAATGGATTAAATTTTTTTTTTTTTGCTTCTTCTATTTGTCACTTGCAATTATTTGTTTGAGAGATGTGATTTTCAGAGGTGAAGATGTTTCAATTTTTTTTGATAATTAACTTTTATTATTGTAATTAGTGATATTGGTAAATATTAAATTTAGAAACTAAAATAGTAACAGTAGTTTGTATTAAAAGGAAATTACGTAAGTGGATTTCTATAATGACCCTTAGATCTAATGGTCATTATATAGAGTGCGGATGAATTTTCTTACTTCATGGGAAACAACAGATCACTATTTGTTATATATATATATATTGTGCACTGTGCCCTTGACTTGAAATCATCCATGATTTCTGATAGGGAAAAATATAAATCTACCCTACCCTCGATAAGATTGATTAGATTTCATTATCAAGGATAATGAAATCAAATCTGACGTGGTTCAACAGGTAAGAATAATCCTACTATAACTGGAGGAGGTCAAAATGATTAAATCATATCCCGATAAATCTGGTAATAAATCTCCTATGATTTCGCACAAGCGGAAGATAAGGTCAACCATCGACATCAGCGGAACGATTTTGATTCCAATCGATAGCCATAAATAGGGCATCAAGCCATTAAAGAAGGTACGACGTAAAAACTATTATGAATCCCTGCCTTCTTTTTAGACCTCCGTGACTAATTTGATCATCGGAGAGCTCTTGGCAGGCACCACACCGGTGCTGTTAAGGTTCATCGATCTTCTCCTCTCTTCCTTGCAGGAAAACGGTATCGTATCGGACTGCGAGAATTTCAGCCTCAACAGTTGGCGCCGTCTGTGGGAACGACGATTCCCTTGAATCAATTAATTACTCGTTGGGTATATACGTTTGCAGTCTGGTATGGTTACCGAAGGAACACCGTCGCAGGGATCTGGTCAAAGGGTAGAGTTGGGTGAAAACCTGGACATCCCAAACGACCAGTCACGGTTTGCAGCGTTGGAACTACAGGTTCAAACTCTGAGTCAGGGTATGACCCAGTTGATCCAGCAAAATGCAACACTCTTGCAACACCTTGTTCCACCGGCTCTACAAAACTTTCCAGGACAAGATCTCTCAAGTCCAAACGGAGGTAATGAAAATCTTGAAGAGAGGGATAATCATTCCCCCCAAAATGAGACTTAAGTGGAACAAAGTCAGGTGGGAACCCGACATAGAGAGGTGGTTCACCTATCTCTCCTACGGAGTTCCCGACCTCCTGAAAGTATAGCCTTCTGTCTTAAGGAAAAGACAAAGAAAGTTACCCATCTCGACTTGCAGATCAATGATCTCAAGGGAAAAATGGAAGATGTAATGCAGGCTATGAAAGGGAAAGGTCCTGCCGCCGTAGATGACCTGGTACAAAGGACCAACTTGCCTTTCAGCCCCGCCGCTATGAAATGTCCACCACCTAGCAAGTTCAGGATGCCCTCGTTCGAAAGCTTCGATGGGATCAAAGATCCCTTCGATCACCTGGAAACTTTTCAAGCTCTTATGCATTTACACGCTGTGCCAGATGAAATCATGTGCCGAGCTTTTCCCACTACACTTAAGGGATCAGCGAGAGTTTGGTTCAATAAGTTGAAGCCAGGAACCATCAACACCTCCGAAGAATTGAGTAAGCAGTTTGTGAGCCACTTCATTGCAGGTCAGAGGCATAGGAGGCCGGCTACCTACCTGTTTACCGTGGAGCAACAAAAGGAAGAGTTGATTCAGGAATACATCACCCGATTCAACTCAGAGATGTTGCAGGTAGAAGAGGCGGACGACAAGGTAGCTTTGACCGCTTTCATAGGAGGACTCCAAACCTCCAGATTCTTGTTCTCCTTATTAAAAGAACCTCCCACCAGCATGATAGAGTTGCTGGTCAGAGCGCAAAAACACATCAACACTGAAGACACCATGAGTGCACGGAAGGAAGGAGAGGACAAGAAGAGGCCAGCCCCTCTCGCCAGGGATGAAAATAATACCAAATATAAGAAATCATTCTTCAGCCAGAGTGACAGCACATATCATGAGAATGACTCAGATGAATATACCGACTAGAATTTGTCTCACGGCTGGAATTAGCCTTATCAAGTCATTCACAATAAAGATTAGGGGCATTTTAGTTAATCATTTTAAATGGAGGGTAGCTCCATTACGTGTTATTTTGTTTTTAATAATGATGGTCTTTAATAAAATTCCTTTTAGCTTATACGTGCAGTATCCCCGTACTATAAGGGATAGTAAATGAGTGTCCTATATTACAAGGACCTGGGCTGAATGAATCCCGTAATCAGTATCCCCGTACTATAAGGGAATAGTAAATGAGTGTCCTGTATTATAAGGACCCGGGCTGAATGAATCCCGTCATCCATATCCCCGGACTATAGGGGATAAGTATCCTGTATTATCAGGACCCGGGTTGAATGAATCACGTAATCCATATCCCCGTAATATAAGGGATAATAAATGAATATCCTGTACTACAAGGACCTGGGTTGGATGAATCCCATAATTAATATCCCCTTACAATAAGGGATAGTAAATAAAAATCATTTATTAAAGAGGTGAGTTGAGTAAAACTCGTAAAGTTCAATTTCCTTACTAAAGGGACGAGCTGAGTTCAATTCTCTTATTAAGGAGTGAAATTCATATAATTTATTCCCTTATAAAAGGAAGAGTAATGTTCCCTCGGGTGCAAAAAAAAAAAAAAAAAACTATTCAGGAACAGTACCCCGAGGGTGCAAAAAAAAAAAAAAAAAAATCCTGAGTTATTATTCACATAAATAGTGCCCGCGGGAATAGTACCTGCGAGTACTGTTCGCAGGAGTATTAAAAAAAAATCCCTGAGTTACTATTTACGTGAATAGTACCTGCGGGTACTATTCACCGGGGTTGAAAAAAAAAAAAAGTATTATTATTATTACATTTCCAAAGCTAGACGTGCAAGCTTGGGAATAGGGGGCAACTGATAGGGAAAAATATAAACCTACCCTACCCTCGATAAGATTGATTAGATTTCATTATCAAGGATAATGAAATCAAATCTGACGTGGTTCAACAGGTAAGAATAATCCTACTATAACTGGAGGAGATCAAAATGATTAAATCATATCCCGACAAATCTGGTAATAAATCTCCTATGATTTCGCACAAGCGGAAGATAAGGTCAACCATCGACATCAGCGGAACGATTTTGATTCCAATCAATAGCCATAAATAGGGCATCAAGCCATTAAAGAAACTAATAAGGATAAAAATAATAGGCAACTCAAAGTCAAAAGAGAAATAAGATAAGGGTAAGGGATTTATCTTACCCAAAATCTCTATGAAATCATAAAAAATATCTGGTTATCATATGTAACCAGAGTTACCATTCCTGTAAGAAGGGAACAATATCATCTTGAATCAGGGAGAATCTCGCTTCAACAACTACTACCATTAATGCTTCTATAAAAGAAATGATCAGTCAACCTAAAAAGGTACGCCATAAATTTCATATGTAATCCTTATCGGATATTTAATCGTCGAGTACTAACTTGACCGTCGGAGTGCACCCGGCCGGCACTACGCCAGTCATCACTTCTCTTATCTTGCAGGAATCGTCACGGGCTCTGGAGCGTGTAGATTTTTGGCATCAACAGTTGGCGCCGTCTGTGGGAATACAGACCTCATTGGACATGGGATCTTGAGGGACATTGGACCTCCTTGGACCTGAAGGTCTCGATACATTCTTGGGTGTAGAAGGTCACCCTGATTGTATGAACGGACGGAGTAATGAAACTTCATTGCTAGAGACATCCTCAGTAGTAGAAGTTTTACTAGTAGGTAGAGACACCTTTGTTGGTGGTGATCTTCTTAATGGGTGGAGACCTACCCATTTATGTAGGTACAGAAAGATCAGACCTTAGTCTTCAACGATCTGGCCTTGGTAATTGGCTGCTGCCCGATATGAGATGGAGTCTGGTCTTAGACGACCAAACCTCAATAATGAAGGGACCAAGCATCGCTAGATGAAAAACACCATATTGGACTGCCTGGGTCGAAAGCCATTAAAGAAGGTACGACGTAAAAACTATTATGAATCCCTGCCTTCTTTTTAGACCTCCATGACTAATTTGATCGTTGGAGAGCTCTTGGCAGGCACCACACCGGTGCCGTCAAGGTTCATCGATTTTCTCCTCTCTTCTTTGCTAGAAAACGGTATCGTATCGAACTGCGTGAATTTCAGCCTCAACAATTTCCACCACAATAATTGGTATCAGAGTATCTTATTGTTTCTCAACAATTAATATGGCGAAAAATGAAAAAAAGACTACCAGCATATGGGCTGAAGTCTTTGTAGATTCAGAGTGAATCCCATCACTTCGCATCCACAGAATGCAAAGATTTCGGTTGAAGTATTCTTTTTAAATATTTTTTAAAAAAGAAAAAAATAATTATGAATTGCTCATGATTAAGAAATTTCAATCATGAAAAAAGAATGTCTCATTTGGTTGATTATTTTTGAGAATAATTTTCTGTTATCAAATCCTTACTTGTATCTATTTTAGTCCTATTGAGATTTCAAGTATTAATCAGGATCTGAGAACAATTTTTCTGGTCAGAAACAGGATTTAATTACTATTACAACAAAATGATGTGATAGAAAATGGACTTTTCTCGCTCTTTATATCTAATCTGGACACTTTATCAAGATTTTGGGCAAATTTAAACTAACAATGTACACCTACCTGTTCATGTTAGTCAAAACTTATTTGGTAGGATACGTAAAGTAACCATCTCAATCATTATTGACAATCCCTCGTTTGACCAATTCCTTTGAAGTCTTTGACCATGTAGCCGGCCAAATTTTAGTTCATTATTTGTAAATATATTCAAATCCACACATATTATAAAATAAGACAAATTAAGAGAAGTTTGTATATATATATATATATTTTTGTAGCGTGTCCATGACTTTATTTTACTGAGAATTTTCCACTATACAAAAGGTAGTATTCCTTTCGTCTTAAAAAGAGAGTTTCTTTTAAAAAATCGTGACAGTTCAATTTGTGAGAGTCACAGTTTTACAAAAGAGATATTTTTTTTTTTTTTTTTTGATATAGATGGAATACTTTTTATCAGAATATTGATTTGAAGTGACCAAAATGCCAATCAACTAAGTGGAAAAGACCATTATACCCTTATAATGTCACCAATTTTTTTTTTTTATTTGATTTACAAATAAAAATAATAGCAATTACGATGATATTAGAGCTCACAAAAATATTATATATGTTACACATGTATGATATCAGATTTACCAAATCCTCATTTCAATTATTGGATTGAAGCCATCATTGCTGGAACTATCTACTCAATGTAAGATATTAACTACTTCATTTTTAAAGAGGAAGAGTTCGAGCCCAAGCGTGTGTTTCTTGTCAATATAAAAAAATAAATAAAATTTACTATCGACTTGTTTTGAAATTGTAAGGCAACAGTTAAAAAAAAACCATAGTAAGTCAAAAAAAAAAAAAATTTATACAATTATACTATAAACATAAATTTACCCTATTGATGGACACTTATGTCATATTCATCCTTAAAAATTATTTGGAGAAAGAGTTCATTATAGGGCATAATTTTCCACTCAAATAGAGGGGATGCAACTACCATCACACTATTTAATCTGTTAAAAATGAGAACTTTTTGCTCGACCAATTCACTAGCTACTTCGATTGATTTTATTTTATGATAAAAAAAAAAAAAAAAAAATTAATGTTGGGTCAGCAAAACAAATACTATACCCATACCATGCATAAATAATTTGGGCCTGCCACATTAAATTGGAAGATGGGTCGCAAACAAAATCATGGATGGTGTCTCCTAGACTCCTACACTTTTGATTTTGACCAGATTCATAAATTAGGTGTTATTAAATTTTATTTTTATTTAATTCCTTAATTTATCAATAAATAATTCAGGAACCACATATACATATATATGTTTATATTTATATTTATGTACGTTAAAGATATTACGATAGTGACCTTTTGATGATGAATTTGCAACACATGCATGGTTAGATTCGAATTCCCAAAGGAGATTGTCCTGGGAGACGAACCACCAGGAAGCCTCCAAATGCATGTGACAGGTGTGGACGTTAATATCCGTACCTTCACTTGTTGAAGTCATTCATACGGTTATACGTACCCAATATATATATATATATATATATATATATATATATATATACTGTATTTCTCAGATATTAGTTTATATATAGTATATGCATTTTTCAAATATATGGTTGACTTATTGTTTATTTGTTTAATATTTATCAAAAAAAAAAAAAAAAATAATAATAATAATAATAATTTCATCTCATGTGAATGAAGCTGTATCTAATACTTGTATTCTTAATTCTTACTGTGTCAATATAGCTATATTATGCGTTTTATGTATAGATTATATTTCAAATATTGCATGTTTGTTATATATGTGATTTGATTTTCTTTATATTTGAAAACATTTACATTTCAGGGGTCATTTATAAAGTAAATTAGAAACTGGAGGTTATAGTCACCCAAGTAACTTGGGGAGTGGACACGCAAGAGCAGCAAAATCTATGTCACAAAGAATGAGAGTGAAAGCGAAAAGAATCATGTAACATTCACATCATCTCACTCTAACACCCAATACTTTTACAAAACTCTGCTGTCACTTGCATCTGTTATGAGTCTCTGGGTTCAACAAAGATTTGAAACTTCTCACAGTCTTTTTCCATTTCTCTCACCTAGTGTATAAAACCATCCAATTAAAAGATCAAAACACAATCAATCATGTGAAGCAATTTGGATTTAATTTTATTTAATCAATAGACTAAATGATACAAATGAACCACCCGAAAATAAGAAAGAAAGAAAAAATCTGATTCTGCTTCCACACAGCTTGCAGCCTTCAATAAAGAAGAAAGCATCCATCATCCCCCTTAAATGCTATTTTTTCCTGTAAATTTACAGTATTTGCTATTTTTGAAGATAAAAGAAACCCATCATATATATTCTCGGCGCTTAACGTTTTGTAAACGTCATTAAGGATGAGAAATCATAGTCACTTTCAGATGGAATGACGGATAGCGCTGGAGATGTTGTGGGACGCCCACTCACTGCTGTGGTTGTTATACCGTTGATTGGCGCTACTGGACCTGTACCATACATGCTGCAACATGAAGGCAAATAACTTAAGCTCTGTATATAAACAACACACACACACATTTCTTCGCCCGACTCCTGATATTCAGTTTCCAATTATTGATTTCACTGCCGATGTTTCTTAAATATGTTAATTAAGAAAGTAAATCGGTTGGTAAGATGGAAGTATGGACTAAACTGAAAGATTAATTAGTTGGCTCTTCTAAGGTTGGCTGTTAACCAGATAGACCAGAAAATTACCTTTTAATGCTTGGTCTGTTTTTAGAGTCATATTAGGTTTTTGGATCTGATGGTTTTACATAAAAGTTAAAAATATTTCATTAGTTTTAAGGAAAATATCGGTCTACACTCAGCATGCTTCCCCCGTTCAATCCATGAATTTGGAATCAAGAGCTGATCCTTTCTCCAGTCATCACTTCCATATTTAGGAACCACCATTTTCGTCACTTCAAATTTATAAAAGTTATAAAACAATTAAAATGCAAGGGTAGTTGATTTTGGGGCACAATTGTAAAATTAAGGTCACAAACCACTGAAAATAATCATCAGCTCATCAAGTTGGGATCTCCTTAATGCTAAATCAATTTTTCAAATGCATGATGGATATAGCTGGACCCTAATGTGTTAACACTCCAATCGTGCACTCAAACTCTATGCACTCTATGAAACACGATGAAATCGTGTACCTGGATGTTGGATAAGAAGCATAACTCCCAGCAGGATGTGAAGGTCGGAAGTTTCCCATCTGGCACAAGAAGATTAAAACATGAGAACTTTGATGTGGAAATATTCAACATAACCTTACCTAAAAAAAAAAAACATTCCACAAAAACATTTCAAGAACCAAACCTGCATATATTTTTGTTGGTCAGCTACAGGCATCATTACTCCGGGAACTTGATTGCCAATGCTTCCCCAATTCTGTGTAGTGTAGTGCATACTACTGGGGTCGGGGCCAGGTTGAAGTCTATTGCCAAAATATGTTTGGGACCCCCCAGAAGACTTTGCTGCAGCAGCCATGAGCAAGGACTGCTGTTGGGCTAGCATTGCAAGTTGCTGTTGATGGACTGAAAATGGTGACACCATACTAGACTGCATAGATGCAAAAAGAGTAAAAGAAGAAAAAGGTCAGAGGAAGATTTACCTTCTTTATGAGTAAAAGACAGAACTTTAACTAGTACTTCTCCGTTTGAGAAGTTTTAGATTCTATTAAATTACATCACATTCAATAGCTTCACTGTCAAATAGCTCTTTTGAATAACTTTAACTTGTTTCTTGAATCAAAGAAAACACACCATTTGTTTGTCCTTTATTTTTTTTTATGGGTATGGAGAGCACACTATTTCATTCCTTTAAAGATTAAAAGGAGAAGAGAATATTATGAATTTTCATCAGTTTGGTTACAAAGAAGAAGAAAGAGAGAGAAAGAAAAGGTTTAAATAAGAAGAAAAAAAAAAAAAAAAAGAAGGAAAAAAAGAAGAAGATGAGATTCGACCCAAACCCTCTTTTATGTATTTGTGCTCATTTTGAGGTGATAATTAGTCTGAACCAAATGAAATATAGTTTCTTTCCTAAACACTCTCTTTTCTTTCTTCCCCTCTTTAAGTTTCTTTTATGAATAAAAGATTTTTTTTTGAGAGATTACATCTGCAGGCTAAACAAACCAAACTATGGAAAAGAAAAGGCTTTTAAAGGCTTTACTCGCTTCTAATTTCCTTCCCCCAACCAAATGGCATGCAACTACAGAGCTTTTATAATCAGCTTGTGAATTCTTGGTGACCAAAAGAAATCCTGTTTTGCTACGACAGCCTTTGATATGAGTTCTTAAATTTTCAATTAACAATGTGACAATGTCATAAATTATACCTTCTCAAAAAGGTTCATGATATCATTCTTCACTTCTTTTTGGGGTTTATTGGAAATAGGAGGTGTGACCCACTGTAAATCTTTAAATATATCCTCAAATTCAGAGCTTGATTGGCTCTTGATTTCAACGGATTCCGAGGGAACATTTTCCTTGGCTTTTGATGTTGCTTCGGTGGCTGCAAGTCAAGAAAGTTCAACCCAATGGTTACAATGGAGTGAAATTACAAAAATCACAACTGACGAAGTTAATTTTGAGGCATGAGGAGGGGGTGGAAGATTACGAGGTTGAAAAGGGCATGTGAGTGGCAATAGGTGCCCAGATCAATTAGATGGAACCCATCAAGGAGAGGAACATACACTGGAATGCTTTATCATCAGCAGTAGATGTCTTGGAGTCGTTTTCTCTAGAGTCCATGGAGAGCATGTTGAAAAGTTCAGTAGCATAATCAACTTTGGAAGCGGTTACAACTGGGATAGTATTAGCCCCTTGCTCTCTCAATTCAGCCTTTGGGGCTGCCGGCTTTGATTCCTGATGGATTTCTTGACGCTTTGGTTCAGGAGCAACCTGTTCATCAAGTCTTACATGTCAATTGCTTCCTAACATGAGTATGATTATTCTGAGTACTTAGTAAGTAAAAGAGGAAACCATCCAATATACACAGGAAGAAGACAAAGTCTTCATTAACATAAACAATGAGTTCTAGGCAACCAAAGCTTAATATGAATACGATCAAAATAATACTTCCATACTTCACCACAACCCAGTTAACCTCTGTTGACTTTTCATTGATACATGTATTCATGACATTCCAATTGCGATATCTAACTAAATAACAGGGTTGACACAAACAACTCAGATCCATAGTAGATAATATCACTATATCTACTAATGTAATGGAGTCAACACAAATTTAACATGCTGAGATATGTTACAATGCTAATGTGTATACACAATTGTAGTAATGCAGTAAAAGAAAAAAACAAAAAAAGGATAAATTTTGCAGTATACTGATTTTGAATGTGCACAGACAAAAAGAAAACTGTTAGAAAGGAATATCAATAATGCAACTGAAAAGAAAAAAGAAGCAAGTGCTGAGTTGACTTTAAGGACATGGTAGTCAAGTTTTGAATACTAAATGGATAAATTATATTTACCTGCTGGGATACCTTAGGAGGAATAGGACTGCTGCTTTTAGAAGCAGGTATACTGTGATTTGAAACGGTCGGATGATGGCCTTTTCTCTCCTCAGAGAAAGGTTTAATGCCATTAGTATATCCAATGCCATTACTAATCCCAGTTCCTGATTTATGAACTGAAGCCGTCTCTTCTCTCATAGTTGAAGATAATTTTGCTTTCCCATCCCGAGGAATCCATCTTCTCTCTACATACCTAACATAAGTCGTCATTAAATCAAATGATTTTAGTGCTTTTAAGACCAAAACAATGGAACAATCCAATACTGAATAAAAAAATATAAACTAACTAATAGCAGTCCTTCAATGACATCATACTTTGCACGGATAAAATTCTCAATTCCGACTCTATCATAGCGAGGAGGCAGTTCAGCTTCCCAGTAGCAATTTGATTTCTCATTTCCCATAGCTGCAAGAAAACATAAATCAAATTGACTCCAATCACCAAGTTATTAGAGATAAAACTGACTTAAACATTAATTAGAAATAATGAAAGCCCAAAAGAATGAGTGGTGCTCACATTGAATCAATGCAATCTGATCTGGAAGCCATGTGTCCAATGTAGCAGATCTCACCTGAAGCAAAATCATCAGAAGTTTGTATAGGTGTGGTGCAATACAAAAGTGACATTTTGTAAGCCAACCATTTGCATTTATTTTCAAAAATTGGAAGTCATAGGAACAAACTAACAAATGTGTAAAAGAAACACTTTCTAGGGCTATGCTAGATTAGCACCACTTTGGTTTTAATGAAGAAGTTCCTGAGTGAAGACTGACATATTTTCAGTAAAAAAGAAATATACATATGAGACCCAAAAAAAATAAAAATAAAAACTCTTATGCACCTTCGATATGTGTACTCCAAGACTTCTGTGGATCCCAGAACATTGCATGCATATGAAGATTCCTAGATTCACGCTAGCCCATCTTGGAGCTCTGCGACGCAAATAAGTCACAACTAGAGGAATTTAGGCATGCTAAAAGAAATTCAACCTTACAATCTCCAATCTTTATTATCTTGACTATCCAAGCACCCGCTGTTACATTGGCTCAAAACCAGAGACATTATTGATAAAAAATACCTACTTGCTTTTGCAGTCAGCACATTCCCTATTCTCTGGTAATTTAAGAAGCCCCTCTAATATCTGCAAAGAGTGACATCAAACAAGTAAATGTCATGTAACTATCACAAAATCATTAAAGTCATACACTGGCGAAAATTCTATCTAGACGACTTGTGACAGTTTTCGAAAAAGTTTTGGGAAAGTATATTTTAACTGTTTAGTCTATACTACTTAGTACTTATCCTAGTATTTTGTAGATTTACTTTGTTCACAGTTTTTTTTCCTCTTTGTATATGTATATCTTATTTATTAAAAGTATTTATATGGAATACTTTACTAATATATAAATATATTGTAAGGTGGCGTTCTTGTGTATAATTTGTTTGTTTCAATCTGATGAGCATGTTCATATCAACAACATCAATAAAACTGAGAGTAAATACACTCAAACTCATACAATTTATCAAAGTAGAGGGGAAAAAAAAGAAACTTAATTCCTGGTCGTATCGAGACAGGTTTATAAGCAGAAATCATGTAACAATATTGATAGCAGTCTAATAAACAAGAAAATTTTGGCAGTAGTTATCAAGCATTGAGTTGATCTTGAAATCATGGCTGATTGAACAATGCTCTCTCTCTCTCTCTCTCTCAATATATATGCGTGTGCGCGCGTGTGTGAAATTTCCTCTTTGCTTTAAGAATTGACAGATTTTAATTTCAGTAATATAAGGTAACATTCATAGGATGATTGGTCAATTATATTTCCAGATCAATTAATAAATTAAAGCAAGACAAATTTAACAAATTTCTGAAATAAGATGCTTCATGTTATAGCCATGTGTACTTAGTAACATTTTGTATCGTAGAAACACAAAAAAAGAGAAAAATGGCCATGCCCAACTCATCCACGAGCTAATTTGTTCCGAAAGTCATTTAATGCATATAAATCTTTTTCCGTTCAACAAATCAAAACAAATAGGATTCCCCCAACAATTAAACAACACATATAGCTGTATGTGTGTTACTACAGACTACCTACACCAACCAAATATTCTGCATGAGTTACAACACACAAGGTGGGCCTGATGCCAAATAATATGGCATCACCAAACAACTTTGACAGCCTAGATATGAATTGAATAACACATAAGACAAACATTCACAATTATGGATGAAACCCAATTTTTTGTTTAACCAAAAAAAAAAAGTTGGTTACCCAATTACAACAAATTAAACAATAATGATGAAAGGCATTGACCCTATCTAGTCAGTAGGTAAAATATAGGTTAAAATTATTAGTTTGCTGAGAAATGAATTCAGTGAACTACTAAAATACCCATAAAAAGAAAAATACACAAAGGCACCTTCTTTCTTTCTTTCTTTTTTTTTTTAATAACCCAATTAATATATTGCAACAAAACATCAAACAGAACATGTTCATTATACCATACAATCCGAGATTGATTAAAACCATTTATTTGAGAATTCTGCAACATAAATTATTTAATCACCAATTTTTATCATATACAGACCCAATAATTCAAGCTTTGCTTAACTAAATTCCATGGTTTAAGCAAGAGAATAACAAAGACAAGACTAGATATGAATTTACAAGCATAACCAATGACCTGACTAGACATAGATCAAATTAACATATTTCTGAACCATAAATAGGATTAGTTTTATTCATCCAATCAAAAGAAAATCATAAAAAACATATAGAAATAAAATTCAAACTTCAAGATTGTAAAAAAAAAAAAAAAGAAAAAAAGAAGAAAAAAGGGTACCTTTTTCTGCTTCGCATTGAGCTCTTTGGACACGCTGGCCTTTCCGTTCATGGTGTTTAGAGAGAGATAGAGAGAGAGGGGAGGAGAAGGCAGTTGTCTGTTTTCTCTCTCTAGAAGTCTGTATATTTGGGAGAATCTGAACGAAACGAATGTGTAGAGAGAGAGAGATAAAGAAAGAAATAGAGATTCGAAAGTGGAGGTCTCTTCGATTGACTTTATTAAATATTTAAGACGACTGTTTTGTTTGAAGGATGGCGTATATAGTGTGTAATATGGACTATACCACGCGTGAAAGAGACTTTTTCTGTTGGCCTGTGATTGGCTGAAAGCCATTTGTTTTTATTCTATGTGACGCGTTACGTGTCAGTGCCTGTGGACCCTCAATAATTCTTGAAGTTATTGTAAAATTCACAGAAAATTGCGGATGTCATTAATGTGAATTAAAAAAAGAACGGAAAGAGAAAAATTTTAAATTTGTTTGGGGTTCGAATAGATGAAAAAAGAAACAGTTTTAAATTTGCTCCCATACTTATTATGAGTTCCTTTAATAAAAGAAAATATAATTAGACAAGAAAATATAGAAAGAAAATAAAAAAAATTAGTCTTTCTAATTAGACAAGGAAATATACAAAAATAAATAAATAATTTAGTCTTTCTAATTAGACAAGGAAATATACAAAAATAAATAAATAATTTAGTCTTTCTAATTAGACAAAGAAATATATAAAAATAAATAAATAATTTAGTCTATTTAGTCTTCACATCTTTTCTAATTTTATAAATAATATATAACTAATTTTGTAATATATAAATAAATAAATAAAATATTAGTAATTTTCTAATATATAAATAAATAAAATATTAGTAAATTGTTATAAAAAATAATCCTAATTTTGATATTGTTTTAGGAGTTTGAAAATACACCTATCAATAATTAAATTTCTATTGTAAAGTTTAAGAAAAAATTATTTATTTCTATCTCTTTTACTTTGTGTCAATTTTATGTTTATGGATTATTTTATAATAACACAAATTACCTATTTATTACGAGTTTGTATTTTTAAATTAATTTAAGGTGTTTAAAAGAGTTTCTATAAAACTCAAATTACCCACCTATCAATAATTGAATTCTTATTGTAAAGTTAATTAGTTAAATTAATTGTGCAAAACAACTTCTTTATTTATTTATTTTTTACTTGGTTTCAAAGATGCAAGTTCTCTACAAAATAACTCTTTCTTGTTTTTTCACAAGTTCATAATTGGTAACAATAACCTACAATCAAATCTCTTTCAAAAATTAGTATTGCCGTCAATTTCTTCGAATCTTTTTATTTTTTATTTTATTTTTTTAAACTAATAATTAGTTCTATTTCTTTCTAGGAAAATATTATGAAGTGTTACTTTAAATATAAATAATTATATTATTAAATTTAATAATCCATCATTTTAATATTTCTTTTTGCTAAAAATAGACATATCATCAAATACAAATTCATTTATTTTTTGATATTTGAAATCATAAAGGTAATTTTGATATGTTCAATCACTTTCTTTTTACTTTCATGTTATCTAAAATAATAAACTTGTATTTTCCTATAATATTTTTGAATGAATTTTCATTTTAACCAAATACATGCTAGAAAATAACTTTTCTTTTCATTCACTTTACTTTACTTTTCTTTCATTTTCTATTTATTTTCTTTTCTTGCTTATTTTCATCTAACCAAACAGAGCCTAAGAAAAAAAAAAAAAAAAAAAAAAAAAAGGAACTCAGAGCTCCATTTGTGAACTTGTTCAATAAACAATTTGATGGCTAACAATGTTAGACTTTACTCATATAAATTCGTAAACACTAAATTTGTGCAGAATTATATGTGTTTTTGAACGTTGATTCACCAACATGTTCATAAATATAAGTTTGTGGAGACTTGTATGATTTTAGGAATGTAAACTCTGTGAATATAATTTGTGAATATAGGCTTTTATAAGTTCATGAAGAAGCCAAAATAAAAGCTTGAACATGAGCTCAAAATTGAGTTCAAACAACTTTTGTTATCTAAACGAGTTGAATCCAAACTTCTCAAAGACTGAGTTTGAATTTAGTTTTAATTTCAACTTGTCACGATCCTCCTAGCTACATTATCCGAACAATTTATTTATTTATTTATTTTCATACACACGTCTTCATTGAGTCATGAATTCCTGACCTTCATTTAGGAGGTAAGGGTTTAATACCGCTAGGCCACTGACATATTTGTTTATCCAAACAAATTGAAGACTTAGCTCAACTCCATTCATTTGCAACTCTAAATATCATGTGTGCGCCATTACTAAAATTTTATTTATCTTCACCATTAATCTAAGTACCATTTTTTTTTTTTTTTTAATACCCCCGAGAGAACTGATAAAAAATTAAAGATATAAATTGTTCGATTTGATTTCTTTTCAGACCTACCTTATCTGGTATCTAGGAAATAGGACACATATATGACATGATGGGAACATGGTGATATGACAATTCTTATAAAAAAAAAATAAGATACAAACATGACAAGGATACACCAAATGAATAAATAAAGAAAATATAATACTAGACATAAAAAATTATCTTTCATTCTTCAACCACCAAATGAATAAATAAAGAAAGTATAATACTATACATAAAAAATTATCCTTCATTCTTCAACCATACAATAATTATACCTAAAGCAATTATGCAAAATATAAGAAATTCTTTTATATTCAGGCAATCAAGCAATGCTACTTTGTTAGTTTACTACATAAACATCCATCCATTATTCTTAGACTTTTACATAACCCATTTATTAGCAATCGAGGACCATTACAAAATCACACAATAAATGTAAATAAAGCAATTATACAAAGGGGTAAAATCACATAAACCTTCTCTACTTTTAATTTTGTACAAAAAAAACGGCCTACAAAATTTAAGCACCCCCTAAACTATAAATCCTTATCACACTGCCCCATATCTGTAAATTAAGTTGTGAAAAGGCAAAACTGTCCTTATGATTTAATGTTAAAATAAAAATATATAATAATTATTATAAAATTACAAAAATACCCCCTAGGTATTCTTCCTCTTCACGGGCTCTCTAAAACGGTAACCCCACTCTCTCTAAACTTCCCTAGCTTGAAAAAAAAAACAAAAAAAAAAACAGACCCATTAAAAACTTGAAAAACACCATACCCATTTTTGTTCAATTAAAGACTGAATAAATGCTATCATATATGTCGCTGGAGATGCCGTCATTGGAAAGAAGGAATTATAGGGGTTGAATTGAGATTGAGGAATTTTAGAGAGAGAAAACACCCTATGCGAACCCTACTTTCCGCCATGGCCGAAGCTGTTGAGAATGTCAAGTTCGGGTTAGCACCAAGGGCGGATGGAGGGCTTGAGCCCACCCCAATTTTTATTTATTTATTGTTTAGTGTAGGCAATTTTAGCACAACCAAAAAAAAGGGAAAAAAATGCTATATTAGCCCATCCCATTAACAATTTTTGGATCCGCCCTTGGTTAGCACCCATAGATGTATAAGGCCAACCTCGTCGGCACCATCAATCCCCCGTATGACCGCCATGTGTTCCTCTGTTATGGTAGTTAAGAGTCTTGGCCAACCTAGTCGGCACCATCCATCCCCCATACAACAGGAGGTTGTAGCCAATGACGACCACAGTGGTCACAAGCAGCGACCTTGCTGGTTGTTGAAAATTTGAACCTCGCTTGTCCATACCTGAAATTCGCTCCCTTCATAGCGAATCAAGCCATCCTCGAATCATGTTATCTATATATACACACACACACACGAATCATTTGATTGATGTTGCTTGTGGAAAGGCTCTAAGGGATATTTTTGTAATTTGAAATAATAATTATATGCTTTTAATTTAATATTAAATTATAAAGTCAATTTTGTTATTTCATAATCTAATTAATAGGTCGTAGCGAGTATGAGGGCAATGTGATAAGGATTTATAATTCAGGGATGGTTTAATTTTAATATGAGTTTTTTTTGCACAAAATTAAAAGTAGTGGGGGTGATGTGATTTTACCTCTTATACAAAATAGATGTTCATTTTATTTTCTGTCATTTAGGCAATCAAGCATTCCTAGTTTGACACATAAACATCTATCCATTTATTAAGGACCATTATATTTTATTCTGGAACTAAATGTGAATGACTGAATGAATGTTGTTTGGGTCTTTGACACGTGGGGCTTTTAGAAACATTTTTGTTTTATTTCAATCTGACCTCGCTTTATAAAATAAAAAATTACAAAATTGCCAAAAATATATTCCAAAAGTATCTATAGCCATATCCTAAACGTATCCAGGTGTATTTTAGATGTATCCGATATTCAAATATTTATTTAAAAAAATTGAATGCTTCTTAGCCGTATGGGACATGTGTCCTGCTGTATCCTAGTCGTATCCATAACGAACATGTATTTGATAATACCACGAGATCTTTTTCAGAGTATCCCTACTTCAAAGCCTAATACCGACTCACCAAATATTCATTAATTTCACATAAATCTCATATCTAATTAAGGAACCTTGCTTGCACTAGGCATCCATTCCATCTCATATGGAGAGACTATTTCTTTGTTTTGAACTAATGACCTTTAGTTAAAATTTCCTTACTCGTGGCACGATGGGATTAGAAATTCATTAACGGTAATTTTATGGGTAGATATTGTAAATTAATTAAGCAGTTGTTTTATATATATCACAAAATTTGTGAAAATTCATGATTATTTTTTGGTTATGTGGAAAGTTTAGCTTGAAAATTTTCAGCTCCATTATAAGATTACGGTCAATTACTTTCTTTATCTTAAATGTTGAAAGCAAGTTCCTTGATGTGGAGGTATATCACAACTTCCACTTAAAAATCACACTTTATTGTTTCATTGGGTTAGAAGATATTAGAGTATTATTATTTTCAATGCTTCCCTTCCAAACTCTTTTTATAGCTTTATCACAGAAGATGGATTTAGGCTTCTTGAAAAGAAAATAAGAAAAAAGGAATACTAATTTGATTCATGGGATACTAATTTTTGTTTTTGTATTTGATAAAAACATTATATAAATGACAAATATATAATTAGGCTTATATACATATAATATGATATGATGGACATGTACTCATGATTTTATTTTCTAGTGCTTGACCACAAGCTAGTTGGATTCTTTCTCTATC